GTATGTGCGGCTTCCAACGATGATATGCTGTCCGTGCCTTTCAAATCAAGACAGTACCAAGGCCAACTCAACTCGAACCTCGGTTTGGTACGCGAAATTCTAAACGTTAAACTCAAATATCTCTGCCGATGTCCCAGAAGCCTTGCCAGCTCGCATTAACGCAATCTTTGACCACTCAAATCCCTTCAACAACTGTTAGCATTGCAAAACCACGTGGTTTCACAACAATTTCCACATCACGACATCGAACTTCCACGTTCAAGTCGCCTTAACGTCAGGCTAGACGATTGGAGGCAAAGCGACAAAGATCATTCATTTTCCACATCCTTCTACTTGACCACCATGGCAGGCGGAGGGGTGTTCATCGAGGCCGCGGGTGACGGCACCACGTCCACGCCCACGGAAGGCTCCAAGATGTACGCCGTGGTCGTGTGTGTGTTTGCGTCGCTGGGCGGCATCTTCTTTGGCTACGATCTAGGCATGACGGGGGGCGTCCTGGTGATGGATTCGTTCTTGAACGACTTTTGCGTCGCCTACGACGGCAACACATACCTCCAGTGCACGTCGACGGCAGCGGACCTGCCAGCCAACTGGCTCAACTTTACGACGCTGTTCAACGTGCTGTACTACATCTGGTGCATCTTAGGCGCGTACGTGGGCGGTGTGGTGGCGGACAAGTTTGGTCGCCGCATGACCATCTTCAGCGCAGGGTTCCTGTTCTGCATCGGTACGTGCATCCTGGTGTTCACGCGAAGAGGGGGGCATACCATGTCCCTGATCGCGCGCGTGATCCAAGGCATGGGCGTGGGCATCTCGTCATTCTCGTTGCCCATCTTCGGGGCCGAAATGGCGCCCAAGGAACTGCGCGGCATGCTCTCGGGGTTCATGCAGATGTCCCTCGTCACGGGCATCTTGCTCGCGGGGATCGTCAACATCGCCGTGGAGAATACGGAGCACGGATGGCGCACCACCAACGCCGTGGCTATGGCGTTCCCCGTGATCGTCATGGCCGGCATCTGTTGCGTCCCCGAGAGTCCCCGATGGGTGTACAAACATAAGGGCCGCGACGCGGCGGAAGCCACGCTCACCCGCCTCCGCAAGACCACCCACGTCGACGACGAGCTCAAGGCCATCGGCGACGCGCTCGCGGAAGAAGGCACCCACGCCACGTCGTGGGCCGACGTGTTCCACCCGTCCGTGCGCCGTCGCGTGTTCATCGCCATGGCGCTGCAGCTGCTCCAGCAAGCCACGGGCATCAACCCCGTGTTTGTGTACGGCGGCCAGATCTTCAAGGACGTGCTGGGCGACGGACTCACGTCGCTGCTGATCCTCCAGATCGTCAACTTTGTCAGCACGATCCCGGCCATGTACTGGGTCGATAGGTACGGGCGTCGCAGCTTGCTCTTGTTGGGCGGCGCGGGCATGGTCGTCGGCCACTTGGTGTCGGCCACGTCGTTCACGGTGGGCTGCCAGGGCGACACGAGCGACTTGCAGTGCGACAAGTCGGCCGGATGGGTCATGATCGTCGCCACGGGGTTCTTCATCTTCAACTTTGCCATCAGCTGGGGCCCCATTTGCTGGATCTACCCCGCGGAAATTTTCCCCATGCGCGTGCGGGCCATGGCCGTGTCGCTGTCGACCATGACCAACTGGACCATGGGCGCGCTCATGATTGGCATCCCCAAGCTGTTTCCGTACTTGAACATTAACGGCGTCTTCTTCCTCTTTGCCGCACTCTGCTCGTGTGCGGGCGTGTTTGTCTACTACTTTTGCCCCGAGACCAAGAACATTTTGCTGGAAGACATTGAGTTTTTGTTCCACCAGCACAAGCACTGCGACGTCGAAGAGGATGCCACCACTGTCAAGACCCCCGTGGACAAGGACCTTTAGGACTGTATGACAGAGAGATATAGTAGTGTCTAAAGAAAGCAGTTTCAATGTCAAGCGCACATGTACTCTTCGATAACGTTAAGTGAGGGGGAAGGGCGGAGTGGGAACGCATGGTTTTACGGCGCGTTGAGTGACTAGATGTTGGAAAGGAGGATGTTGTTCACTGTGGCACTACCACAGTGGCAGGCCACAGATAGAAGTCGTGGAAGGGAGCAAGTGGAGGGCACAAGGAAAGTAGGAAGGATTGAGCAATAAAATGAAAAAACGAATAACTTCTCATAACACCCACCTCCGCTCACACTGTCTTGGAATAGCAACAGTGGACGTTCATCAACAGCCACGACCCGGACTTGCGTCCACAGCACGTGCGCCGACATCCCGAGTCAACGAAGGGGGTCACTTCCGATCCTCAAAGTTATTGGTATCGTCTACTTTGGAAAACAAAGTAAAGATGACTGCACTATAGAAATGATCCTGTTCAAGTACGGTCTTAGTTGGTCAAGTATCGACACCGTTTACTCCCTATAAACTTCAACTCCCACCAGTGAAACCAACATAATTAGTGTGATTTTGACCAATCAAACACCTCCATTTTTCTTCACCATATGGTTGACTTTAATGTAAAGTCAAAACTCAGGCGAGTGCTTGTATACGTGTACAAATTGCTTTGTACGATTGTAGCTCTTCGGGAAGCATGGTTCATGCCGTCAGTGGAAGGTTATGTACTATACGTATGGGCATAGTTCCGTGCCACAAACGTCATTAGTGAATTTTAAACCAATCATACACAAAATATGACCTCTGAAATATCATACACCACTCTAACAACTAATAAATTGATGACTTTGGCGTTCGCGCGCAAGTAGTAAGTTTTCCCGGAAAACAACAATTTCCCATGTGTGCCAAGCACTTCATTTCCAAATCGTCGCTGCGTTGGAAGATTCAAGCAAGCCCGTTCATCGCAAGAGGCCACGATGGTGTTGAAATTTTTGTTGTGTAGTTGTCCGCATATTCCAATAAATGCTGTGCAAAAACAGGAAAAAATTTCGGATATAGTGGCACGGATTTGATTTCACATCAGCCAATCGAGATTGTTGATATTCACACCCGAATAACTTTTGAATTAGAGCTAAGATCGATACAACACCAAGTCACACGTTCTACATAACGTTAATACAGAATTCGTAAGGTGAAACAGTAGGTTTTAGTAGGCTCGCAAGGTGAGCTGCCTTACGTATTCCATAAATCGATCTGAAATAGTTCAACATTTATTGAATGAAGCTTCATCTTTGTAAGGAATAATTTAATTTCCTTTAAACGCATCTATTGATGACTTCGTAAGGCAGGCTACCTGACCAAATTTCTGTCCAATTATATGATAGAAAAGTGAAAATAACTGGCCAATAGGATCGTTCTATTCTCTTTGCTACATTAAACCTTTGGAACACTATCTATCCACTTGCTCAGCAGCCAATTGGAAATGTTTTTGTGCCATGATTTTCTAAGGTGATTCATGTAATTCCCGGCCAGCTTGGCCTACTTTCTGAGTGCCATAACTCGTCAACCATTCATCCAATGAGGCTGCGAAAACATGCATTTTGAAGATCGTGACGAGCTTTATAACTTTATGCAGGTCCCATCATTTGTATCGCATGGTCAATTTGCTCGTCGAATTTCTAAAATTGAAATTTCCCTGTGTGAATTTAATTCCCGGCCAGTAAGTCACTTGAATAATGTATACCTGATTTGGGTGACAAAATCCTCAGAACCTCTGAATAATGATATGTATAAAGTATTCAAGTAATTAAATTTAGAAGTGCAACTAATATAAAAACTGTATAACATGTTGGACAAGCAGAATATTAAATCTTACAAGTATGCGATACAAGAGTACCTAATTTTGTCCTATCATCGTCCATGGATGATTGTGATTGGCCATTTGCTGGCCGGGAATTACATGAATCACTTTATGCTGCACATCGCATGATGAAAGATCGAGTTCCTGATCAAAGACTTGATGGCTGACTTGAAGTAGTATGATAACAAATGTATTGAATGGAATGTAAAGGAATTCACGTTGTTGTTGTTGCTGATTCGTCTAATATTGTCATGACGATTTGCGTTGACCAGAAGTATATATATACCTCGATCTCGCACTTGTTTGTGCTAGGAAACGCTTGGAATTGCCTCCTTCGACATCGCGAGTGTGAAGTACGATCCATTTGTCAACTCGTCGTTGGGCTGACCACCCCAAGACTCCAGTGATGCAACGATTGAAAGCTTCGATGAAGTGCGTTGCCGTCTCAATAAACCTTTGGAAGACTATCTATCAGTAGTGCAAGTGGTTCCAAAGGTTAATTTGCTGCTGAGCAAGTGGATACATTTTCAATTGGCTGCTGAGCAAGTGGATAGATAGTGTTCCAAAGGTTTATTGCCTGCAGCTATTGGATTGTGCGCGACAGTACTAGAATGCGATCCCTTGCTCCTATCCGCAAGCTTAAGCCTGGACGATGGTCATGCAGTACGACTTGGTCCTCGTCTTGTCGCAGCATATATAGGTAATGGTTGTTCTTGGCGTAGTGGGCGCTCTGGTGGAAATGCGTCTTACTAGTTTTGCATCTTGGCATAAACCAAGTAATCACATGGGCCAAGCTCGTCAACTACTGGTAACGTTACTGTAAATAGGTCGTTTACAGCAATTTACTCGTCGATCCCGAAACCCCGAAACGTCGCGGGCAAACGACTTGATTTGGTCAAACTTTTGACTAACGTTATGCCCCGATAATATGATTCTTACTGACGGTAGTTTTACCCATCACTTGCTCATTTTGACTTGGAAGGACCTTGGGTCCACCGAAGCCATTAAGTAGTAGTGATGCTGCTGGTCCTTCCTAAGCTTAACAAGAAATTCGCATCGACCATTCGTCATTCGATGTCGACTTCAATAAGCGATAAACTGCTGACATGAGCATTAAACTGATGGTGACACGAGTTGTTTGACACGATATCGACAAAAATGATCGTCTTGTGAGTCGATATCGACAAAAATGATCGTCTTGACCAATTATATGGCAAAGAAACCCTGATGTACACTCTGATTGGTTCATAAGCAGAAGTGTTTCCACAAACAAGTCATTTAATCTTTACAAAACGGTATTATAATTGCAAATCGAAGTCCTCCAACGAGGCTCCAACGAGGGACCTGTAAATGTGGCACGGAACTCGGCCCTTACGTATAGCAACAGAAAGAAATCCTTGAGACTTGCTACAACCCTTGTCTCTCGCAGACGTGCCCTTCGGTGCCTTTCTTTGCCTAGGTCGTCCAATCGGGCAGCGAATTTATTTACTCCAAGCGGTAGACCATCTTTCGCTTTCGCCGCCATCGCCAGCGCATGGACGACACAACGTCGTCGTTCTTGTCGTCGAAATTCAGGTTGTCCAGCAGCGCGTACAGCGCATTGTCGTATCTCGAGCACATCCAGTTGACAAATAGCGTTTGAAACTGCTTGGGTTGTTGGTCCAGAATGTACGAGGCAAAGCAGATCAGGTAAAAGTACCGCTCCAAGTAGTTCACTACAAGGTCATACTTAATGTATCGATCAACAACACTCGAAACGACAGTCGTACCCGCTCGCTGCATGAAATACTCTTGCTTTTCCACCGACAACCCGTTCTCCTTGGTTAAATCGCGGCACGACTCGATGCAATCGCGAAGATTTTGCACGTGGTCGGCCATGTCCACGGCGTAGTTGACCAAGTTGAGACTCTCGTTGCCGTTGTCGAGGACAGCAACCAACTCGTCAATCACGCCAAAGTGCGCCGATGATTTCGGCTCGACTGTCGACGGCACGGCGCCGGCGACGACAGCGCGAAGCATGTACATGCACACGAGCATGGTCGTGGTCCGTCCGCGGCCCATTTGGCAATTGCAAACGATCGCCGTGGGGTGCAAACTGCCGACTTCGGACGTGAAGATCGGGCCCAAGAGCCGCACGAGGTCGTCAAAATCTTTTTCCTCTGGGGCAATTTCGTCCGAGACCTACCAATGAAAACGATTGGTTTCGATCGACGGATGGCATATCGATCCATATATATATATATCTCAAGAGCAGGCAGTTTGGTAAGTACTGGAATGCGCGCGTAGCGGACATCAAAACCGGCGCGGCGCACGGCGTGGTACGCATCTTCGAGCGTGAAAATGTCGTTTTCAGGCGAGATCACGTCAAACGATTCCTCTGTCACGTACTCGCGCGGCTCGTGCCTAATGCATCGTCGTCGTCAACACAACACGCATGTCCAACGCTGACACAACCAGACGTACAAGTGCTTGAACAGTCCGTTGCTTTTCGTCACTTTTTCCATGAGTTCTTTCTTGAGCGTGGCTTCGATGGCTGTGATTTCATTCACTTCGATGCCAGGGTACTCTGCGTTCAGAAACACATTGCCTTGGTTGCGCACGGCAAACGGCCGACCGGCCACGTACAAGATGACTTCTTCGCGCAGGTTGATCCAGATCGCCTTTGGGTGACCAACGGTGCGCAGGTGCTGCAACACATCCGCAATGCCTTCTTGATACACCTGAAGAAATCATCATCGTCCACGTCATGATAGAAAAACGATCCATGGGACAACTCAACATCCAACCAACCTGCGCCGTGCCAAAGATGGGAAAATCCCCCACTTGGCGAAAATTGGGCACGTTCGGCCCCAATATCATCGGCAACCGATTCAGCCCTGGAAAGTGGTCGAACTTCAAAATGTTATTTTTCAGCACCTTGCTGGACGGGTACGTGGCGCCCCCCATGGTGTCCAAGAGTCGGAACAAGTCCGTGTGGCTTTGGAGCCACGTCGAGTACGGTACGGAATCCGTCGACGCACTGGTCAAGTACGACCCAAACACGATAAAGTAGAAGTAGCGCTCCAGAAGCCGACACGCGCGATGCTATGAATATCAAGTCAGTCCATGATCATGTAAATATATATGGAAAAGAGGTTTACCAAGTAAAACGAGCGTTTGGCCGGCTTGGCTTCTTCCAGTGATCTCTAGCATACGTTGCACGACACGTTAGGAAAACGAATAGTAGTATATTATTATTGTTGTGTGTTTATATCCAGACGCAAATGTGCAGAAGACGCGGAAAAAGTATTTAGCCAATCAGATTGCATCAGTTCAACCAATCAACAACTAACAAATTCGTGTCATGGCTTTTTTTATATACAAAATTCAGTACAAAAAATCGATAGCACAACAGCCAGTCCAATACTACGTCAAGATGGGACCTCACCGCGCGGTACTCGTTGATAACGAGGCGAATGTTGTATATGACAGACGCGTCGTCGATGACGTTATCAATCCACCCTTTGGTTCGAACGCCGTTCTCCAATTTGTCACATAGCGCGAGGATGACCTAGGACCACAGCTCGTGGCTATTCCAAGTCGGTGAAACCCTCCAATACCTTGTACAGCCCGTGCTTGTAGTCTGCATTTCGAGGGTCCATCGTCATGGCACGAACAAGTCTCGAGTCGGGGTGGTCGTGAGCATCCAATGGCGATTGGACTTGGGTAGGCGCAGACCAGATCAAATACGCCAGCGACATGGCCGTGGTGGTGCGCCCTCGTCCTTTCTACAGCCACATGTCACCCATCGCAAGCCACCATTGTGGGACCAAACCACCTGGCAGTTGAAAACCAGCGCTGTGGTTGCATCTGCGCTGCGAAGCCAATCGACGAGTCGGTCCACGATGGAATGTTCGGGGAAGTTTTCGCGGTCGATGGGCGCCCGATGGTACGTCAATGACTGAATGCCAGGATGTTGGATGCGGCTCATGAGTTCTGGCAACGTCAAGACCTACAGGCAATGGTGATCAAGGTGGTGTGCGGTTGAAAGGGTTGTAGTACGTGGGAAGGGTCGACGGTGCTCACAGCGAGCTCGTTGCACAGCAGCGTCGGCTCGTGCCAATACTCAAACTTGTGGTCCGACAGGTTCAACTGGTCCACCAAGCTATTCTTGAGCGACAATTCGAGCACGCTGATGTTGTGTCCTGTCATGCCTGGCACCAAGTCGTTGTCGTTCAATTTCCCGCTTCGCCGCGCCGTGAAAGGAGTGCCGTCGACGAAGATCACAGCTTCCTACACCATGAGAATGGAGAACTACCGGTGTATGACAAGGACAAGCGTACGTCGCGCAACGTCACCCACACCACTTTTGAGTACCCGTCGGCAGTGACCGTATCCAAAATGTGGTTGATTCCTGCCTATAAAATGGACATGAGCATGCTGCATGTTAACATGGGGGGGGTGAGGTGTACTTCGGATGGCTGAGCACTGCCATAGATTGGAGAGTCCTTGAGGCGACGAAAGTTCGGCGCTAAAGCAGCGCATAATGGAATGAATTTTTACGTGATGGGGACGTACCGATATCGCCGTGCAATGTGTCGAGTTTGTGCATGCCAGGTACACGATCCTTCTTGAGCAAGTACTTCTTGAGCACGCACGTTCCTTGCTGCTGAAACTGCTTGGCCCGCATGATAGTATCGCGATCTTTGGCCCCACGAAACCCCGCTTGGATGACGGTCGCAGCATTCCCCAGCGACACTTGTTCGCGGAGGTTGTCGAGTTGTTCGTTCAAGTCGGACACGTTCTGTTCGAGGTGTTCAGCGTGATCCACCAACTTCTGGATGAGCGCCAGGAAGGTGGAGCCGGCGATTGGCAAGGTCTCCGCATTCAATATGTCTTGTACAATGTCGGCAACCGTCGCCATGATGTTACTCTCGGACTGATGGAGAGGAACAAAATCAATCGATCTTGTGCACCCACTTTACTGTGAAGAGATTGATTTGGTCGTCCGGGATCTGATTTGTCGACGACGACAAGCATCATCACGTCATGCTTCGAACGACAATGGGTACCCATGTATCATGCTCGTCATCGTGGGCACGATGGCATGTCGTGCATGATATCGTTTTCGCGTGGCATGCTTGGAGGAAAGGACATGCGCACACGGACCGCCGCGGAACGATACAGATAGTAAGTTTGTACCACGTCTCTAGGTTCAAAGTGTGTTGGGAGAAAGGGGGCGGCAATATTTTTGAATTCCAACCAATCAAAATGCTACAAAGTGTGGGAAAAATTAAAAATCAAACCTGGTATACATTTTACAAGGTATTGGATGATTTTTATGTTTTAGATCTACATCATCAGTCTTCAATTTTGATCCCGTGAGCGCGAAATGACATCCACGTCCAACATGCAGGTACGCAGCTCTACATGTGGAACGAGGCGTAATTACTCTGGAGTGTAGGCAGTCAAGTGGTTAGGAATGGACCGAGATGGGAAGATGACGGTGTCTCCGTCTACGTCGCTCAAGGTGCTTCATGCGCTGCCAGAAAGGCACAATGTCAACTTGATCAGTATCTTTGGGGCGGCGCGCCAGGGAAAGTCGTTCCTGATGAACCTCCTCGCGAACCAACAAGACTTGTTTCGTATCTCCAACGAAAAGGAACCGTGTACTCAAGGTGTCGACCTCTCGAGCCACTTCATGCCGTTGGAGGCGTTTAGTCGAATCAACGGCTGCCCGCCTGTTTCAAGCCCCAACATGAGCATTGGGTTTGTCGATGCTGAAGGACAAGGCGATCGCGATATCACATGTACGGTGAACGTATGCACGCATCGATCTAACGTATTCTCCTTGCAGACGATTCCCGCTTGGTGTCTCCAGTGCTGTTGGCATCCAAAGTCGTGATTTTCAACTGGAAGGACTCTCTCCAAGCCGACCGCATGCTTAATTTGCTCGCTGTCCTGGCCAAAGCTGCCCAAAATGTTGAATTGGCAGAAGGAGAAACGCGCAAGGTGTTTGGCCATCTCCACATGTACGTGTGTCCATTCGAAAGTCCAACTCCCGCCTCATGCGTCGTCCTACGTAGCGTCTTTCGCGACTGGAATTTCATCAACACGAGTCCAACCGAAGTGCACGATACGCTCTTTAAGAAGGAAAAAGGCGCGTCCAAAGAAGTTAGCAACCGCAACCTTGCGCGGCATGAGTTGAGCGAGGCGTTTGAAAGCATTAGCATTTGGCTGTTCCCATTGCCGGTACAAAATGTGTTGAAGTAACCCAACCACTGTATTCATCGACTCAATAGGTGGTGAGCACTGCCCAGCTGAGCGAACGCATTCGATTTGAGCAGCTGCAGCCGTCCTTCCAAAGCAAGCTGCGCGAATTGAGAAAAACCATGTCACAGCAGCTGCAGGACCCGATGCTGTTCAATCAGCAGCCCCTGACGGGCCGTAAATTGGCCGACATGATGCCACTCTTTGCAGAGGTACACAGGGTTTCGTTTATATATTCCTTTCGTCGGGATGTTTCTAACATGACAACGGAAGAGCCTGAACGACAACCGAGTGATCATGCCCGAGTCTATTTACTCGTCGATGCGGCGGGCGGAAGGGAAGAAGATTCAATTGCATGCAGAAGATGCTATCCGCAACTTTTGCAAGGCGCAACTGGAACTGCCGTCGTTGGTCGACACGCAAGCATTTACAGCTCAAGTGCACCTTGGGTACGTTGTTTGATTCCATGTTGTAAAAATCGTCAATGACCATACCAATCTACTCTAGGCTGGTCAAGTTGGTGCAAGGAACGTTGGAAACCTTGCGATCGTTTCCGTCGGACGTGGCGGACGAGTGCCACAAGGCCCTGCACTTGTTTGTCGAGCGCGAACTCGAATTGGCATCCAAGTCCAATAACGAAAAGGTATTTCTCGAGGTGTATTTGTCTCACTTTTGTGTTAGATTTTGCAACACTTCCACACCCTTGTCGACCGTTCTAGCACCTCCATCAGCGACAACATCAAACAACTCGAAGCCGCACTCCCTGTGGCCCCAGCGGCGCTTTCGCAGCAGTGCGACGCCATTGTCCATGACGCCGTGGTATCGCTTCAGAAGTGCCCCAAGACGACGTTGAGATCGTTTGACAATGACATCCGTCGCTTGGAGCAGCAAGGATTGGCACTGAAGGAGCGACTTCAGCATTTGAATGAACGCGCGATTCGTGAACGCTCGTCCAAGTTGCTGGTAAGCTCTTTGGGCTTGTATGAATTGAATGACCCATGTTTTCAAGTCACAATTTGGTATTGTAGGCTCAATTGTCGTCTTGCAAAAGTGAATTGAAGAGCAAGGGTACGACTTGGCTGGACAAGCAAATTGCAAGCGGCACGCCGTTTACCATTTCGATGCTCGAAGAGGAATTGCTTCGTTTGCATGCGTCGTTCGATTTTGGCGAGCCAAACCCTGCTGTGGACGAGGTCGACATTGAGCAAGAGATGCGCGAGTTCCACGCGCAGTTGCTGGACGACCTGAAGCGCCAGTACACGTTTCACATCCGTCGTGTGGTCCTCCAGTTCATTGGCACAGCCAAGTCCTTGTTGGAAAAGGAACTGCAAGTGATTGTGCTGCCAATGCCCGATCAAAAGCTGCGGGAACGAATCCACGAATCAAAGGAACGTGTCGTCCTGGATATCGCAAGCCAAATGCAAGGGTGGAGCTTTCCTCAAGAAGAAATGGTGCATTTTGGAAACGCTGTCACAGAGTACACGCAACAAGTACGTATATTGAATATATATACCTTACGAACTCCTGGTTTAAGTTTCTATATTGCCCTAGTTGCAAGACGCGTATAGCAAGCAAAACCAATCGGCCTCCAAGGACTCTGCCGCCCGGGAAGCGTCTGCGCGGTACAAAGTTGCAAAAGACGCGCTGATGCACTCGTTGAACGAGGCTATCATCGGAGCTATCCCAATGTCAGTGGACGCCCTGGAACGACTGTACGACGAACACTTGCTTCGAACGTGCACCCAGTTGAGCGACGGCCACCAAATCAAGCACGAGAAGATCATGCAATCTCTAAAAGCGGACCTGGCCACGCTAATGATGCAGCTCAAGACAATCAACACGTGCGTAATGTACGAATTCGCGCGCTAAATCTCGTGAACTTTTGTAGCAAGGAAACCGAAAAAGCCGCCTTGATGAACGCTGCAGAGACAGAACGGCAACGAACGGAAGCGTTGGCGAATCAAGTAAAGCAATCCCAGGCTTTAGCCGCAAGTAAGCGCTTCATCTATAATCTACTCGTGCTTAGTCTTGTTAGAGCGGGAGCAAGAAATGCACTCCAAGTTGTTGGAAAAGGAGACCAAATCGAAGCACTTGCTGGATGAGTTGTCGTCGCAAGAGGCAAAGACCCAAGCATTGGAACGTGAGCTGCAGCTGGCGAAACAAAAGGCAATCGAATTAGCCGAGGAAAAGAAGCGAGCTGAAGCCGAAGGACTGAAACTGGCCTCGAAAGAGCGACAAGATGCCCAACGCTTGATTGAGGAAAACTCCACAAAGCAAAACAAGCTGCAGAGCGAACTTCGAGCGATTCAGGCCCGCTTGGAGCAGCAGCAAATCATCCTTCAGGTACGTACCCCTGTAGGATTTACGAGGGTCATTCATAGCTCATGCCAACCCCAGGCCAAAGAAAGAGAGGTCCAAGCTGCTGAAATCGCGAAAGAAAAGGCGAAACAGTTGAGTTTGGAGAAGGACCGAGCGTTGAAAGCGGTCGAGCGGGAACGCGCGTTGCGGGAAAAATTGAGCGAAGACATCTTGTCCCACCAAGCGCAAACTGCCAGTACACGAGTAGTCTGTGGATAACAGATTAACCTCATGGGTTGTAGAGCTGGAAACGACCATGTCCAGCGTCATTCGCGAAAAGACCCGCGAGACCGAGCAATTGCAGGCGACGTTGACGGACCAAGAGCGCAAAACGCAGCAGCTGGAGCAAGAACTGCAGCGCATGAAAGACCAGGCGCAGGCTCTGGCCCAAGAAAAGGAGCACTGGCGTCGTCAAAACGAGGCCATGGCCAAGTCGAAATTGGACATGGAAATGCAAGTGAAGGATGAAGCTGCCCGTCGGGAAGCAGCCGAAGCGGCGGCTGTGCAGGTACATGTATGTCAATATTTCGATGGCTTATGTCGCCAAAGGCTGGCCAAGCTGCGGAGGTTGCTGCCAAAGCAGCGATGGAGGCCATGGATGTTACGCCCGAAAAAAAGCGCAAGACACCGGTCGCATCGTCCAGCTCCAAGAAGGCCAAGAGATTGGATGTCAAGGCTCCGTTGCCGAAACTTTCCCTCCAAGAAGCCAAGCGCCTAGCGAAGGAAGAAATGGACAAACGTGTGGGGGAACGTATTGCAAAGTTGAAAAAGTAGTAAGATTGCACATGTCAGTTTTAGCATTTCAACGATATAATTTTGAAATCAACGTGGTTTTTTCGAGAACTTTTATTGTGGTTTGTTTATTGTTAGATCAAAATTTCCTCCGGCGGTTGGTTGAATTTCAACCGCCGAACAATCGCCGGACCTTCGAAATTTCATATATAACTAAGTTGAAGAGGTACCGTTGTGACTGCAATACTACAATCAATCTATTTAGCCAATCATATTGCAGCCTTCATTCGTTGTAGCCAATGAATTGCAACATTCATTCGTTGTAGCCAATCATACTCCTTTTCTCGATTAGTTGGCGATTTCATCAATCCCAGGCAAAGGAAGTAACGTTATCCGGATAGTTCACGTGGCCAAAAACAGGCAAATTTGACTGAAAAGCACAACATTTTTCTTAAATTAAAGTGACATTTTTCTGAAAGGCGTTAAATGGAACCCGCTTCGATTTTATTCGAGATGACAACGCCACAGCAGCATGACACGTTCTTCCTCGCGACGCATCTGAAGTACTTGGCCAATCTGTCCAAACAGAAAGAGAGTCTGGAGAGCTGCCTCAGCGAACACTTGCGCGTGTCGGCGTTCTACTGGGCGGCGGGAAGTCTCTGTGCATTGGGCAAAGCCCACCACATTCCGGACGAGCTCATTCAATGGCTTCTGGCATGCCAGCACCCTAACGGCGGCTTCGGCGGGAATGTGGGCCACGACCGACACTTGCTTTACACGTGTCACGCAGTGCTTTCGCTTGTGATGTTGGGGAAGGAAGACCACATCCTCGCGCAAGAAACCACCGACTTTGTCGTGTCGTTGCAGCAGCCGGACGGGTCCTTCGTCGGCGATATCCACGGCGAGGTCGACACCAAGTACACGTACTGCGCGTTGAGTGTGCTGAAGATCCTCAAGCAAGAGCATCGCATCAACATGGACGCCGCCATGGCACACATCAAGACATGCCAGAACTTTGACGCAGGGTTTGGCAACATCCCCGGCTGCGAGTCGCACGGCGGTCACATTTTCACGGCTGTGGGTGCGCTTTCTATGGGCCACCAGCTTGATAAGGTACGACGTCGCCCTCGACATCATCTACATGACGCTCTCTCACGGCCATCATGATGCTGCAGTACGTGGACGTGGACAGTTTGGGCTGGTGGCTCTGCGAGCGGCAATGCGATTCCGGTGGTCTGAACGGCCGTCCTGAAAAGCAAGCCGACGTGTGCTATAGCTGGTGGAACATTTCGTGTCTTGTCATGATGGGTACACACACAGATATATATCATTTATTTCTCGTCTCTCCACTATCATGTGACGCGTAGGCAAATTGCACTGGATCAACAAGGACAAGTTGATTCAATTCATATTGAACTGCCAAGACAAGGATGACGGCGGCATCGCCGACCGCCCCGGCAACGTCAGCGATATCTTCCACACGTTTTTCGGCATTTGCGGCCTCAGCATGCTCGGGTACTTTGACGACCAGCCAGCATTTGCCGCCATCAAGAAGGTCCACCCTGTCTTTGCCATCCCGGACGCGGACGTGGCCCGACTGGGGCTCACGGCGCAGATCATCTTGTAGGCTGCCCCTAACGACAATGCATGCATACTTTGGTCTTGGCTTCGCTAAAAGGACAGCAAGCTTCGACGCAGTACATGACCACAACGACGACTTGCGACCGTATCGCTGCGACTCTAGTGTGGTGGCACTACGTCGTGGCAGATTTCAGACTGCACCACATCTCAGAGCTACTGTAGTTAGTTGATTCCTAAGAAAGGAATCAACTCATCACAAAGCACTATAAACGCCACAAACAAGAAAGGGTAAGTGTCAACGTCCTTGGACAATGTATTAGAGGAGGTTGTTGGTCGACCCTTCAGCTACGCGGGCGCAAGTTAAAGATCCATGGGCGTGCCGTCTTCCACGACCACCAGGGGCTCGAAGTGTTGGCGCACAACACCTACATCAACGTTAGAATAACACAAACACACGAGGAAATCGACGTACGCGTGGCGCCGCGAGGGATGTTGGTGACGACGTTTCGGTTGATCTGGTTGCGGAGGACGCTCACTTCGTTGGGCTTGATGATGTTGAACTCCTTTTCCACAATGACTTGGCCGGCCGCATCGCGCTTGATCGTGAGGATGTCCACGTTGCTTCCACTGCCCAAGTCGTTGAAGATACCCGCCAAAATCGCTTGTTGCACCAGCTTCTTGGCCGACGCTTCGTCCAAATCGTCCTGGTATCCTGCTTCAAAGATAGCCATGGCGGCCAAACTCCCACTTCCCATTGTCACGAACGGGAGACGATCGGTACTTCCGTGGGGGTAAATCGTGTACAGCGACGGACCGGTCACGTCGAGTCCGCCCAGCACGAGCGCGGCGCTCAAGTGGCCTTGGTATTGAAACAGCTTTTGCTTCAACAAGGTCATGGCAGTCGCGACGCGGGATTGAGAGTCCGTATTCAAGCGATGCAGCTCCAACGCGGACGAGATGATTTGCGTCACGTTCTCCGTGTCCGCGGCAGTCCCGGCCCCACAACAGTAGATATTCGGGGCAATGTAATGGATCTTCTCGCAGTTCTTGTCCATCACGGTACTTCCGCCCGTGGCGCGGGTATCCGCTCCAAGGACAATCCCGTCCTTGTACACGAGGCCAACGATGGTAGTCCCAGTCTTTTGCACTTTAAACGGCGCGTTCTTGGTCTTATTCCCCGCTGCTTGTGTTGTGTTGTTCAAGATGAATTCGTTGCGACGGACGTTGGAAAAGCTGAAACCCCCCTCTGGTTCCTCCATCATCATGGCGCTCTGCTCGAAGTGCGCATTCTCACGGCGGCGGGACTGTGTGTCGCGGAATTCACTCATGCTGGTTGCCGAACACTCGTGATTTTGTGGGAATCAAAAGATGCCAATCGGACGGTATCCGGATATCTGCCGGATACGACAAGCAAAAGTGACCGCACAAAGCCTATCTTCTCCCCTCTCGCTAAAGTCCTCCTACGTTGTACCTTATCGAAGGGTTGCGATCTTGTCACCTCCGTGTCAGTGGAAGTGATGAGTTTACCTGCAGTCTCAAGGTCGCGGTAAACACTGTGATCGCACAAGCAAAAGGATGCCTGAGCTTGTCAAGACATGTCCATTTACTGTCCTTGCAACCCCTGTCTGGAGCGGGTTCATAGAAGTTCCGTCTATAGGGCATCGTCGCCTTCCATCATAACACTGAGCTCACCTTGTTGGCCATTTTTGTCCTACATCGTTTGACATCTAGTAATTAGACGATTACATGCATGATCCTGCACCTGTGGACTAGTGCTCTGCGTGCGTGCGTTTCCTCGGCGAGCCTGGCTGACGTTGATGAAGTGAAGCACCACTCGACGGGGTACCAACACTCTGGTTTGCTTCTTGGAGTTACGTGGATATAAATAAAGCAGAAAAAGGAATTGATTTTAAAATCAATTTCAAACGGTCCTTACTGTTAATGCAATCGAGTGATAATTCGCGAAATGTTATTATATTTTGACGGTGTAGTCATTGTAGAATCGCCCCGTTTGCCGACGCGAACAGCATGGCAGCTCATGCGGAAATCAAAGCGGAAGAGTTCTTCCGCGCGGGCGAGAAGGCCCTAACCAAGTTCTCCCTCTTCAGTTCGTCGTCCAAGTACGAAGATGCGTCGGACTACTTTGAAAAGGCTGCCAACCAGTACAAGATTGCCAAGAAATGTACGGAGTCCCAACATACCTCCGTAGTATCTCACGACACACTTCTCTTCCCAGGGCAAGAATCGGGCGAAGCGTTTGCCAAATGTGCCGATTGTCAAATGCGCATGAAAGAGAACTCCCGCGCGGCCCAGTACTATCAGCAAGCGGCCGAAGCCATCTCAAAGGCGAACCCCATCGGTAACGATACCCCTGCAAGTCCTGTCTGCTCTATATGTTGTGTTCATGTGTTCCATGCGCATGTAGACGCGGTGACATACTATCGCACGGCGATCTCGATGCAATGCGATGCCGGGCGGTTCTCAAATGCGGCCAAGCTGCAAAAGCAGATCGCCGAAATCTACGAACAAGCGGGCCAGATGCAGGAAGCGCTCGAGAACTACAGCCAAGCGGCGGACTACTTTATCGGTGAAAACCAGCCGTCGTCGGCGCAGCCCATGTTGCTCAAGGTTGCGCAATTCTCGGCGGAACTCGAACGCTACCCCGCGGCCATTGAAATCTACGAAAAGGTTGCCAAGACGTCGATGGAGAGCAACCTGCTCAAGTACAACGCCAAGTCGCACCTGCTGAACGCCGGGATCTGCGCCATGTCGTCCAAGGACATTGTCCTCGTCAAGCAAAAGATCGACGAGTTCAACGACATTGACTACACGTTTCCCGACTCGCGCGAGGGCAAATTCCTCACGGTACATACATACTCGTCCCCATGTTCGTGTTCTTCGTGCCGACGACATGGTAGGCCATGGCCAACGCGTACGAGTCTTTCGATCCGGACGGGTTTGCCGACGCCGTGTACGAGTTTGACACGATCACCAAGCTCGATCCGTGGAAGGTGTCGCTGCTGCTCAAGGTCAAGCAGTCGATTGAAGTGGACACCCACGATGATTTGACTTGAGGGATAAAATATATGTTGTTAATCTCCATCGTCGTCGCCAATCAAGCTCAATTTCTCGGAAAACGACACGGATGGCGACGTTAGCGGGCCTTGTGCGTTGAAGTAGTAGCGCTGGTACGCCGGTAGCGACGCATACTCGTCCGACGAGGGCGACGCGCGGACGCCAGGGAAGCACTCGTGGTGCCCCATCGCCGCGCGCTCGTCGTCCATGAGCCGCTGGTTGAGCACGAACCAGTCGGGCAAATGCGGCGGCAACGTGACCAAGTCCACGTCGAAGAACTCGATGAACTGCTCGTTTTCAAACTTGGTTTTCGTCGTACCTGCCAAGTTGCGGTACTTGTCGATGGTGGCGGTGAGGCTCCAATTCTGGAGACGCCGGAGACACCCAATGACGGAGCTAGAAGAGGAAAACGGAACGAGATGAGTATAGATGCAAGGGAGGAAGGAGGTCGTAGCGATGGGAGGATGGAGGGACGAAGGATGTATGTATGTACGCACCCCGAGATGTGGATGCCAGTCTTGCACATGACCATGATGGGATACCGCCGCTGGTCCAAGATGCACTCGATCGCTTCCTTGGTCATGCCTTCCGTGATGCCCTTGGAGGTTCGGTACTTGGACCCGAGATGTACTACCATCACGTCGCGTTCTTTGAAAAAGTCGGTCAATTCCCGCCCCAAGTCGTCGGTCGACAGGTACACGACCGTGTTCAACCCGAGCTGCGACACGAACGAAAACGACGAGCTGTCAAACTTGTTGCATCGAAACACTTCGCTTTCGACGATGCCAAAGTACAGCGGCGGGTTCAGGACGGGCAACGACGCATGGAACGGGCCTTGGCCTGACGTCGTTTGTTGGGTCGCTTGGGGAGGAAAGGGTGTGGACGAGTTCGGGATCGTGATGCTCAAGGATGGAACGGCTACGTACGACATCATAGAAGGGATGTGTCCGTCGGGTCAGTCTACCTGCTTCACGAACCTGGTGGAGCGGAAGTCGACTCGGCCGCTTCATCTTTCGACATCGTGTTGGGGGCTGAACTAATGAGGGGTGACATTGCATATATTTGGTTTTGCCGAATAATGTACAGGTCCTTCGACCTGCGCTTGGTACTCCAAAGCAGCCAAGCACGACCCAAGTGATGCTTACGCTAGTGTTAGATAACCATACTCTGGACCCTCCCAGCCTACAAGCCCTTCGAGTATGCCATGCAGTAGTGTACGTACTACTTACTGCAGCTCTACCCAAACTCCTTGCTACCCAGCCACCACCTTTCCCACAACATCTCTTCACTACTGTACCCAGCCCTGAACCATAGTCTTCAGTAGAGCTATACGTACAGTACAGCACCCAGTCCTGCTTGGAGCGTATATACACACACATACACCTGCATGATGATGCAAAGGAGAGCTAGCTCCACCCATGCTAGGACATGACGGTCGCGCCTTGAGGTCAAAATCAATAGTTTCGTATTGTTCTTAACGCCATGTTTGTGCCCTACAGTCAAGTCAAAAAGCGAGGCAGTCGAGTAAAGCAACAGCAGCCCAAACAACGTGATGCTTTGTCGTCTGCAGGCCCGGTGGAAGTGGATTGCGCCATTTACTTCTTGCCACCAGACTTGTCCAACATGCCCACGGCGCTGCGGGCGCCACGGCGGCCAGTGGTACACGTGTGTTGACCACGCACGCGGAGGCCCCACCAGTGACGCAAACCGCGATGGATGCGCACCTTCTTCAAGCGTTCCAAGTCGTCACGCAACTTGGTGTGCAAGATGTTGGCCACGGCTTGCGAGCTCTTACCGGTCTTGAAGTCCTTTTGTCTGTTGAGGAACCAGGTGGGGATCTTGAATTGGGTCGGGTTTTGGATGATCGCGACGAGACGTTCGATTTCGTCGTTGGTCAATTCACCGGCACGCTTGGTGATGTCCACTTCGGCCTTCTTGCAGATCATGATCGCGAAACGGCGACCAATACCTTGCACGGCGGTCAACGCGACCCACGCCTTGCGGCGTCCGTCCACGTTCGTATTCAAAATACGCAGGATATGCTGGAAATCGGGTCCCATAACGAGCGACTAGAGGAAGAAGAAGGGGGGGAGGACGCATGTGAGTTGACCTGTACATGTGGAAGTTGCTGTTTGCCTTAACATACCATGGCTGATTGGCTTGCGTTTGCAGTTTTGGGCTATGGCGACAATGAAATTCCATTCGCCAAACACACCAAATGAATGGTCTAAGCTAAGCCGACCCACCACCAATATCTCGTGTCCAATCACATCGCGTATTCGTCGCATTATTCATTTTTAACCAATCAAACATCGAGTCATTATTGCACTGCAGCCGATCAATTCCATGGGTCCCTCTACGGTACTGTTTAAAGTACGCTTGGGATATCGTACTTTAGAACTATATTGGTCTTTGCTTGAATGGTCACAATCAAATTCGAACTTTATCGAGTACATTCTCAACTGGGAGGGGGCCATGATTTGATCACTTGGCCTACATGGACATCGGCGCAATCGATCGGACGATGACACAACTCTCTGCATAGCTCAAGGACACCAGTGGTCGGGATGCATTAAGCTGACGAATGCGTAGAAGTGTTATAGAGGGTTGTGAGAAGTGCAGATGAACTCCCCATAGTGTCGTATGTTTACCCCGGTAGCTTGGAATGGTTGCAATGATCGTCATGTGACGGCGTCACTGCAACAGCTATGGACGGAACGCGTCCATGTGCAGCAGTGTAAACGCTGCATTGCTAACACCAGTATACTTTACGCATGTGTCTATGGAGACTTGCATCATCCATCATGTCACTTTGTCGCTCACGGGTGCAACTTGTCCTTGAGGAACTCGTCGTGTTCGACGGGATCGTCCATTTCGAGATCGGCCACGTTGGCGCCGAGGGTACTACTGGCATAGTCCGAGCCAACGGTACTTTCATAGTCCGAGGAGTCGCCGTCGGGGCGGGACGTCATGGCGTCGACTTCGTCTTGGGGGTCGATGGTGGGGAGGAGGCAGAGGAAGAAGATCGGCACGATCTTCATGACACTCCGAATCGTGATGGCCATCCACAGATTCTCATATGCGTTCCGCGCAATACCAAGGTGCGCACAGAGAGACGCGCCCCAGAACGAACTCACGGTCCACGCCATGTTGGAGATGGACATGAGCAGCGCAAAGAACGTGCCTTCGATGCCTTTGGGGCACAGCTTTGCGCAGAGCACAAGCAGCGGCATCGACTTCATGCGGCCGATGATGTCGGAGATGATCGCATCTCCAATGACAAACCACTTGTCGGGGATGCCAAGGTCCAGGTTGCGTCGGGTCACAAGCAGCACTTCGGCCAGCGACACGAGCGCGAGCCCAATGTGCGCAAAGAAGAACATTGTACGGAACGGCACGTCCTTAAAGCACGAGTTGTACACGATCGTACCAACCATTAGAAACACAAACCTACAAATCCACGTGTGTTTGGCAACGTCGTCGTCGTCGGTACGTACCCCAACGCGCCCATGTTGCCGAGAAACTCTTCCGAGAAATGCAGCTCCTCCGTGAGAAAGTAAAATTGGATCTGCCCAAATGACGGCGAGATGGCCGTGGCGCTGAATAAAAACAGCGCGGCGCGCCACACGACGGGGATGCGCAGCGCCTGGCACAGCAGCCGCACTTGCTCGCGGGCGACCTGCGGACACGACTTGGACCGTGAGGCCGCTCTGGTTTCGGACATGGAGCACGAGAGGAAGAACAGCGTGATGGGGCCGACGGACGCGAGCAGAAACACCATGTTCGGCCCGAGGTGGCTGGTTGCGGGGCCGGCGAGAAGCGAGCCGAGGATGCCCCCCAGCGCCATCATGCACCACGTGAGCGACTGCAAGTCCGTCGCCCCTACCGACGACGCACGATGAGACGAAGAAGAGATGAAGGAAGGATGGAACGTACCGTCCTTGGGATCGAGCCGCGCGCGCTCGACGACCAACGCGTCGATGATGACGTCGCTCACGGCAGTGGATGCGCTGGACCCGATCAATATGAGCATAAGGAACGAGATGGACGAGTCGGGGGTGATCGAGTACAAACTGTAGAACGCAGCGATTCCCACCATGTTCATGAGCACGAGGTACGACTTACGCCGGTACCCAAACAGCGGCAAACTGTCCGACAGGATGCCGTACACGGGCTTGATACCCCATGGAATACCCGTGGCCGTCATCACCGCTTGGGAATCTGCCGGCTGGAGCTTCATCACGTCCTTGATTAAATACCCCAGCGCGAACGAACTGAAGCTGTTGAAGCCTTGGACAAAGTACACGGTCCCGATCAACGACAGGAACGGCACGCCAAACGTTTCCCGGAGCTTCCGGGCCCATGCGGCGACGCGCGACCGAATGCTGCCACCAACTGGTGACTCTCCTTTGTCTACAGGATCATTAGCAGGATGGTCGGGATCGTCGTCGTGATCCAAGTCCTTGCCATGCTTGCCAGCGTCGTAATCATCGCTCGACGTGCGCCGAGTCGCAGTCGGCGACGTGACTGCTTTGTCTTCGCTCGCCGCGTCCCGCCGTCCACCACCCTTTCGGCTGTGGATGCTGTACAAGGGCGCTTCATCGCTAAACCCTTCTCGATGCACCCCATCTGCCTCCATGTCTCTTGATGTCCTGCCTCGAACTTTCGTGTTGGCTTTGCGACAACCTCCGGATAAAGTCGAACATATTATCCGTATGGTTGTGCAGCGATTGTTTGGCACGAACTCAAGTTCTCGGCTTCTGCATCCATGATGACGCGCACCTGGCTGACGCTCTTGTTGGCTGAAAGGGCTGTCATATAAACGCTTGCCTGCCAGCTTATTACTGTAGCAGTTTTCTATTCCGCTACACGTCACTTCGCTGCTTCTTGTCTCCTAGCATGCCTGCCTCGTCGTCGTCATTGATGGTTACATCATCGGTGGCGGGGACGACGGTATGCCGTGTCGCAACCTCAACTTCATCCGCAGGATCGTGATCCGGCAGCATCCACAAGAATCCGAGGGGCAGAAGCATCATGCTACTTCGGATCAAGATGGCGACCCAAAGCAGGTCGTACTTCTGGCTTGCAATGCCGAGCCAGTCCGCCAAGATGGCTCCCCAGTAACCGCTGACGGTGTAGCTCAAGTTCATGTTGGCCATGAGGAGTGCGAAGAACGTGCCTTCGATGCCGCGGGGACAGAGTTTGGCGCACAGGACAAGCACTGGCATGCCAATGAGTCGCCCCACAACTTCGCCAAACATGGATTCCAACAAGACGAACCATCCGTCAGAGATGCCCATTTTGATGTTACTGCGCGTCACAAGCAGCACTTCAGAGACGGACACGACGGCCAAGCAAATCTGCGCACGCATCAAAATGGCTCGGAATGGCATGACCTTGAACCATGCGTTGTAGACCAACGTCCCGACCAACAGAAACACAAACCTACAACCCTTCCCTAAATGAGTACTAGTATTCAAACACGTAGTTGCTTAGGAATCGTCGTACCCAAGGGCGCCGACGTTGCCGAGAAACTCGGGTGAGAACTTCAACACTTCCACGGCGTAGTAGAATTGAATCTGGTCAAATGAGGGTGTGCACGCTTGCGAGACGAACATAAACACGACCGACTTCCAGATCACTGGTACTTTTAGCGTCGTCCACACGAGCTTGACTTGTTCGGAGGCCAACGTGGAGCAACCGCGGGCTAGGCGGTCGCATCGATCTTCTTGCATCAATGTCGCTAATGCCAGCACGATGCAAGGCGCAATGGCAGCTAAGATAAACACCGTGTGTGGTCCCAGGTGGCTGGTGGCCGGCCCAGCCAAGAGCGAGCCAAGGATGCCACCAACAGCCATGACTGACCACGTCAGCGACTGCAAGTCGTTCGCCCCTAAAGCGTCAACATTGTGAAATGCAGCTCGTTCAACATATCTTGTTCGTTGTCGGATACCGTTAAGTGGATCCAATCGTGCCCTTTCAACGACGAGGGCATCGATGATGACGTCACTCATGGCCGTGGCCAATCGCGTGCAGAGAAGGAGGATTGTCAGCCATGACACCGATGTCCCCGCGGACACATCATGGAGGAGAAATGTGGCGAGGCACCCGAGGAGGTTGATACCAATGAGGTACGACTTGCGGCGGTACCCACACAGAGGAAGGCTATCGGAAAGGATGCCAAACACAGGCTTGATGGACCATGGGAACGCTGCCGTGGTCAAGATCGCCTGCGATTCCACGGGCTGCAAGTGCATCGTGTCTTTCATCAGAAACGACACGGAGAGACCGCTAAAGCTACCGAAGCCCTGCACAAAGTACACCATGCTCACTAGCACGAGGAATTGCAAGCCAAACACATCGCGAAGGTGGCCAAACCAGAGACAGAAACTGGCCACCACCGTCGGCAGACTCCTTGTCGCGGACATGTGCGGCGTTTGCGGGATCGCCATTGACGCCACGGGTGTCGGCGGGACTACTAACCGTTCTTTGCCATCATTAGCGCCTCCATCAATGGCCGTGTCCGTGGCGAGCGTGACGCGGCGAACGATGTCGCTCTTTGTCATTTCCCAACGAAATGCGTGTTCCTGGCATACCTATCGGTTAATTATAGATTCGTTCAACGTTCAAGTACGCCAGTGGAAACCGTCGTTCAAGTCCTTCCATTCTCCATCTTGTGCCGTTCGACGAACGACTTCGCCGTGTGCGAGGCCGCGATGGCGAGGCGCAAGTTGAAGTTGCCTGATCTTTCTTATTGAGCGTAGAATGATGGTAGGGAGAAAACAATTTGTATTGGTCATTAATCAGAATATATCATCAAATGTCCACCCCACGTCATATACCCAGAAGATACAATACAATATTTTATGTTCTCTTGATATTTGTATGCAATAAAATAAGTGAAGATCGGAAGAAGGCAAGAAAATCAGTATGTTTGGTACTGTACCAAGAGGTGTTCTCGTGGTCCCTCAATCCTCAATGACATTTGCCCTTTTGCAGCGACCGACGAAGAAGCATGAAGATTGTGCTTGCCGCCAGCACCCTTGCTGGCTATGTGGCCGCCACCACGTCGTCGTCCTCGTACGAAGCGAAGTTCGTCTCGTGGATGAAGGCGCATGGCTTTACCTTCAACCCCGTGGACTGGGTCCATCGCTTTGAGAACTTCATCTTGAACGATCAGTTCATTGAGGCCCACAACAGCAAGCGCGACTCGTCGTTCACGATGGGCCACAACGAGTACTCGCACTTGTCCTTTGACGAGTTCAAGCGCCATCGCGTAGGGCTGCGACTCCCTCCCTCGTACTTGCAGTCCCGTCAAAAGAACCCGCCAGTATTGAAGCAACATGCGGCGGCCGTACCGGATGAAATCGACTGGGTTGCCAAAGGCGCCGTGACTGGCGTGAAGAACCAAGGCATGTGTGGCTCGTGCTGGGCGTTCTCCACGACGGGAGCCGTGGAAGGGGCAGCATTTGTCACGAGCAACAAGTTAGTGAGTCTGTCCGAGCAAGAACTGGTCGACTGCGACGAAGGCGACAATGGTTGTAGCGGTGGCTTGATGGACAACGCGTTCAAGTGGATCAAGCGCCACAAGGGGTTGTGCAAAGAGGAGGATTACACGTATCACGCTAATGCGTCCGTGTGCACCGTCGAGTCGTGTACGCCTGTCACGAAAGTGTTGGGGTACTACGACGTGACCCCAAACGACGAAGAAGAGCTCAAAGCGGCGGTGGCGCATCAACCCGTGGCGGTGGCCATCGAAGCCGATCAAAAGGAGTTTCAGTTTTACAAGTCAGGCGTGTTCGACAAGACGTGCGGAACCAGTTTGGACCACGGCGTGCTGGTTGTTGGCTACGGCACACAAGACGGCAAGAAGTTTTGGAAGGTCAAGAACTCGTGGGGCGAAAAGTGGGGCTCGGACGGGTACATCTACTTGGCCCGGGAGTTTGGGCCCGAAGAAGGGCAGTGCGGGGTTGCCATGGCTGCGAGTTTCCCCAAGGCGTCGATCATTGCCGACGCACTTGGTAACGACCCCGTTGTTGCTGTGCAATCCAAGCCCTCGAAGCCGATTGTCGACGACCTACAAGTGGACCAACTGGTGCACGAATACGGGTCGTCGGTGACGATCGTGCAATGCGGCGACTTGCAAAACCAACTCGCGGCGTTCCACAACCTCACGGTGGTGCCGCCCCACCCGAAGCGAGGCAAGCCGATCTTGTTCGTTGGCGATGGCGTGGTCAAAACCGAGTTTGACAGTGCGCACTTGAACATTGCCGTCAAGTTGGCCGGGCAGCTGGTGTACAGTCACTATGGCAGCGTGTGCGGCAAGACCCACATTCCGCTGCCGCTGGGCCTTGGACATATCGACGTGAGCGGCCTCCACTGCCCCGTGCTCGCCGGCCATTTTGAAGGGCTGGAAGTGGCGTTGAAGCTCCCGAAGATCGCCCCCCAGGGCAACTACGAAGTGTACCTGACCAGCGAAGTGGGCGACGGCAGCGACAAGAAGACGGTGTTTTGTGCCCAAGTGCAGTTGAATCTAGACGACAAGAATGATGTTCACGACGGCGAGGTGTCGGAGCTATTCACGCTCTCATAAGGCTACGCATTGGAACCACGAATAAGTAATATATAGTTGTATTCTTTGAAACCAGTGATTAGTTTCCGAATTTTTGAGATTTGTACTGTAAAAGTATAATTATTAATATTCCACCAAAAATATCTCGACATAGTAGAGTTGGCTCAATTATTGTCCGGATAATCTGGATATATGCGTATAAAGGCCAAAGTCCAAAACTCTAAATTGTGTTGCCATGGGGATTGGCATATGGCGACGCGGTGCGCACGCGACTGCTGCTCCTTCTGCGAATGTGGCTAAAGCATTAATCGCTCCATTCACAGGTCTATCAGCTCGAATTGCTACACTTTGGCGTTCATACTGTAGTAAAGAGCAGATATCCGGATAAAGCTTATCGGAAAGTGATCGCCTGAAGGAGTGACGGTCGAGAATCCGTTATCCGGACTCGGAGAGCCTCTACTTTAAAATTATTTGGATTAATTTTGTATTTGTATGTAATAAAATACTCGGACTTCAACAACCGTTAGATCTTCTTGACACAAAGTGTGCCGTCGGGGATGTCATTTGCAAATTTGCCCCATTGCCATGAAGGTAACGTCGAGCGTCTTGGCGTTGTGCGCCGCCGCGGCGTCGGCTTCGTCATACGAAGAAAAGTTCCGCCACTGGATGGCCACGCACAGCATTGACATTCACCCTACGGAGTGGATCCACCGCTTTGAAAACTTCATCTTGAACGATCAGTTCATTGAGGCCCACAACAGCAAGCGCGACTCGTCGTTCACGATGGGCCACAACATGTACTCGCACCTGTCGTTTGACGAGTTCAAGCGCCATCGTACGGGACTTCGTGTTCCTGAGAGCTACATCAAAGATCGCTTGAAGAGTTCCCGCCATGCGTTCAAGAAGCGCGATGCGACGACTGCCCCTAATGATGTCGACTGGGTAGCCAAAGGAGGCGTGACGCCGGTGAAAAACCAAGGAATGTGTGGCTCATGCTGGGCTTTCTCCACAACGGGTGCTGTGGAAGGGGCCGCGTTTGTCTCGAGCAACAACCTGGTGAGCTTGTCGGAGCAAGAGCTGGTGGACTGCGATCACGACGGCGACATGGGCTGCGGCGGCGGGTTGATGGACCATGCGTTCGGGTGGATCAAGAACCACGTGGGGCTATGCAAGGAGGAAGACTATACGTATCACGCGAACGCTTCGACGTGCGTGAAGTCCAAGTGCACGGCCGTCACCAAGGTCACGTCGTTCACGGACGTGACGCCGAACGACGAGGACGAGCTCAAGGCGGCGGTGGCACGGCAGCCCGTGTCCGTGGCGATCGAAGCTGACCAGCCCGAGTTTCAGTTTTACAAGTCGGGCGTGTTCGACAAGAGATGCGGGACCAAGTTGGACCACGGCGTGCTGGTCGTGGGCTACGGCACGAAGGATGGCAACAAGTATTGGAAGGTCAAGAACTCGTGGGGCGAAGAGTGGGGCGACGCCGGGTTCATTTACCTGGCCCGTGACATTGGCGTCGAGCAAGGGCAGTGCGGAGTGGCCATGGTACCCAGCTACCCCTCGGCGTCGATCATTTCCGCCGGCGCGCCACCCCCTGCGGACGAGACTGTGACGACCGTGGTCGACGTGGGCTCTGCGGTGGAGATTTCGCAATGCGGAGATGTCGCGACGGAATTGGTGGCGTTCAGCAACCTTAGCGTAACCCCCGCCAACCCCAAGCGCGGCAAACCCATCCATTTTCTCGGGAATGGCGTGATCAAGAGCACGTTTGAGTCTGCGCCCTTGACCATTGCCGTGAAATTGGCCGGCCAATTGGTCTACAGCCATTATGGCAGTTTGTGCGGAAAGACCCACATTCCGTTGCCCCTGGGGCTGGGCCACATTGACGTGGTGGGGCTGGCCTGCCCCGCCCAAGCAGGCAAGTTTGAAGGGTTGCAAGTGGCGCTGAACTTGCCCCACATTGCCCCCGAAGGCAACTATGAAGTGTACCTGACCAGCGACCGCGGCGAAGCCAACGCCAAGCAAAGCGTGTTTTGTGTCCAAGTCAAATTGGACTTGAACGACCAAGCACGTGGAGTGGTGGTGTCCGACCTGCTGGCGCTATCGTAAACCCGACACACTGTAACATTGCACTGTTTCAACCTTCTTCGTGGTTTGAATCCCCTTCATGAAATTTTGGTCTTTTGCTACAGTACATACCGTCTTGCGTAATACGAGTCAGACAAAGTGTCGTATCCGAATCCGCATAAAGCGCATGAGACACTGAGTTTTCCTTTTCTATCCAGACATACAACTTTCAATATCAGGTTAGTTCAAGTCCAACCTCAAAAAGTATGGATTTTAAACGAATAAAAAATTATACAGGTTTACAAAAGTCAAAGTACTTTTGCTTGGATTATAAATATACAAAGGAACATACAAACATGATGTTGATTATATACCACGAAGTCTATTATGTTTATCTCTTATTGGTCAACGTTCGCGTTACGTTGGCACCATGGACATTCGACGTGCACAACTCGGGCGATCACGCGCGCCAGAAATGAAGCTACGTCGGGTGGACGAAGGAAAGGGCGTGGGTGAACCCCGTCACGGGGACTAGCGGTAAGATTGTCGAAAGTCGCTCACCACATGTAACGTTAACCAACACATCTCACTTCAGTATACCGGTACACCAGATGCACTTCGTTCTGGTTTATGTATGTATGTATTCACACTTGTAACTTGGTGTGAATAGTTGTGAGATCTACTTATTTCTAATCCTGCAAGAGCACGATCTCGAATGGGGTCGATGTGACTAATCCATCAGTAAGTTAACTTACATGTAACTTAGCAAGAACTTGGGCATATTTAGCTGTGATATCAAGTTAGCACCATAGCTTAGTCCGATAATGTATGTCTTCTCTAACTCAGTCGCGTCGTTAATTAATCGTGTTTCGTCGATTCGGTTGGCACTCCACCCGAACAATTCACAACTTCCATTGTAACCTTGCACTCTTAGTAACTAACGGTAGGCTATTTTGCTGCTTACTGTCAGTGGACTTCTTAGCCCAGTACTACTTTATTATGACGTCGATTCACGTAAGGTTGGTCATGACAGTCGAGCACCTGTCAAAAGCACCTCTATACATCAATCTTACATTTATTTGTAGAGTATTATATATTGGATGCAAAGGAAACCCGTGTAAATACGTTTTCTGCGAGTGGCCAAATATTATCAAATGTTAGAGGTGTCTGACTCGTATAAGCGTCCGACTCGTACCACGTAGTATTACGCAAGACGGTAGTACTACTGTAGTATGACTACGTAGGACTAGTACTCCGGAGTAGCGTTGAAGTTCGGAATATCTTCAGTGTGAATTGTGTGGCGAAGGACAATCAACGATCATCATTCCAATACCTGCATTGTTGAGCAGAAAAGTAAGATTTCGTTTACAGATTACTCGAGTACAGTACAGTATACTACAGTATACTAGTACTACGTAGGACAATACCAGTAATAGGTCTTGGTCAATTGTTGAGCATTGTTTTAAATTATTTGTCAAAAATATTAAAATTTGACTGTTTGTAGTGTATTTTGAATAAAAGGTGAGGGAGATGCTCTTAAATTTATACTAACGTTACGTAGTAGAAACTGAGCAAATGCTGTCCAGCGGAAAAGTAATTTCAGAGGCGTACCTGACAAGAAAACTTTCGCAGCACCATACAAGCAAGTACAGTACATACTACTTACAGATAGAAACTGAGCAAATGCTGTCCAGCGGAAGGAAAAGTAATTTCAGAGGAGTGCAAAAAGTGCCCGACATGAAAACTTTGGCATACAAGCAAGTACAGTGAAGTACAAACTACTTACAGTAGTCGCGTCGTCCAAGGATACCTGGAGGCAGAGTCAGGATTCTTCTTGACCAAACACGCCGCGTTCCTTGAGCTTACAATCACAGTACAGTACTGTACTGTATCCGTCGTGTTGACAGTCAGATCGGAATCACATTTTCGCTACATTATTACAAGAGGCATTGGTGTCGTGACTCACGACACCAATGCCTCTTGTAATCAAGGGATAAAATACTTTTGCCCAGTTTAACCGGCTAGTGATTGGATAAAATTGGACAGTGCTTGACATTTATCCCAACCTGTTGGGGTTTTAGTTGTCCCACGATCCAAACCTTTCGAGTGAACAATCAGTCAGTCAACCAGCACATTTTGGAATTTGTGCACAACCATCAACTCCATGAACCGAATTCCATTCGACGCTGTCACTGTCACACTGACCAAGGCGACTGTCATCCAAGGACACCAAAGTGCCTTGTATACCATAGCCATCACGAACAAGGAGACCCACGTGGCGGTCTCAACCACCAAGACTGACAGCGACTTTGAAACCCTCCGCAACAACGTGTGCTCGGCCTTGGAGCATGGCCACACATGCGATGCATTGTGTCCGTGGTTTTACGTGGATGTGCAGCAAAAGATCCCCAAGAAGCATTGGTTTCGGTCGTCCACGCATGCTCGGGTGGTGGCGTCGCACTTGAAAAAGTACCAAGACATGATGACCCTGGTCTGTGCCTTTGTCACTTCTGCGCACAACCGATCATGTTATCGTGTCATGCAGCGTGTACCTGAAGTGCTCCATGAGTTCTTGTTCGAAGGCGTGGCCGTGTACCCAACCATGTACACTGTCGCACCGCCCAAGCTTCGCTTCTCGTGCAGCAGTAGCTGCCGGTCCTCCGATGGCACTGGGCTCGCGTGCTCGTTGTGCAATCACGACGCAGATACGTTCTGTGGTCAAACTACATTGCAATGTGGCCATGCTTTCCACGACGACTGCATAGTGGAGGCGTTGAATGCACATCTGGCATGCCCGATATGCCTTGACAACGAAACCTCGCCGCCACAGTAGACAATTGCAGCTGTCAATCAACCTATTTATTAATGTTAACGTTATCAATGCATACGATGTGGGCTTACTGTTAATAAGTTACTACTATTAATAGTACTAGTAGTATATTTCGTACTCCATTTATAAACTACGACTATTAATAGTACTATGTAGTACAGTACTCCGGAGTACTAAATTTATTAATAGGTATGAACCGGTATACTAGTAAGTTACTTATAAATACTTAGAAGTAATTACTAGTAAAGACGTATTTCCAGTAACGTTTTTAACAGGCGTGTTCGGAGCGACTTTTGTGTCAGCGGTTTTTGGCTTTTTCCACAAGCCGATGAAATATCAGCGACTTTTTGCCTTCACTGACATTGGTTAATAACAGAGAAAAATCAACCAATGATGCGTCCTAAAATTCATTGTCCATTTTCAGCTCTATGACAGCGGAGCGCAGAAAATTGTTGTCGCGTAGTGGCTGTGGTGGCCAAATGTTCAGGCGGCGAGTGGCGAAACGACAACCCATAAGATCAACGCCTAGCAAACCTGAAATCTGTTTACAATACACAGAGCCTAGGGTTCAGTACAAGTAGGAGGTCGCGCGGGAGGGGCATGTGTACAGCGTTCGATGCGTTGTGTGTGCAGCTACCCTCGACATGGAAATGACTTACCACAGCCATGCTTCACATGCGTAAAGTTCTCCCGTCGAGGACCTACCAGTACACACCGGAGTGGAGTGACGAACCAGCGGCATCCGACAAGGGCGTGCTTTGGGCGTGCTCCTGCGAAATTTTGGTTTGCAACCAACAATTTATTCTGATATTTTTGCCCAATAAATAGCCACAATCCCAAAAGTCGCTGTAGTTTACTAGTAAACGACCTCAAGGAGGTCGTCCAGAGCGGTTTTTGCAAAAGTCGATGGAAACGATTTTGATTGGCTACTTTTCCAAAAACCACTGACACAAAAGTCGCATTTCTTTAAGTTTAACGCAATGTTAAACTATAAAACGTGGTACTCCGAATTGACCAAACTTGGAATGAGTGAGTACTGTAGGTATAACGTTATATGCATTCGTTAAACGTCCGGATACTCCGTACGGATACAAGTAAATGAAGTGTCTCAGGGCTGTTTATACGGATTCGGATACGGCATATGGCCGTCTGACTCGAATTAAACTCTGTACGTAGTAGACATCCCACTCCTTCGTATCCTAACCTTGGGCAGTTATGGACGAGGAAAAATCCCATTTACCCCTTTTTAAATGAAATACTTCAAGTCATGTTTTTTGGCCGGTAGCATCTGATGACCAGCTGGTCAGCAAAGTGCATGCACCTTCACTTCTTTTTGCCAGAAACCAAGACGCGAAGGTTGAATCTTGTTCGCGACCACCATGCAGAGCAACTTTGGGGTGTTCGAAGCCGTGACTATCAAGCTCACCAAGGCCAACATCAACCAACACAATGTCACGTATACCGTCACTGTGTCTAACAAGGACTCGCACGCCACAGTCACAACATCCAAGTCCGACGACGACTTTGTCAAACTGCAAGGTCACATATGCAACGCGTTGGACCGAGGCCACTCGTGCGATGCGTTGTGTCCATGGTTCTTCGTGGACGTGCAGGGCAAACTCCCCAAGAAGCCATGGTTCCGCTCGACATCGCACGTTCGCGTGGTGGAAGCTCGGTTGAACAACTACCAAGACTTGCTCGATGTGGTTGTGACGTTTATCAATTCTCCGCACAACCGATCGTGCTGTCGTGCGAAGGAACGCGTTCCAGCAGTGCTGTTTGACTTCCTCTTCCGCGACAACGAGCTGGACCCGAGCATGTACAAGACGGCGTCGCCCAAGAACGGCCGCCTCTCCACGAGCAGTCAACATCGACTGTCCGAGCCCTTAGATGTATTTCACTGCTCGCTTTGCGGCGACGTCGATGATCCGTACTCATGTGGTAGAACTACACTGTCCTGCAGGCATTCCTTTCATGATGACTGCATTCTCAAAGCCATGAACGAATCCCCAGTGTGTCCCGAGTGCGTTGGTGCGTCCAAGTAAAACCACATTACAGAGCCCTGTACCACGTAGTACTGCGTAGTACTGGTATGTACCAGTAACAACGAAGGTACCAGTGAGAATTTGCCAACTTACTCCGGAGTACTGTAACGTTAGTACTTTACTATTAATACTATTAATAGTATATTTATTACTTCGAAGTATGAATAAGGACGAGTTCCAAGTAGTCTCGGATTAGGTTGGTTACCCAAGGCTGCTTTCGGTCTTTATCTCCACCCCGCAAAATTCATTATTGTGTAGGGCAAAGTTGAATGTCCATGTGCATTTCCCGACTCGTGTCGAGCCTACCTGTAGTTCGACATGCATGGCCCTGCGACGGCTTCAACATCACTCCAGAGATGTTGAAGAAAGATCCCTCGAAATGCTTTTTCATCCAATGTCATCCAAATTTCATCTACATGTCATCCATGCTTTTAATTCAACAATTATATTATATTAACCATAGTATCCAAGGTTGGTATTAATATTCAATGCTGTCCCGTAAGTCTTAATTATTTGGTTGGTCAAACGAGGTTTTATCATTTTAATTTGATTGGTTAAACGAGTTTGTAATATTATTTGACTCTCGATTAATTCGGATAAAGTATCCATTTTCCGGATAATATATAAATCGAATCCCGTTTTCATGATGGCAACAGTGGGCGAGAAACTGGCGCTCACGGATGCGGAGTGTGTTGCCATGGAAAAGGAGCTGTACGAAGAAAGCATCAGGTGTCTGGAAGCGCGTCTTAAAGATCTCCAGAACGGTACACTGGACGAGTTTGTCGAGCGCTGCAAAGCGTTTGAGCTCGCGAAGACGTATCGAATCGATTTGGCAGCTCTGCATCGCAAGTTGCTTCTACGCAACATTGATGAGTTGCTTGCGTTTGACTTCCAGCAAATCGACGATGGATTCAATGCGTCCTTGGAAGCATTACAGTCGACAGCCCCACCGAACGTGGCACAACAAGTGGAACCCGTCGCTGAATCCCCCCACGCCACCGCCGTTGTTACCGACTCCGACGACCCCGTTCGACACGAACTCAAACAGTTGGAGCTTGAGAAACACCTTCATTTCAGCATGGACCATGTGAACACATGCTTGCCGGCCGCCACAGCCATCCAGGCCCAGCTCCAAGCGCTCCGGGACTCGTTGGACATCGTGAACGAGAAGCTTCGCCACGCCACACGTACACAACAACCTACGTTTAGGCCTGCATATGACGTCGCTTGTGTCTAGATCTGAAAGTCCATTATGACGCTGACGAGGCCGACACCGTGTATGCCGGGAACGTCATATTGTATGTAGGCGATGCGGTCGTCCTCACGTCTGAAATCGCACAGGTACAGTATTCGTCGACGTATCTAACCGTTGGCCCCGTACAACATATGAAGGTGTCCTGCTGGGTGTAGGAAGACTTTTATGGCTCCATCCATGCCATTGATGAATCTGCGGTATAAACTAACCATGCATGATTTCGCCCCCATGGTGTCAGCACCCCTGCGTAGATACACCTGCATCTGGTCTGCGGCAATCTTGTCCAAGTTACGTTGGACTCGTTGCGCGACCGACGGTGTCGACTGCGGTTCCAGGACAGCGCCAAAAACGGTCCAGTCGCCGTGCACGCATCTCCGTCCGGTCGCAAGACCAACACCACGCCGCGGTCAAAGCGCACTGTTCAACGGAAGCGGTTGGTGTCGCTGATTTAACTAGGCATTCGAACATCCTGAATGCGCTAAAATATATGTGCATTTGAGCTATTGGACTAACTTTACCAGTAACGCTACAGTAATCTCAACTGACGACAAATATAGCAATCGCCGAATGCAAAGAGAAGGCGGCAACAAGCGCAGACTGGAAACAAACTATCGTAGGACTAGAAGCTAAAAAAGAAGCGAACTGCAAGTAAGTGGTGGTTTAAGAGATTAATAGGAGCATTCTCATCGAATTAGCTGGTGAATTATAATATCTGTCAAACGATATATTTCAATACAAAATCCAAGTTGATGATTTCCTGCGTCCTTATTGTGGCAATTGACATGGTATTGTGGTGCAATCGTACAGTAGGAGTTGCACGCCGCGTTTCGGAGTAAAGTGGTCCAATGCGTGACATTGGTGGTGTAGTACAGTACTACGTACGTAGTACTAGTAATACTTACTACTAGTACTACTCTCCAACGCTGGGTTTGAAACCGGTTATTAACCGGATACGCGACACTGGAAACCGGTTATTTTAACCGGATATGTCACTTTGACATCACCTTAGCCGTGCACCTCAATGTGGGGTTTCAGTTGACGTTGGATGACCATCATGTACATACATCCTCAACATTACGTATACTAATGGATCGATGGTCGACTTTGGCTGGCCGTCTAGGTTTACTGCCATGGCGGCATGGTACTTGATGAACGGCAACCGCTTGTGGGTCCATCGAGCTCTGCTTTGTGCCATGTACATTGCCTGCGGGGTTCGCTTCATGTTTGGATGGGTGAAAAGAGGCCACGTGACTAAGGAAGACCATCGGTGGAACCATTCGAAAGTCATTGGACGGCATCCGGCGGGTGCTTTGGCTCGTGCTCGGTTGCATTCAACTTCTTCTGTTTTTACCACTGCCAATCGATCACGAACACCTCTCCATCCCTGTCAATGTGAGAATATGTCGGGGCTGGCCTTTGGTTGTTTGGGTTCGTCTTTGAAAACATTGCCGATGCCCAATTGAGGTAATGGAATGTCCAGAATCGACAAGGGGCGTCAACGCCCGGTTGCTTTAGAGTTATGCGCCAAGGCCTGTGGAAGTACTACCGGCACCCGAACTACTTTGGTGAATTCTACCTCTGGCTGTCGTATGCCATCATGTCGTTCGCCGACGCGTCGCCAATCCAACGCGCGTTGCTCGTGATGCTACCAGGGGTGGCGCATTATTTCCTACTACTTTGCGGTGCGCTTGTATGGCGGAGCAAGTTTCCCTGAAGAAGCGAGGCCAAGCTTACGCAGATTATCAAGCCGAGACGTCGATTCTGTTTCCGTGGTGGCCAAAGTCGAAGAGCGAAAAACGAACGTAGCCGGCTACTCGAGTTAACAATTCTTCTTCCACTGCACCATTGTTCTGCGTAGCTGCGAAGGGATTCACCGTAACGTTACCATATACAAGTATTACATACGTACTCCGACTACTTGAATTCGGAAGATAATCGACACACTATAAGAGTATGCAGATATCTGCACTAACCAGCACTCGAACTAACGTTTACTACGGCATTTCATGTATTTTCCGCCCAGCTTGTCCTACTTTTGAAGTCTCGTAACTCATCGCCCGTGTATTAGTTTATGCAGGACGCATCGTTGCATTGCTTGTCCATTTTGCTAGACGAATTAAATAATTTAAAACGATTTATTTTGGACAGGGTTGGCATACAATAGTCTGGTTTATTACAGTATATGATACTGAAACTTATACTGGTAGAGAATTTTATTACATATTACGTTCTGTATTAAGTTCAGGTAATTTAATTTTAATATATGTTAAATGTATTGTTTAAATAAACACTTGGAAGAATATAATAAAAATTAATAAAGGTGTTTTTTAAAAGCACTTAAAGGTGTTCTAGTATTAAATAAATAATTAGATGTTAAGTCAGTTTATAAGGTTCTGGTTTTTGATGGCTTTTCATGTACTAGTAATCAGTTTCACCCCTATATACTAAAATATTTTCAGAATAAAGTTTAAAATGATGCACTAATAGCTGTAAAGAGATACCCTTGATTGCTTGATATCTCATTTACTTCGATTAAATAATTTTTTATCATCAATTTTAATGCTAGTACAGTACTACCTGAAGTCAGAAACTCTATTGTCTAGAGGACAAAAAGAATTAAAAATTGACATACTACGTAATACACAAACATGATATGGGGGATAAACAAAATATTAGTTTTTTTTCGAGCTATCGCTAACTGTAAATTTAAAATAGAATTCTACTTCACTTCTTTTAGAAATAACAGGTTCAACAAAGCTATTATAGGTATTTAATTATTGTAAATATAACATAAACAGATAAAAAATACCTATCGCGTATTCATCCTATAGATGTGCCTCTGGCCCCATTTTCATATTCTGCTGGAATATGAAAAGTAGTAGAATTTATATTTCCCGATAATCGATCAAAAAGTCCAGAAGAAAATATCTTCAACAATATTTTTGGTGTCTGGCCTCTTTCAGCCATTCACACACCTTCAACTAACGGTATGCACAATATCGTGCAACGCATTTTGTCCTTGGTGATATATGCGTCGACAAAGTCTGTTTGCACTCTTCATGTACTGTTCAGTAGTACCACCAGATCGCATGCGTCAAGAAAACCCCCAAAAGGGACTTGGGCTCGGAAACGACGACAACTCGAAGATAATGTGGAATGCCGAATTCTCGCACAAAATATACTTCGTAGTACAATATATACATCCTAGAGCCGAATATATTATCTTGCATATTTGGTCACCTTTATATCAGAAAAGTGATTGTATAAAATGGTTCCCAGACAGCGCACTTTTTGTCAAAACAGAATTTTACAAGAACTTGTGAAATTATATTAGAATTTGCCAAAATATCATAGAAAACACGGGGGAAAGAGGTGGCCTAAACGATTTAATTTTTTTAAAGTAATGTTAGGTTCTTAATCGATTAAAGAACCTGCACCTAAAAAAAGTGCCATAATTCAATTTTCCAACATATCACAAAACTGTCAGGTTGCTATTTCATACAAACGTTACTGCAGTATTCATTTCTCAAAATCGAAGTAAAGCGAGACTTACTTTGGACAGATCTCATTGTGGTGAAGAGACGTTACATCTCAAAGTCAAATTTGGCGAAGACTCGAATGCAATTTGTAAATCGAGATAAACCAAACAATTTTGATTTATAACGTTGCAATATAGTAACGTTGTACTATTTTAATATTAATAGTGAAAAACCCTTACTAACGTTATTAAAATATTAATAGTAAGGGTTTTTCTCCTTAACTTTGGTGACGTTTATGCGTCTTACTGTACTACAGGATTATAGTTTAACGTTATAGTACTCCGAGTACTAACTTACATGTTAAATAGTAGTACTACTGGTAGTACTGGTACGTATTTTAATATGTACTACCGGTACCAGTACTGTACCGGTAGTGTGTCGATTATCTTAAGCTTGGTGCAAACAATGCATTCCGGCTCCAGAGTCCTGTAATACTGGGTACAGCAAATATACTGATAGTACTACTAGTACTACTCTGGAAGAAAATATAAGGAAGTCTCTATACTTCGTACAGTAGTACACAGTACCGGTATTGTACACACTGTTATGATGTGAGTACTGGTACTTGACACCTGTCCTTGATGAAACCCGGTATTAGGTGGGTAGTTCGATACAAAAACCAAATTGGAGTTTGGCCATGTATAGTAAACAAACTTCTTTTACCCGTATGAAAATCGACATCGCTTCCAACAACACTTTTGATTTCACATCTCTTGGCAAGATGAAGGTAGTGACTGACCCTGCCGCGTTTTACGCCACCGTGGCCGTGAGCGTCGTGTTGCTTGTCGCTGGTGGTTACTACCTACGACGTGGTCGAACGAGTCGTCGTCGTCCTCCCGTCGAGGTGGAGGTCAGCCTCACGGACGACGAACTGGTCAAGCAAGGCTTCGCGACCAAGAAAGTCCCCGACGACGTGGATGTGATTGTGATCGGGTCGGGCATGGGAGGCTTGTCCGTGGCGGCCGTGTTGGCGAAGGAAGGAAAGCGTGTCCTGGTCCTGGAGCAGCATGACGTTGTGGGCGGCAACACCCACACGTTCGAAGAAGGCGGGTACGAATTCGACACGGGGTTCCATTACGTTGGCGGGCACCTTGACGACAAATCGTACCCCAACCGCAAGCTGTTTGACTACATCTCCAACAACTCGGTGGAATTCCAGCGGTACATTACCCCCCCCTTAATCATCATCGTCGCATTGTTGTTGTCTCACAGATCGATCGCCACAGGTTGGGCGACACGGTCGACGTGGCAGTCGCCCAAGCAGCCGACGGTGCGCGCGACGCCGTCCACTTCACCGCCGACCACGACGTCTTCAAGAAGTACCTGAAGACCCGCTTTCCCGACGACCACGCTTCCATCGACGCCTACTTCAAAGCAGTCAAGGCCGCCAGTATCGGGCTCGGCACGTACTTTGGGCTGCAGGTGTGCCCCACGTGGCTCCGTGGCGCGTACCGGTGGTGGAACAAGTCCAAGCTCGAGTACTTCCACAAGACGGTGCTGGAAGTTGTGTCGTCGCTCACGACCAACGCCGAGCTCGTGGGCATCCTCAACTACTCGTGGGGCGACTTTGGCGACCCGCCGTCCCGCGCGGCGTTCGTGCTCAACGCTGTGATCCTCAACCATTACCGCGGCGGCGCGTACTACGCAATCGGCGGCCCTAGCGTCATTGCCAAGAAGGTGGCTCGGGTGATCGAATCCCATGGCGGCAAAGTGCTGGTGCGTGCGCCAGTTTCGCAAGTATTGATCGATGCGTCCGGCGCCGCCTACGGAGTCCGCGTCAAGGACAAGGACATCTTGGCCCGCACGATCATCAGCACCGTCGGGGCGCCCCAGACGTACACGAAGCTGATTCCGCAGGACCACCAACATCGCGTGGAGCGTCAAGTGCGCGAACTGCAAAACCCGGCGCTGCAGGCTTGTTGCTCGCTCATGTCGCTGTTTGTGGGCTTCAAGGGGGACGCCCAGGCGCTTGACCTGCCCACGCACAACGTGTGGAAGTACCCGTCGTGGAGCCACGACGCCAACTTCAAGGCCAACCAGGTATTTATCCTATACACCGGCGTCTAAAATGAGATACGCGTCCTTGCCTCATACATGAATCTCATGTGGCACAACAGGACTCGCCCGACGCGCCGTTTTGCGCGCTCTTCATGTCGTTCTCGTCGGCGAAAGACCCGACGTACGCCACGCGGTTTCCTGGCAAACAAGTGGGGCTGGTGGTCGCCCCATGCTTTTACCCGCACGTGGAAAAGTTCAAGGGCGGCCGCGTCAAGCGCCGCGGAGATGACTACGAAGCGCTCAAGGCGGTGTGGAAGGAGCGGATGCTCACGGAATTCCTCAACGAGTTCCCCAAAGTCACGCGGGAATCCATCGAAGTGGCCGAGTTTGGCACCGCCCTCAGCAACGACTACTACTTGGGCACGACCCGCGGCGCCATCTACGGCCTCGGTCACACGCCCGCCCGGTTCACATCGGACGTGACCAACCCACGCACCCCCATTGCCAACCTGTACCTGTCCGGACAAGACGTCCTGTCGTGCGGCATTCTGGGCGCCGCGTACGGTGGCCTCGTCACGGCCGCCGTGATCGAGCCGTCGCTGCTCCCCAAGTTGGGCAAATTGCTGTCGAAAACCAAGCAGTAATCGACGCTGGGGGTGTTAAAACATCGCATGGTGGTCAAGCTAATAATTCAAACCTGTTTACATTTTTGCAACCCGGTGGAATGAGCAATAATAATGAATGGTTTTTCCATGCTGACTAATAATTCATGGAATAATACTACTAGGAGATTGTGTTATCCAGGCAGCTACAGTACACTGTGCAAAATTCGAGCTAGCCAAGTACTATAACTGGCAATCCGATTCAGGCACGCTTGTGGGCGTAGCTTCCTGTAGCTCAAACCGGTTTTGATAACAGAATGGAGCCATTGTCGCGAGGTTGCTATATTGTTTCATTGGCCAAGATGGCTATTTTTAGTCCGACGATGTCGTACCGGCCATGACCCGCCATATTTCGTCGCGTTGTCGGTTGAGATGGCGTTGGCATTATTTCCCCATCGATGCGCTGACACTCAGTTGGGAAACTCGTTCCTAACGTGCTATCATGTTGCCGTTGGCAGAGATCGTCGTGTCGGCCTGTTTGGTCGTGAGCATCTTCCTCTTTGGACTGGTCATTGACATGGAAGCCCAACGGCGCATGTCCGAAGTTAAAGCCCAGCACATGGTGAATCCAAATGCGTCCAAACTGACCCAGTGGCCCGCCACGCTGATCAAGCCGGAGCCCGTGCGACCGTGCACAACGGACGACTCGTCCGCGTCGTCGTACTTTTTGAGCACGGTCAAGACCACTGCGTTGACGTCGCCAGGGAGTTTGTATTTTCGAAGCATTTGCGAAACCGGGTCAGACGCGCCGTCGCTCACGTTGAAGGCGAAGTCCATCAGCTGCCGCATGTGGCAACACCTCGAAACATATTTAGACAGGCAGTTTGCCCCGCCCCCATCCAAACCCACGTCAGCATGTCGAGACCCCCAGCGGCAGACACACGACGACGACGACGAAGTCCGACTCCCCTACTCCCTTCACTAACCGTTGGATTCTTAGTTTATTAAGCTCGAAAAGCAGTGCTTCATTCCCCTTTTGTGCCGAGGGTTTGCTGGATTCTTGCCACACATTTCAAGGGTGTCTCTTTGCAAACACCATATGACTTGTTTGTCGCGCTACTGTACGACAACCAGCCTCGTCTCATGTCACGACCCCCGTGGGAGTTCCAAGGTCGGAACAACATGACGTTTGATCTGATCCATCGGCAGGGACACTGTGGTTTAGACAGAAGTTTGCACCGAGGAGAACAAATGTAAGTTAGTGCGTGCTAATACGTGGCTAAATAGGAGTTGATTACGGGGTCAGTTAACACTACAATAAGTCCACAACACTACAATAAGTCCACAACACTGTCGCTGTCGTCGCTGCTGCTGTTGTCCGTGCTGTTCTTGCCTTCGTCGTCGCACCTGGGGCACACTAACTGGCGGTGCAATGCCATGAGAATGCAGACATCGTGGAAGACATGGCCGCAGGGAAGGGTGGTCAACGCCGCCGACACCAGATCTTCTGGATCCATGCAGTTCTTGCAGATAGAGCAGTCTGCAATCGCAAACTTGACCAAGTTGGGCGTGATGGACATGCGATATTTGGACATGGGGGACGCAGCGTAGAGCCCCAGCTCCCTGTCGTCCATTCCGTCAAACAGAAACCGGGCAACTTCGCTCGGCACCACAGTCGTCGCGCGACCACACGATTGATTCCTGGGTGTCCGCATAAAGTCTAATAGGCTGGTCAACATGGACTGATGAGTGGCCAGGTTGGCTTGGACCTGTCGATGCTTGGACCGCATGAACAACCAACGGCGTGGCTTGGCTTCCTGCACGCGAAAGTACATCCATGGACACTCTGCCGAGCACGAGTGGCCGTGTTCGAGCGCAGCGCATATTCGCTGGCGGAACGCAGCAAAGTCCATGTCGGACTTGGAGATGGCACACTGGGCGTGCGTGACCTTGTTGGCTATGGACAACGTGTACAAGGTGGGTTCACGTGGGGATACCGTGGCCTTGGTGAGTGTGACGGAGAGCCCGCCAAACGGCCCGCTTGCTGGCACTTGCATGGTGGCAGCAATTGAGTACTATCTGCACTCGAGACTGTTCTGGCTGATGGGGATCGGAACAACGTACGTAGGACAGGGTGGGTTCTCGTTACTACTGGTCGGCGTTTATGATTGGCTCGTTTTGGATCTTGAGGGGTCCATCAATAATATTTTATCCACATAGATACAAAAAACAAGATATTTCAATTGAATGGTTCATCCCACTACCCAACTGGAATGTTGCCAGCGAACAGCCATGAAGTACTCGCCATGGGTTCAGTTCTACAATGGACAGGTCACACGACTATGTACAGTACTAAATAGTACCCCACATGCAAGTCATGAAGGAATAAAAAATTGCCCGACTTCTACTACCAGTAAACTGGCGACGAATGTACCTCTCTGTGATCACCACTTGGCAGCAGGTCCCTAACCTACCAATTGAGGTGTCCGTTCCATATTCGAAACTGGAGCCGTCGGCAGAATCGAATGTCTAACGTTAACTGTGAATCCTTTCAAGAACCACCTAAGCCAATCAAATCACGTTCTGTCGAATTTCTGCCAATCAAACTACTGCTTTAACCGGTTCAGCAAGTACAGTAGTACCTAACAAGCATCCAGGGTATTGGGATTAGGGTTATTTAATATACCTTGTAACGTTACAAGATTAACAGTAAATTTGACACGCTATTTGGTGAAATGATTCAAAAGTCCAAATTTGGGTGTGAAAAGCACACAATATTACTTCAAGTATTGCTCAAGTCGAGTCCCCACTGTGCAAATGCGTTAGCAAATGATTCGTGCTCGTTGAGAACAGCCACGTCCGGGGCGGCCCTATGTGAAGGCCCCTCGTCGTCCCAGGGGCTTTGAGTTGATCGTTTGACTTTATATATATGCAGCAGCACTACATTTCACAACTACAGTACTGCTAATATAAAATGGTTTTCCAAGTTTGAAGTTTCGGCCTAGGCAAGTCGCTTGGCTTGGAGCATTTTCACCAACATTGCTCGCTTGTACTCCTTTGCAAGTGTCAACGCCAGCGCCAAGTAACCGCCCCGCACGCGTTCGTCCACTGGAATCTCCACCAGCGCTTTGAGGACCTTGGCTACATCCTAACAAACAACACATGTCAAGTACGTGGGTTTCGAATGCATGCTGTAGGTACCGTCGGCTGAAAGGTCCTGGCTTTGATCAACGCAACGATGGCCTGCCATCGAGTGTTGTGGTCAATGAGCACTCGGTACACTTGCTGGCTCCACGCCCCCGCATCGTGCGCCTCGTCCACGCCCAACCGCCGCGCCAGCTCCTTCTGGGCCCCTTCCTCGTCGCCCTGGTCACTAACAGCATTATGGGGGACTTGGATCAACCGCTGGGGGGACGACGACGACGACTCGGGGGACGATGTGCTCGGCGACGACGCGCTGTCCCTCCCCCTCCGGTTCTTGAGGTACTTTTGACGTTTCCGACGATTGGACGACGTCATGACGTTGGTCGTGCCGAGGGCGGCGGCTTCATCGGCGGCTTCGTCCCCGCTGCTTCCGCCCCCCGAGCCCTTGCTCGAGTTGTTGGTCTTTTTGTACGGAAAGTCAAGCGAAAACTCGAGTTTGCGGCGCCGCGTGCCCTCGACCGTCGCTTCGTCCTTGTCGGGCTCGCCAAACGGATTCCGGTGGCGCTCCGTTTTGAGGGCCGTGGGGATGTAGTCGCTCATCACCTCCACAGACAGGAAAAACTTGGATGGATGCTGCTCCATCGCCAGCGCTGCCTTGCTCGGGGCCAAGTGCGCCAACGGACCTGTCCACAGCGGCACGTCGGCGGTGGTTGCGTGGTCCAGCGGCGGTTTGCGGCACACGACCGCGAGTTTGTGCTTGGCGTGAAACGTGAGCAGGTCTGCAGGTGCAAGTTGCATGACGTTTTGGCTACACACAACGGGATGATATGGGTGGGGTGGATTTTAATCGAGCGAGTAGGTGTAATCGAACGGGACACACACATAGTGTTGATCTTATAACAAGAATTGGAAGAAAGATTGAACCAATCAGATTGCAGGAAATCACCATCAACAACGTCAAATTAGTGTGAGACTTCAATTAGTGTAATACCAATCACCACAGGGCACCTTTTTACATACAAAGAATCGATCAAAATGGGTTTGGCGGAGATTCAGCACAAAAGTCCAAATATTGGGTAAAAGGACAAACGTATCGCAGTGTGTACCTGACCGCGACGGGCTTTGTCAAGTGGTACGGGGAGTTGGGAGCCGACGACGACGGCGACGAATGGCTCGACGAGTTGCTGCGAGTCGAAGGAGGCGGCGGCTGTCGGTCCGAGTCGGCGGCTGTCATCGCAATGTCTTTGAGTCGGGTCAACAGATTCGTCACCTACAACAACACGTCCAACGTCAACGAGTCCATCAATGAATAAACAAATAAACAAACGGGTATATATATATATTGTCAAGTCGATTACTCGAATGAGCAGAAGAACCAAATCGGCAGACAATCGATCGACCAATCAAAACCCAGAACACGAGTCAAGTGGCCAATCAAAATCACTATTCGACCAAGTCAACACCAAATTAGTGTGTGATTGAAATTAGTGTGATACTGGACGATCTTTACAAAAGTCGGGACAAAGCATCAATCGATAGAGTTGGCAAAGAATCACCCAAATTTTGGGTAAAAGAAAGACAATATATATATATGTCGTTCGTACCTGGTAGCTTCGGCCGCCGTCGGGGATATCCGGCACCAACTCGTGCAAGTTGTACCGTTTGAGCACCTTGCGCAGTGGCATGTGGTAGTAAAATGGCACCGACGACAGGTACGTCGAGAACGCATCTCGCCAGCTAGCCGTCATGGTCTTGCTGTGAAAGTGCCACGGGTTGGTCGGGTTGGGGTTGGGATTTGCCGCGTGCTGCCGCGCGGCGTCCACGAGCAGCGAAAACAGCACGGGGAAATTGTACGGCAGCAACACCAGCCTCGTGATCGACACGCCGTTGGTCGTGGTGGTCCGTAGAAACCCAAATGCTTCCCCTACATCCACATGCATCATCGCATCGTAAGTCTGGGGTGTCATCTAATCAAGTGCAAGGTGTGATGTGACGACTACGTGACACTTTACGACACCAATGGTGGACAACTCTTAACAAAGCGAAAGCCATCGCAGTAATAGTAGTAGCGATATGGGGTATTGTGGATTATTCGGTACGAATTTCCAGACCCCGTCGAATCGAATGTATCTCGCCGCCGAATCGAATCATCACGAATCGACGCTATTGGCTAATCCACTTTTGAGTGGATTTGATTGGCTATTGCTGAAAGGACAAGTATATTCAACCAATCAGAACTCCGGCGTGATTCAATATTGATTCGACAAACCAGGCAAAATTTGCAAGTTTATAGAGAATTCACAAACAATATTGTGGTGTGTTTATTCTAAACTGGAGCGACAAGGAGACTGAATCGACAGAACCAAAAATGGACACAAGTATAATTGGCAGCAAAAGAATGAATTGAGCCAATCAGATAGCAGGAAACCACCATCAACGTGAAAAAAATAGTGTGTGACTGATATTAGTGTGAAAACAATCACCAAAGGACACCTTTTTACATACAAACTTCAGTACAAAGAATCGATAGATTTGGCGATTCAGCATAAAAGGGCAATACCAGCCCGTTGATAGCATGCACGGAAGTAGAGATTCTGTCGACTTCTTTAATCAATGGAGAACAAGGAGTAGAAGCAGAATCCATGGGCGATCGTTACAAGTAAGCAGAGATACGACATGGGGACGTGTACCTGTGCGGCCTTCGCTGCGACTGCCCACCACGTACACGAGCCACCGGGCCCCTCGGGGCGGCGTCGGGTTGAGCACGTTGTCCACTTGATACGAATCGGCGGGGAATTTGAGGGTTTCCAGCACCATTTGGTTGGTCGCGGCTTCGGCCTGTGATTCGACCGACCGCTTGAACGTGAGCACGGGGTGCGCGTCGCGAAGGGGCAGGCTAGTGGTGGTGCGGTCTACCCAGAACGACTCGGGGATCGGCCACACGAACTCGCGCGTGAGGGTCGCTGCCGTGGACAGCGTGTTCTTGGTCATGCCAAATGTGTCCGTGTCCATCGCGCCGGACGGGCCGCCTGTCGACGACGCCGGCGACGCGTCGCACTGGAACCGGACGAGCACCCCTGACTTCATGCGCGCAATCACGAGGTCCACCCTACGGGGGGGGGGTTGAAGCACATGACGAATGAATGGACGAGAAGGACGAACGCACTCTTTCTCGACGGCTGCCTTGGTGACGCGGCCGTTGTTGAACAGATGCAGCATGCCGCCGGTTTCGTCGCACAACGACGAAAAGTACGGCGGGTTCACAGCATTAGCGGAAGGCTTGCTGGCCGTAATGTCTGCACTCAATTGCACCGCGATTGTAAACAAGCGCTACAGTGCGATAGGTTGGTTGATGCCTCAACATTTGTGTACCTGATCCCATCGGAACGGCTGTCGCGTGAGATCCAACGCGGACAAACTGGTCGGCGGCACCACGAGGTCGGTCTGAATGCCGTCCATCGTCGTGATCGTGCCTGCGTCCGTGATGAGGACAATGTGCGTCATGTGGGCATTGTATGGTAGTCGTCCGAGACCGTAGTTGTCGCAAAAGATCTTGGCCCGTTCGCGGTTGATCAAGTCAAACGCGGAACTCAAGGCGCTTCCGACGTCGCTCAAGTCCCGTGGCTCCAAGTACTTGAGTTCGCGGTAAAACATCTCGCGGTTTGTAGAGTTCTCCATGCCCACGACCACGCCATTGAACGTCACGAGCATAAAGTGCATGTAGTTCATGCGGTTGACCGTGCGCGATAACAGTTTCTTCGCCATCGTCTCGACCACCGACTTGGCAAAGTCCAGTAATGTCATGCCGCAAGCAGATCGCTGGCCCATCGACGCACTCGTGTCCACCACAAATGTCACCAGCATCGTTCAAAATCGAGCTGAACAGCGCCGCCGCCGCCGATTTTTACCAAAGCAACCTGCAATGGGGGTGTTCGGTTAACCTTTTCTTTATCCGGACAACTAAGTTGTACTTTGATGTACGTACTACTGTACGTACTCAAGTGTACGACATTTCACCTTGAAGTACATTGAATGTGATGGGACAATCAGTGGGGCTGGCTGATGTTCATGTCATAGCCTATGACATCCTATGCGATTGCAATAACAGCGGCGATCAATCGTACTATATACACCACACAAGGCGTTGACTAAATAGTTCAGACTCCTTCCAACGTCAAGGGGTTGCCGCTATCTGGCTGTGCAAATCGGACTTTAGCAGTTCAGGTTAGGTACAAGTACACTTCAATTGTAAAGCAAAAAACGGTTGCTTTGGAACGTCAATGTTGTTTAGGCATGGACTACAAGCGAGTTCCGGCGCGAGACTGACGTCAATGCCCCCATCGTCGTCGTCGCTTCTCGGCGTCCACCCAGCGTCACCAAGAGCGCGCCTCCTAAGAGAAGTGGCGCGGCCACCAGTGTCATCAAATCTGGTTGGCCTTGAACTCCCGCTAGGTATCCCATGTAACTCCCGAGCAACGGCTCCCACAACCCCGACACGGACACGAGCAGCGGACTCACGTGCACGACGACGGAATTCAGACAGGCATGGCCAAAGAAGCCTGCGACAAAGGCGGCGCCAAAGGCCAGCCCAAACAGTTGCCAGTCCCCGAAGAAACCGAACAACGCGGCGGGACCGAGGCCCACCACGGACGTTTGTGGCTCCAACACGAGCGACGCAATGGCCAAACACACGGCGCCGAACGCAGTCACGGACAGCGAGTAGATGAACAACGGCATCCATTGGCGGCAGGCGGCCCCGCCTTCCAAATATACAATCAGGACCAGGGCCCCGGCCATCGACGCAATGTTGCCGGCGAGCGTTACGGGGTGGGTTTGAGTGCTTTGGTCAGATGTGGACGATAGCAAGACGACGACGCCGGAAAACCCCACTAGCGCCCCCGCCGCTTCCATCCACGTCGGTGGCAGTGCCACCGGCGGACAAACGATCGTTTCAAATAACGTGGGTGTGGCGGTGGAGGTAAAGATCATGGCGTCGGTTTCCTTGGCCACCGTACGCTCCTGAAGACTGATGACCACGGACGAAGGCGAATGGCGGCGGTACAGCCAGCGCAGGGTCATGATCACGACGAGCAACAGGGGCGTGGTGCAAACCAACAAGAGCGAGTCCAGCAGCGTCGTGTGGGCCACGCTCCACCCCCACGTGCCAAAGTAGCACCCGATCGCAGCACCAATAGCCATCAGAAGCGGCAACGAGCGTCGATACTTTGCCCAGAATTCAGCATCCAGCGAACGGTTTGACAAAAGCTCGTACACAACGCCCACGGATTGCAACAACGCCGTCAGGATGAGGCGCCAGCACGCTTGCATAATGGGCGGAGTCTGCGTGAACAGCGCAAACCACACGCCTCCAGACGACATGGTCGAGATGGACAACGCCAGGACAATGTACGCCCACCACGGAGTTGGCATGCTAGGGAAAGATCAACACTGGTGGTTTCGGGGCTTCAATCGCGTGGTGTTGGATTTCATTACACAGCTTCACTGCGATTGGCCACGCATCCACATCAACGATTGGCTGCATTACGATCCACTTCGAAGAAGGTAACTTCAAGTTAACTTACCACATCCATGAAATGGGTTCGAAAGAATGCTCCTTGTGGCGACTGCTCGGCTTGCATGGGGCGCAAGTTTACTCGAACATACCTTGCCACCAACCGCTTAACTTAAGGATGGAAGTGGCCAAGGAGGCCGTGGAATGTTACAATGAATACTACTACTTCGAAGTAATAGCCAAGGCGAGAGAATTACTTGTATTGGTGTGGAATGTACCGGTAGTTGGATCTTTACAGGTGTCAAAGGTCATATATCAAGAACCCGAGAATGATCTTATGTCCGATGGTTTCTTGTCTCGGCCGCCTAATGTGACCAAGAGGGCGCCTCCGAGAAGGAAGATGGCGGCTACGAGGGTCATAATGTCTGGTGGGCCTTGCACGCCCACAAAAACCCCACAAGGCTCCCGATGAGGGGCTCCCACAACGCCGCCAGGGATATCAGCAACGGGCTGACGTACACCACAGCGATGTTCGCGCACGCATGCCCGAAGAACCCTACGAAGAAGGCGGCACCAAAGGCAGTCCAAACAGCTTCAAGTCCCCAAGCAGCCCAAACAACGAGTCGGGCCCTAGCCCCGATACGGTCCTGTGCGGCTCAAACAAGAGCGATGCGACTGCCAAGTCGACGGCGGCAATCGTCGTGATGGACAGCATTACAGAAATAGCGGCATCCACTTTCGACATGTCGAACATCCCTCAAAGTAAACGACAATGACGAGCGCTCCGAGCAAAGCTGAGGCATTTCCGACCAAGGTCACGTCATGACTCGTGCTTCCTTGGTCTGTGGCCGTGGACAAGAGCGCGACAACCCCAGCGAACCCAACCGCCGCCCCCACCACTTCCAACCACGTCGGCGGCAGGGCAACTGCAGGGCACACCACTGCTTCAAACCACGTCGGGTCGTGGTTGCTTTTGTCCAGCAATGTGACTGTTTCGTGGCTACGCGAGGTTGCTTTTGACGACGTTTGGCAGTGGTGGGGCGGCATGGCGAGCCTGAAGGCGACGGTAGAACCACCTCAATGTCATTATTCCCACCATGAGCAATGGCGACGTGCATACGAGCAAGAGGGAGTCCAAGAGAGACGTATGAGCAACACTCCAGCCCCAGCTACCAAAATAGCATTGAAACGGCAGACGTTTAGATTTCAAAGTTTCGACCAATGGATATCCAAAACTCAAATGCCGTGGCAGAAAGTTCATATTGTTATGACGGTTGGTCCTTTCACAAGTCGAAGCACATAACGTTAGGTAGTACTACGTAGCTTGCGATTTGGCTCATGACGCAGGCAGAAACTTCATCACATCTCTACGCAAAACGATGCCTTCACTTGGGCCTTGAGTTCCAACGCTGGCGCCCTTTTGTAGAGATTTATTTCCTGACATCTAAAAACCATGTGGTAATCAAGACTGGTGGGGTTTTATTGGCCCAAATCGCATGAATTATGTTGGTTTCACTGGTGGGAGTTGATGTTTATAGGGAGTAAACGGTGTCGATCCTTGACTCCAACTAAGACCGTACTTGAACAGGATCATTTCTATAGTGCAGTCATCTTTACTTTGTTTTCCAAAGTAGACGATACCAATAACTTTGAGGATCGGATGTGACCCCCTTCGTTGACTCGGGATGTCGGCGCACGTGCTGTGGACGCAAGTCCGGGTCGTGGCTGTTGATGAACGTCCACTGTTGCTATTCCAAGACAGTGTGAGCGGAGGCGGGTGTTATGAGAAGTTATTGGTATTAGTTTTTTCATTCTGCTGCTCCCCTTCCTATTAATACTTCCTACGATGCCCTTCCAATTCATATTACTGTACCCCTCAAACGTTGCATGGCCCACCCAATGCTTGGACGCAATACGAGCCGTACATATATAAATTGAAGTGTAAAGCTGTTTAGACCAAAATAGCATTCACTCATTTATGCAGTTGAAACATTGGCTTGGGGACTTGATGGGCGCTTTATTGCTGCTCTCTGGGTCGTGCAACCGCGTCGGTTGGTCCGTCGATCTCTTTCAATTCCGCCTTTGGAATGCGTACACGGACATGGGGCTCGGACGGCTCGGCGCCTTTCATCGCCCGCATATGCACCTTCATGGCGGCATTCTCTTTCATCAAGCAGTCGTTCACATCCTCCAGCTGTTTGATGCGCGGGTTGTCGTCGTCGCTGCTCTGGTTTCCAGACGAGTCGCGAATGAGTTGCTGCAGCTGCTGCTGGGCCTGTTTCGCCTTGTTCTTGAACAGCACCACGTGCTTCTCCAAGCTCACCACATACTCTTGCTGGGTCTGGAGCTTATCCTTCAACCCCATTAGCTCTTCCGACCCCGTTGGAGTACTCGCCGCGAGAGTCTGGGCTGCAGCGACCTGCTGCATCAAGGCATCGATAGTAACTTGAGCGTTGTGGCGCTCCCCTTCTAGGGCTTGCTGAAGCTGCGCATGCTTGGATTCCCATTCCACTTGCCGCTCCGATACGTACCGGTCGTACTCGACCAAGCGCTTTTTGTCTACGAGCAGGAGTCAACAACGAGATTTCGTCGTTTTGGATCAACTCACCTTTGTCAGCCTCGACCAACCGTTTCTTGAGCTGGTCCAGCTCATTTTGACGGGCAGTGACGAGGTGGTTCAAGTCGGCGAGGGTCTTGGCGTCGCTCGATGACGTCTTTTCAGCCGCGTTGAGTGCATCGATCTGGCATTGTTTGTCCGCCAGCAGCACCATGAGCTCGTCCATTTGTTTCTTGTCGTTGGTTTGGAGAAGTTCGCTCTGCATGAGTCGTCGATCGTACTCGGCTCTGGCGGCATGCAGCCCGTTCTCCAACTGCTCGCGATTCTGGGTGAGTTGCGCGACCATTTCGTCTTGGAGTTGCAACGTCATCTGTACCGCTTTCATCTGCACACACACGTCCACCAACTAGCCAACAAACGATCAACCATGCTTGTTAGTACTAGCAGTAGCTTCCTACCTCTGTCCAGCACATTTTGATCCAAGTTTTGAGTGTCCTGTCGATGGTGGCACCAGAGCTTGCCACGTGCTTGAGCAAGTGATCGATATTCGACGCTTTCGAAGGCACCATCAGCGCTTGGGCGGATTCCAGCTGCGAGTCTTGGAATAAAATCTGCGACGTCAAGTCTTCGATTTGCTCCTCCAACGCCGTCAATTCGTCTTGCACGGCCGGGTCCACGTACGACTATTCACGTCGCTTGTTGGTCATAATCACACATTTAGCCCCCCCCATCCATCCATCCATCGATCCAACCATCCCCCCGACTTGTTTCAATATCGTTTACAAAAACCCGAAACCCCTGGATGCGTACGTACCTGCGTTTCCATCTTTTGTACAAACAGCGCGAGTTTCTTCTCGGCGCGCTCTTTTCTGCGCTTGAGTCGGGCCAGTTCGTCCGGGTCTGGCGCCGCCGCCATGTTCAGTTTGCAGTTCATGGCGTGAATGGTCTCGGACAAGTCGGTGATGCTCGACTGCACCGACAAACTGTTGAACGGAGACGAATATGTAACCAAGATGACGGTAGCATCTACCATTTTTGCATCATGTGGTCATACCTTTGTCGCATTTTTTCCATTTCAAGGCCATGCTTGCGCCGTGCGATCTCGTCTTTCTCCTTGGCAGTAGCCTCCTTGGCATGTAACATGGTGGCAACCTGCGCTTGCTTGACGTGACTCTCCACAGCGGCCAACAACTGCGTTTGGAACATGGCGCGGATCGCCGTCTTGTCCAGCGGGGCGGCCGACGGGTCTGCCGTTTTTGGCGGCGGGGGGAGCGCTGCTACCGAATGGAGTGGAAGCGGCGCGCTCCGTGGAAGCTTGGCCGTCTGCGCTCGTGTCACGGGAATCTGATGATTGTTCAATAGGCTTCGTGAGAACCAGTAAATCAGCAGGGTCGATGGGAAGAGAATGCACGTAATCGTACATGCGATTCATTTGGCTTCATGGGTGGTGGTGGGGTGGTTGTGAATAGCACACCGCCGCCACCACCGATGTCATTATTAGTCGACTTGGCTTTCTACAACGTTGTGATGGTCCTGCTTCTAGATAGAGAAGCAAGCATATCGCACCGCTAAGTCTGTTTTCAAGGCCACAATTTCTTGTTGCAAGTTGAGAATGGTCGTGGTAGTCTAATCATGTGTCGACTGACCCCCCCCCCGTCAAGGGAAGTATGCATACCTCGGCGGACACTTCTGGTTCTGCCATCAACACGTTGTCGCCGTCGTCATCGTCGTGGGCGCCATGGTGGCGTCTGGCAAACAAGCTCTGCGACTTTCGTTCGGGTCCAGCCTCCACACTTGGTCGAGTCGGCGACCCCATCCCCGCAGCAGGGACCTTTGCAGCCGCATCTCGTTGGAGCTGTTGGTTTAATGCCCGCAACGACTCGATTTCGACGTGGGCACACGCCAGTTGGCGTTGAAACTGGTCCATTTCTTGGCTTTTGAGCTCGAAAATCTCGACGTCTTGTTTGAGCTTTTCGTGGAGGGCGTTGATTTCTGCATGAAACTCTCTGGAATGACGATGAGGAGGCTGGTTGTTGTTGGTCGGGACGGTATCGCTTGCGTCAATGATCAATCCCAATTCGGACGACGATGAGTTGTCGTGCTGCAGGACGACAATGCCGTTGAGCACCTTGACCACGTCGTTCAGGCGTTGTTGAATCGGTCGTCCGAGGGACTTGATGTCCCGCTCCAAGGCCACCAGCGCCGTCGCTCCTTGTTTCGCCGCGACCTTGGCCGACTGAATCACACACTGCAACGCGTTCACTTTGGCCTATTCCACACCCAATCGCATCAATAAGAGGTGTTGTTGGGAAAGGGGTTAAAGGCGTTGTTACCGTCCACGCGGCTTCAAGTTGCTCGTGATGGGACTGCTGGTTGTCGACTGGGACGGCCACGACGGGTGTTGGGGGAGTGCCCAGTTGCCGTTGGAGCAGTTCGATCTCTTGCTTCATACGCAAGATGGTGTCGTTCGTGTCGGCCTCCTTGACATGGTTCACCACGGGTCGGTTCTTGATGTTCTTGGCGCGGTTGGCATACTTGAGTGTGTTGAGCGTCTCGTCAAAGTTGGCGGCCACGGGGCTCACGCACGCAATCATGAGTGTCTTGGAGTTCCCGCCGAGGGAGTCCTGCAGCAGCCGCGTCAGCTTGGAGTCACGGTACGGAACATGCGAATTCTTCTTCTTGGCGTCGTCGCCTAGTGCGGAAATGACATTGCCCAGCGCCAACAGCCCTTGGTTGATGTTGACCGATTCCTACAGTTGCTCAGCAATTCAATCGTTCGTTCTATAAACGAGAGGGTGGTGCTGCTACGGCTACCTTGAAGCGCCCCCCGACCGCCCCCGTCCGCTTGGCCCGCTCCGACCCTGCCAAATCCACTAAATGGAACTTGGCGTGTGTGAGCTCTCCCGAGTCGCGGGCCTTTTGCTGCAGCACGAGCGTAAAGATGGCGTGTGACCGGGACGATTGCTCGTTCATCTGCGTGCTTCCCGTCACCCGCGCCGCCGACCCCATCGACAGCAGCCGCATGACGTCGTCGGGGCTTTGCACCGCTTGCGATTTCGCGCCCGTGACCACAATGTGTCCGTCGGCGTCTTCTCGAATCGACAAGTTCTACACGTCGTTCGTCAGCAATGAGAACATCATCGTCCCCTTCAGGGCCCTTTTCATTGTAGCCAGTTCAACACTCTACACAATGCCCATTGCAACGTGTAGTTTGCACCTTGGACGACGTCTCTGGGTGCAGCAAATCGCGTAGCTCTTCGTTGTAAATCTCGAGGTATTCCACGCGCAAGAGGCACTCGGTTGCCTGAACCCCGTACACAGTCAGCAACACAGTTCAATGTACCTACCCCCCACGATAGGAAGATAGCTATGTATACGTACTTCGTGGCGGGCCTGCATGAGCGCAAACACGTGACATACCGCCCGGGGGATCACGCCGTGGGCGTCCTGGATTTTGGTGCTGTAGGCAGCCCCCCCCGTCATCGTAAACGTCTTCCCCGTGCCCGTTTGGCCGTACGCGAGCACGGTGGCGTTGTATCCCTAATACACGACATTGAACATTTCCCCTTCGCAAAACTGGGTTGAAAGGGGAAGCAGCATGCACTGCCAAGCATGTTGTGTCGTGTACCTCGACAAACCCCTCGACGAGCGACGTCACCGACGCGGCGTACAGCGCCTCTTGGGTCGTGTCCACAGTGTGGATGCGGTCAAATGTAAACGGCCGGTCCTTCCCCACCACAAGCTGCGTAGGGATGGGGCTGGCGGGCACGCGGACGCAGTTGTTGGCCGCGATCGCCGCCTCGACCTTTTCCTTCTTGCTCGTCGGTCGGATGCGCACACAAACTTGGACACAGTCGTCTGCTGTCATGGTGCTGGTCTAGTACTACAAATACGACGAGATCTCCTCGTCCAAGGAATGTCTCGTTTCAGTTTGTCGTGCTAAATTTAGATTAACTAGGAAACGTTTGGTTACATGCACGTGTTATGAAAGTTAACGACGGCGGCGGTCACGGCTCCGGCTACGACGTTGGCGTTGTTGGCGGTCTCGACTTCGACTGCGGCTTCGGCGCGACCGGCGACTGCTCCCGCGGTCTCTGGACGGCGTGCGAGACCGGCGACTGCTCCCGCGATCTCTGGACGGCGTGCGAGATCGGCGATTGCTCCCGCGGTCTCTGGACAGCGAGCGAGACCGGCGGTGGTCTGAATCCCGACGGGACAAGGCAGGCCCGTCGATGGGATTTGTGGCGGCGGACGCCGCAGCGGCGTCGACTGATGGCGTCCCGGCGGAAGGACCCCCCGAGTACGCTGCTTCCCTCGCGAGCTTCATTTCGGCGATCTTTTTTCGAATTTGCATGTATCCAAGATGCATCTTGCCGCCAAAGTGATCGGCCAAGCGGCGATCACTGTCGAAAATGCTAAGGAACGCGCCGCACATGTCACAAACGCGGAGTTTGTTGTTGACGTTGGTCATGGCCAGAGGGTTGCCGGGCAAGACGTTCATGAGATGGAGCTGCGTGGCGTCGTACTCGTTCACCACAGGAGTCGGAGCGCTGGCGCCGCCGCTGCTGTCGGAGGAGGACGGGTTGGCCTGCACGGCATTCTTCTTGAGCTTGAGCACCTCGACTTGCGCCATCAACTCCATGGACAAATCGACTTCGCCTTCGTTGCCCGCGTCCTCTGCTTTTTGCATGAGGTCAGCAATTTCGGCAGTGATTTCCAACACCTCTTTGCTGCTCTCAATGTCGGCCAACGTCGGTGGACGCGCGCCTTCTTGCTCCTCCAGCCGCTTCTGCGCCCGGGCAATCTTCTTCTCGACGTCTGAAACGTAGCGCTCTAGTTCACGCAACAAGTCGTTCTCGTACCCATAGTCTCGGGAATGCGGCTTGGACTTCTCCGCGTCGTACGCGACCTTGAGTTTGGGCAAATGCAGCTTTTCGCACTCGCCCATGTCCATCTTTGTGTTTTGGAACAAGTCATGCGGACACAACCCGCAAAGGAATCGCTTGCACACGCGGGTATCACGGAAGTCACTGATGTCTTCTTCAGGCTTATCCCCATCACGGTTTCGGCCCATCAGCTCGTCGAGAAGCGCGCGTTGTGCATCCATCGTCTCGTGGTTTGCCGCTGCCGCACAATGTGTGTGGTATTGCCGCCTCTGATTGGTTCTAGCAATTGGTTCGACAAATCCATTTGTGTTTTGTCAAATCAAACAATATAGCCAATCATATTTCAGTATTCTACAAATTCCTGCAGAATCGCGCCAATCAGAGAGTACCAACTCTTTTGTATTTATCACCATCATCCCCGAACAAAGCTGCGAAGCATCAAGCCATCACAGCATGCGACGGAATGCAGCAGCCTCAGTAGCATGAGTGCTTCCACCACTTCGCCTTTGGACGCCGTCGATACATGCAGCATGTGCTCTACATGTGGCACGACGAGCTTGGATATCTCATCCCGAGCAATCTCGTGGACGCATGAGGCGTAATCCTTTGCCTCCCATGCCTTCTGTAGCTTTTCGTACACCGCCGCCACATCCGCGCTCCATGTTGGATCCACGGCTTGCACGGCAGCGACCAAATGGGAGTTGTCGACTTCTCCGCGTGGGGGTTTCTTGGATCGAATGGCATGCAGAAATGATGCGCTTCGCTGCGCGGTGGCCTACGCCATCCCTTGGTTAGTGTGGTCTTAAAATGCAAGGCCGTGGAATGTACTGGTGATAACTGAGGCGGCGGCGGGACCCGCCTCAACACCGACGACAGCTCTTGGTTCATCTCATCCAAGAGCTTCTTGATCTTGTGTAGACGATACCATACCGGGAATACCCGGGAGAGGGACGGGGGGGCGTCAGGTGGCGGCGCATACGACTGGCATTTGTCGTGCAGGACATGGAGGATTCGCTTGTACGCATACTGCAGTCGGAACACCTGCTCCCGATACGGAATGCGCGGCGGTGGTATGTCGGTGTCGGCGCTAGGTGGGGATGTGTCCCGTGTGGAGAGCAGTTGGTTCAACTTGCCGAGGAACGTCCGAGCTGGGGAATCTTGAGATGACCAGATAGCCATCTGGTCAGCGACTTCGCCCATGCGGGCAACAACATGTCGAGGGAGCTGTTGGTGGCGACGTCGGGGACAGTGTTGATCGTCCGGAGGAGATACTATAGTGTCCGTGCCATCGCCGACTATTGGTGGCGCACCTGTCACCGAGGGTGGTGATGGCTGTTGTGGAGTGGCTAGCCCCGCAGAAGATGAACCCGCTATTGGTCGACCATGCTGCTTGACTTGCGCATTTCGAATGGATCTTGCGCGCTGCAAAGCTTCCTGCAACGCTGCTTCGGCCGCGACGACATGTTCGTCCACAATGGGTCCCTTCGACTCCACGTCGGTTTCTCTCTTGCTCCCGCGCGCCGTCGCGTGGTTAGGCTCGAGTCTCGTGCACAGTTGTAGACTCTTCCGTAGCTCATGGCATTGCTCGTCCACAAGCGTCACTCGAAAATGCAAGTCCACAGCGATGTGGTAGATGATCGCCAAGTGGTCATGAACGCGGCGGTCGAAGGGATTCGAGCTCATGGTTATTCGGAAATATCCGGATAACATGAAAAGTCACATTTGCCTGATGCAATCCTCGAAAATGTGATCGGTCGTGCGATGTACGAACATCATCGCATCCTTGGCATTGCCGCGCAACTGCGTAACGTTACCGCTACCGCGTACCGCGGTAGGCTACAAACCAGGCGCCAAGCAGATGCCTCCTGAAGTAGTGCTGTATCAAGACTTGCATCGAACGCCCCCACCCCACACTTCCACTTGGACGACGGAGACAACTGTAACTTTCAATAAAATCACCGATATTCGCCGTTAATAATCCCTTGTCACTCTGCTTCGGGCACGTAAATGTCGACGGACTCGTCCATTTTCGTGGATCGTAAGGACGTTCGCCTTGCTTGCAAGGCTTCCATGGCTTGGATTTGGCCTTGGATCATCATGGGATGGATCTGGAACGGCTGCACCGAGTCGGGCAGAAACGGCGAAATGCCCTGGAGAAAGTCTGTGGCTTCATTCATCTTCAACGCAAAGCCAAGGCGAACCATTTGCCCGTCGTAGAGGAAGCCGATAGTGGGGCGCGTGATTTGAGGGCTGCTGGACGACGCGACCACTTGGAACGGCTTCATGAGGTTCACGTCAAACGTCCGCGCTTTCCGCACACACAGCGCCTGCCACTCGTACGTGATGGTCTTGGTGTTTGTGAAGGTGTACACTTCACACCCAAACAGGTTCCACGTGGCAGACGCGAGCACGAACGTTGCGATGAACCCGCCAAACACGATCGGGATCACGAGGGCGGAGCTGCTGTGTAGCACGAGTACTTCTAGAATGTAAATGGAGTACCCAGCCGCCGCCCCGACGACGACCAGCGCTGTCAAGTAGAAGGTATCCCATGGCACTGGCACCCGCACGTGCACCCCGCCGGTGGCTGCAGGTTGGATGGAATACCGTGGAGGGCGTGCAGTCATATGCAGTCCCGGCCAAGTTGTAGTGCCCACTTGCATTCTTTGAAGCGAGCGACTTTTTTTTGCGCCTTAAATAGCCTCTGTCTCAATTACAACACCTTAAAATAGGTTGATACTTATAACGCAGAGTCCACGCGTGGCAATACATGAGGCCTCTGAATAGTCCTAGTATTCTTAGCTATTGATTTATTGGTGGTAACGTTATTGTGAATTCGCTTTAAACTTCCAAAATTCGCCTGGTTTGTATCACGGTGGAGTTGTGATTGGTTGAATATACAATTGTCCTTTCTGCAAGAGCCAATGAAATCCACTCATAAATGGATTAGCCAATAGCGTCGATTCGATTCGACGGGGTCTGGAAATTCGTATCGAATAATTCACGTCAACTTAATTGCTCTCGAGCATCGAATGAACGACATATTGTGCTTTCGAATGAAATTTCGTGTTGTGGCGTGGTTTTTTGTTGGAATTTAAATCGATTTGATTGGCTACTTCAGATGAGCTCAAAATTATTAGCCAATCAAAACCACCTTATCAATGAAATTCAACCAATCAGATCGATTGTGGATCGGTTTGGTCGGCGCGATTCGATTGCACCCCGTCCCCAAATTTGTATCAAATCGACAATATTACAAGGTCGAACGAGTACTAGTATGACGTTACGGGGGTGGTTGGAGTAGAATAAGATAGTATTGTTGCCCTTAATATGTGTGTCTATGATCGTGGATATTCAGTCGTGGTTGTTGTTACAGCTGCCATAGTTTGTCGGCTCGACGTAATGGTCGCGGCTGTTGAGTCGAAATCGATTTGGCATCATCGGCCGCTCTTCCACTGTCAGCGGCATGTCACTAGTCGGAGGACACTGTAGAATCGCCGGGTCTTGCAATGTCAACGAGACTTCCGGAAAGCTCGGGCGACCCACGGGGTTGGCATCCCAGCAACTTTTCATGAGCTTCTCCAAACCGGGGGGGCAGTTGATTGGGATCACGGGCCTCAACCCGTTCACCACGGCCGTCATCTGGCCACATGGTCAATATATATATATATATAGGTCCGTACCAGCTGAAACGGATTCATGCCTTGATCCCCATATGGTTTGCTTCTCGACCACATTGTGTAGAGCAAAATGCCAAACGAATACACGTCGCCCTTGGTCGAACATTGTGCGCCCCCCATCGTGGCCATTTCCGGGGCCATGTAGCTTGGCGTGCCCACCTGTAAACAACACACAACAAATTAGTGTGTATTCACACTAAATAAAGACCATACCTCGGCCGTCATGGACGTGGTTTCCGGGTCGATCAACCGAGACAAGCCAAAGTCGCAGATGTTGACGTCGTCCGTGTCGGTGAGGAGGACGTTGGCCGGCTTCAAGTCGCGGTGCACGACGTTGCGACTGTGCAGGAACCCCATGCCGCTCGTGATTTGCACCACGACCTTCATAAAGAACGTCGGTTCGAACGGCCCTTTGGTCGTCGGGTTCTCAATCAAGTGGCTCAAGCTGGTCTGGCAAAAGTCGGTCACGATATACAAAATGCGGCTGTAGTAGCTGACACCGTAGAACCGAACGACGTGCGGGTGGTGCAGTTTGCTGAGGATGCTCACTTCGCGCCGGAAGAAGCTCTGAAAGTACTCTTGGCCTGTCACGGGGCTGTACAGCCGCTTCACGGCCACGACCGAGTTGCCACCGCCACTGTGGTACAAGCTCTGAAACACTTGGCCAGACGTGCCGTTGCCGACTTCTTTTTGCAGCGTCAGCGCTTCAAACGGGATCAACCAGTCGCGCGAGTCGGCCGACACGAAAAACTCCAAGTCGCTCACGTCCGAAATCTCCAAATACCCTGGGAACGTGCTGCCCCGCCGCAGCACCTGTGGGTGGAAGACCTGCGTCTGCCGCGCCAGCCGCCGCATCGAGCACATGCAAAACCCAAGCGTCGACAGCGCAATCAGCCCCAAACCGCACACCATGGCCAATGGAAACTCGTACACTTCGCACCCGATGCCGCTGAACCGGGCGTCGCATTCGCAGATGCCCACCGATCGGTTCGCGTGCGGAATGCACACGCCGTGGCCGTTGCACATGAGTCCGCTCTCAATGTACCCCGGGCACAGCACACAATCCGGACCAATGTACCCCGGCAGGCACGACGTGCACGGGTTCTTGGCCGACCACGCCCACCCTTGGTCGCACGAACACGTGCCCGACCCCAGGAGGCCGCTCGAGCACGTGCCGTGCGCGCAATCTTGCGGACACGCGGTGCAATTCGGGCCGAAGTAGCCGTCGTCGCAGTTGTAGCAGTCGCTCGTGGAGCTATAGCCTTCGCTGCAAATGCACTGCCCCGAGCCGTGGATCGAATCGTCGCACCTCCCTTGACCACACCGTCGGCAGATGGAGCAGTCGTGGCCAAAGTACCCGCCCATACACGTCACGCAATTGGTCGAGTCGCTCCACCCTGGATCGCAGATGCACCGGCCGTCACCTACAGCCAACCCACGTCGTCTCAGACAAGCGCAGTAGGTAAAGATCAACATGACCATCATAATGAAAACGACGTACCGTCGTTGCCAGCACTACACCGTCCATGCGGCGCACAGATCGGACACGACCGGCAGAACGGGCCAAAGTGTTCGGGCGCGCACTGGCAGCTCATGGTCGTGGGGTTGAAGTCCCACCCGTCGTCGCAGAGGACGCACCGGGACACGGACGTGTACCCGGCGTCGCAAAAGCACTGCCCGTCGCCGGCCAGCGTGTCGTTGCAGAGGCCACGGCCGTGGCACGACGCGCACCGCGTGCAGTTGTGTCCAAAGTAGTTGGTGGAGCAGTCAGTGCAGTGCGTTTCAGCGTCAAACCCTTCGCGGCAGATGCACTGGCCGTCGCCTTGTAGCCCGTGGTTGCATCGTCCTTCATGGCACGACTGGCACGGCGCGCAGGTCGGCCCGAAGAACGAGTCCATGCAATCGAGGCAGTTCTCGGTTGCATTGTAGCCCACGGCGCACGAGCACAACCCGTTGCCTTGGATGCCGTCGTTACAGTTGCCGTGGGGGTAGTTGCATTCGTCGCAAGGGAGGCAGCTGGGTCCGTAGTGAAGCGGCAAGCAGGTCGCGCATCGAGTGGCCGGGTCATAGCCGGCCGTGCACACGCAGTCGCCGGTCCCGTCGATGCCGGACTGACACACGCCGTCGTTGTAGCATACGTCGCACGATTCGCTGCAGGTTGCGCCGAATTTGTTGTCCAAGCATCCTTGGCATGTCGGCGGCGCGTAGCCAGATCTACACGTGATATATGTGATGTGTATGTAGAATGAACGGGGTCGAAGAGAAGCGGATGGTGGTGATATGATGAATGGTGATGATCATCATCGTGATGACGTGGTCGTACTTGCACGTGCAGGAGCGAGGGTCGCCTTCCGTGACCGCGCAGTCGCAATGGCCGTGTCCGTGGCACCACGTGTTGGTGGTTTCGTTCCACCCGGGGCAATCTAAGCATCAAGATAGATGTAAGTCTCTAGGAAAATGGAGGTAGAAGACAGAGGGGGAGGATGGAGAAGGTAGTGATGAAGATGATGGTCGATCCTACGGTCGTCGTCTTGGACTTCGTAGAACAGATCCATGCGCGCCATGCCCACGTACGACACGCCACCAAACGAGCACACGGGCTGTTGTGCATGATCACCAGTCCATTCGTAGACAATCTCAAACTCGACGGAATCCTCGGTAATGAGAGAAAGGATCGATCGTTGGGTGCCACGGCCGGGCTGGATGCTGTTTTCGTGTGGCGGCAGCACGTCGAACCAGTCGTCGCAATGCGGATAATTTGCCGCGAGGTACGAGTCCGATGGGTACACGAAAGACGTGAGGAGCTCGTTCTGGTTGATCTTGACGCTGCGCACCAATCCCTTTCCTGTCGAATGGTAGCTTAGCCAGTCGATTTGCTTGACGTTGACCGACACGGCCGCCTACAAGGAGGAAGTGACGACCACGATCGGTAGACACGGATGTACCTTGCACAGCGTTTGGGTCTTTGGGTCAAACAGCTTCGTCACGGGGTTAGTCGTGTTGGTAAAGGGACATGTGGTGCCTTCCCAGGCGACACACACCGCCGTTATACTTTCCTGCTGTTCTCCCCTGGCATCGACGAACGCTGGATCATGGAGGACAGCGAGCACGAGCAGCTGCATGAGGCAGTATGTGTGTATATGTCGCATCGTAGCTCGAAACCACCTCATCGTCGGAAGAGTCGTCTGTCAAGCTGCCCTCACGGTGATGATGCTGGGTCGACCGACGGTAACAAGTGAGATCCTATGCTCAAGGGAATTACGATGGGCAATCAAAAACACGTCAAAATTGGCAAAAACGACCGCAAATTGAGGGCAAATGGCGAATATTTACCCCAAAATATCGTTTTCTTTTTTATTCTACAATGGGCATACTTTAACCAAGCTGATTTTAAACCCACCGTGGTGAATTCATCCACTTCACATTGCCTGATACTTGTGGCGATAACAATATGAACGTCAACCTGCGCGATTCATGTCGTCATGGCAACGGAGGGACTCAACTGACAGATACATCAGCTTGTCCATGGAGATTTACTTTGCCGCGTCCTTTAGGCGACGCGCCACAATATATGGAGCCTGTCCAACCCTTCCTAAAGCCATTCACGACCACAAGTCTCAACGCAGGCGAGGGTTTCTCGGGTGTCAGCTTAAACATTACGCAAGCAAACGTCGGCGCTGACGGCCTCTCGCCAATGGATGGGCCTTGTAGTACTTTCGATGGGCTTCCCTCAAATGATGCGGCCGGATCGGTCCCGTGTCTCCATTCTTCTGCATCAATTCCCGAGCTACAGAATAGCCGACCATGAATACTCCACAAGACACACCTCCAACAACGTACCTTTTTCGGTCAATTCGCCGACAAACTTCTTGGCCAAACCTATTCATGACAAGCACATGACGATGGAAATCGCGCGATGGAATTCCGACCGGACATGACAATCGCCAGGTTAATGTGCACGGCTGGCGCTTTTCGATCGTTTCCAGAGCATTCCTCAATCACTTGCATCATGCACTACACACCCACAAGTCACATGGAGGATAATGCGATATTGCAGTACGCGCTTGATGACGAATTTGTCGAAATGGGAGCGCCGGAATTGCTCGTGTTGTCGTTTCGCTCCCTCAGGCAAATTCTGGATGAACTTGAGCTTGGCTAGGTTCTTTGATTCTTCACTTTCCTCTTCGTCATCGTCCTCCTTGGCGCTTTCGTCGTTGTCTTCGCCTGTCTCGTCCCCGGCATCGACGTCGCCTCCGTCGTTCAGATCATTCTCGTTGTCGGAATTCTCCGTGGATTGCGTCTTGTCCACATCATCAATGTTGTCACCGTCTCCCTCCACGTCGTCTTGCGTGAGCCCCCCCTCGTTCTCATCTTCCATCATGGCCTCATCGAGCTCGTCGTCGATGTTCGACATGCTGACCCAATAATGGAGGGGGACCTACACTCTGAAAATAAGTACTTAATCGGAAGCTGGGTATCCGGATGAATTCAAAGTGAACGTTTTTTTCACCGCGCCGAACGGTCGTGCCAGTTACAACATTCGTTCGGTTCTGCTCTGCGCCATATCCGCCGAGTCCTCTCGCCCTGCCGATAGCGCTTCCCGGTCGACATGGAGGCCAAGAAGGTACGCCTTGATGTGTCTACGAGGTTCCCTAGATGACCATATGAATGCCATTAGGGTCCCAAGAAGAAATCGCTCAAGGGCGGAGGCAAGCACTCGTCTGTGAGTTCGATCCACAGTGTCATGGAACAGCTAGATCAGTACGAAAAGAGTGTGTTGGATCGTACGAGGAAGTCGGACGTGACGATTCCAGTCGTGGGTGGCAGCACCGCCATGTCGCCTTCTCGGTCGCGGCAAAAACTGATCAAAGAATCCCATTCCAAGTCAGATCTGGCTGCCATACCTCCCACAAATCAGCACATACATACGCATAGCCAGCATCCTCCCACCACGCCAACGTCCCTCAAGGCGTTGGACCTTGTCCAGTTCCTCGAACAGAACGTTCCACACAACACCATCACCGACCAAAAGCCATTCACACGCAGCTACTTGCCGCTGCGACTCTTCTCCGACACCTCCGACGTGGCCGCCCAGGACTGGGTACGCAAAGGACCGAAAAAGGCCGTGGGATTGAGCGTGAATGAAGAGACGGGTGTCGTGGGCAACTGGTCCTACTGCACCGTCACCTCGTTCGACATGCAGCACGACATGTTTGTCGTGTCGTGGATGGCGGGGGCTCGCGTTGGACCTCCGCTCGTTCCCCGAGTTTATTTATGCTTTGACGTCGAGTCTCGCCAAGGATTTGTGGACCGCCTCCTCGAATGCGTCGATCGCCGGCGAGAATCCGAAGCGCGACTGAGGTACTGGCGGCTGCATCCCCCATGTATTGTACATTCAATATCCATGTTGTGGTAACAGGTTCTCCCTCTACGTCGAGAGCATGCCCAACGACGTGGAAGCGCAACTCGACTCGGACCGCGTCAACAGCATCTTGTCGTACGCGCTGTCGTCGTCGAGGCTGTCCACGAACGCCCGGACGGCGCAACTGCTCGAAGAAGTGAACGAAGCGTACATGCGCACCATGAACGCGCTGATTTTGGAAACCAACTTGGCCGACGTGCAGCGTGAGTTCCCCATGTTGTTGTACCCCACGCGTCACGTACCTCGCCCTCCTCCCGACTGCGGCGTCGTGCCCGTGGCGCCGTACGACTACAACGACCGGTTCGTCCGTGCCACGACGGACACGTTCTTGAGCTCGCTGCCGGCGATCCGCGCGCTTCTGGACGTCCGGCAGTTCTCCAACAACATCATGGGCCAGACATTGATGAAGACGGAGCAGGCCGTGGACTCGACGGACGGCGCTCGGTCGGTCGTGGTGACGGACTTTGTGGCGACGCAGAACCAAGTGAACCAGAACGCGATGCGGTTTCTACGGGACAATTGGACGCGCGCGGCCGCGAAAGCGATCCAGGCACACATGGGGGGGGCGGACATGAGTGGCAGCGTGCGTTATAACTTGGCCGAAAGCCACCGCAACCTGTACGAGGATACGCCGCTCCAGCGCATTCTCCGCCGAGTGAACTTTATGGCCCAAGAGTCGCTACGGAATTTGATCTTCTCCACGTTTCACGCGTACGCCACGTTTATCGAAAACATGAGCGCCAAGACCGTGGTGGTCCGGGACACGAACGACGTGGACGTGGTGTGCTCGGAGGAAACGCTCAAGACATGCAACAACTACACGCCGCTGTTCAAGGTGGACGTGGTCGTGTCGGCCGACGTGAAGGTGCTCAACCAAGACGCGATCGCTGACCGACAAGCCAAGATACAGGCGTGGCTGGACGAGAACAAGGACGACGGCGACAAGTGCCCGCTGGAACCGATCGACGCGGTCGACGGACACGATTTTGAGTACGCGACGCCGCCGTCGGCGTTCCTCGAAGCGGCGAGCTCGCAATTCGAAACGGTGCTGGCCCGGGTTAAAGCACTCGAGTTGATTGAGCGATTGGTGATGGACCGGTTGTTTTGGCCTCATCAAGACTGCATCCCTTGCATCGACTTGAACGAGGAGTGGGTGCAGCAGCTCTTGGCGCATGTACACACCTGCTTGAGCGACGCTTTGGTGCCCATGGACGCGTTCCACCGCATGCTCAGCAAGTACGTGCCGCTGCTCAACTTAAACGTGGCCGACTACTTGGGGGGGATGGTCAAGGCCCCCGAAGCCAAGTCGAAAGAAGACGACACCGCCGACGCCGCTGAAGTGGACGTGACACCCCCCATGGAACTCAACGAACTGCGCCGCGTGATTCAAAAGCATCGCGATGCCGAGCGCACAATCCTGGACAACATCCCAGCTCAACCGGTGAACCTCGGCATTGTGTCGGTGGACTTGTCCAACGTGCGCACGATCTTGGCCAAGAAACACAGTGAAATCTACACCAAGTTGCTCGAGACCCAAGTCAGCTATTGCTACCGCCTCTCGACCAAACTCACTGGCAACTTTGAAGAGATCAACGCCAACTTGGCCGTGACGCCCAAGGACGTCGAAGGGTTGACGCAATTGCAAGATTATATTGCGGGCGTCCCCGCGGCGATCCAACCGCTCCAGGAAGAAATCCGGCTCATGCTGGGCAACAACGACTTGGTGGATGAGTTTCAGTTCATGGTGTCAGACGACCACTTGAGACTAAAGTGGAACGTACTGGGATGGCCCAACCGCATCGCTACGCAGAGCGCCCGGTTCAAATGGGCACTAGAGGAGCGCAAGGTCAAGTTCGCCAAGCAGATGGAAGCCGAGCAAGATCGGTTTGAAAAGACGCTAAGTTCGCTCGTGGAAGAAGTCGATGCGTTTTCCCGGTACGACAACTTGAGCCACGTTGAGGACATTGCGCATCATGCGATGGCGGTACAGAAGAAGCTGGACCAGGCGACGCAGGACGCCGTCGTGTTCAATTCTCGGGAAACGCTATTTGGCAAGGAAGTGACTGCTTACGACATGCTGGCAGTGGCCAAGAAGAACTTTGAGCCGTACAACCTCCTCTGGGCGTCATCGTACAATTGGATTCAGTCGCGGAAGCAGTGGACCCAAGGCAGCTTCACGGACGTGAACGCCGAAGAAATCGAAAAATCTGTCGACACGTACAGCACGTCGATCCAAAAAGCGACCAAGTTCTTCGCAAACAGCGGCAACGACGTATGTGCCAAGATTGCTGAGACCATCAAGGAGCAAATCAACGTGTTCAAGCCGTACGTGCCGCTGATTGTGGCCCTGCGGAACCCGGGCATGCGGCCACGTCATTGGAATGAACTCAGTCGCGTGTTGGGGTTCACGCTCGAGCTGGACGAAAGTTTCACCCTGAACTCGATCTTTCGACTGAATTTGCTCGACCAAATCGACGACATTGTCAAAGTGAGCGAGGCGGCGGGGCGCGAGTACCAGATCGACGTGGCGTTGGCCGCCATGAAGAAGCAGTGGGACGCCATCGACCTGCAGATCATTTCGTATCGAGAAACTGGCACGTACATTATCAAAGGCGTCGACGAAATTCAAATGGTGCTGGACGAGCACATTACAATGACACAGGCGATGATGTTTTCATCGTTCAAAGGGCCGTTCGAAGAACAGATCACCGAGTGGAATGCGACGCTGCAACTGGTGAGCGAAGTGCTCGAGGAGTGGCTGGCGGTGCAGCGGTCGTGGCTGTACTTGCAGCCTATCTTTGAATCGCCAGACATCAACAAACAGCTGCCCCTCGAAGGCAAGCGTTTTGCATCCGTGGACAAAAACTGGCGGCAAACGCTCAGCTCGGGCAAGACCAAGCCGCGGGCAGTGGACTTTTGCAATTCGCAAAAGCTGCTGGAAAAGTTCAAAGAAAGCAATATCTTCTTGGACATGGTGCAAAAGGGACTGAGCGACTACTTGGAGGTGAAGCGGTCGAGTTTTGCCCGGTTTTACTTTTTGTCCAACGACGAGTTGCTGTCGATCTTGTCCGAGTCGAAAGATGTCAAGTTGGTCCAGCCGCACTTGAAAAAGTGCTTTGAAGGGATCGTCAAAGTCGAGTTCCAGGACGACTTGACGATCACGGCCATGATCTCGGCCGAAGGCGAACAAGTGAAAATGCACGAACCCATCGACCCGAACGGCAAGAACGTCGAGTTTTGGATGCTTGAGGTGGAAAACATGATGCGCACGTCCATTCGAGACATTATGCACCAAGCCATCATCGACTACGTCCGTGTGGACCGGTCCAAGTGGGTCCAAAAGTGGCCCGGGATGTGTGTGTTGAATGCTAGTCAAATGCACTGGACGCGGGAAATGGAGGAAGCGATGGACCAAAGCGGCGCGGACGGCGTCAAGGCCATGCTGCAGCGCCAACTGGGCCAATTGGCCGACATGTACTCTATCGTTATTCAAAAGGAATGTCGTTTCTCATGGCTTTTAGGGTCAAAATGGTGCGAGGCAACCTCGATAAAATGACTCGCATCACCATGGGCGCGCTCACCGTCATCGACGTGCACGCGCGCGACGTGACCAAGAAACTTGTGGCCAATAACGTGCAGGCCAAAGCCGACTTTTTGTGGAGCTCACAGCTCAAGTACTACTGGGACAACGACCTGTTTGCGCAGATGGTCACGTCGAGGCGCCCATACGGGTACGAATATTTGGGCAATTCGTTCCGGCTCGTGATCACCCCCCTCACGGACAAGTGCTACTTGACGCTCATGGGGGCGTTGCAAATGATCTTGGGGGGGGCCCCCGCCGGGCCAGCCGGCACGGGCAAGACCGAAACGACCAAGGATCTCGCCAAGGCACTTGCCAAGCAATGCGTTGTGTTCAACTGCTCGGATGGGCTGGATTTCATTGCGATGGGCAAATTTTTCAAAGTACCGTGTCTCATGTAACGTGCCATACTTGGGGTTTTAACACGTGGCGCAGGGTCTGGCCTCGTGCGGCGCGTGGGCGTGCTTTGACGAGTTCAATCGCATCGACATTGAAGTGCTCAGTGTGGTGGGGCAGCAAGTGATGACGCTGCAGCTCGGCATCCGACGCGGCGACCAGCGCATTATCTTTGAGGACTCGGACATCAAGCTCAGCGACCAGTTCGGCGTGTTTATCACGATGAACCCGGGGTACGCCGGCCGATCGGAGCTGCCCGACAGTTTGGCGGCGCTCTTCCGACCGGTGGCCATGATGGTGCCAGACTACGCTTTGATTGGGGAAATCATGTTTTTCGCGTACGGGTTTGCGGATGCCCATGCATTGGGCGCGAAAATGGTCACCACGTTCAAGGTACCTTCGTTTGAATAGTTTATACCTTTGAACGTTATGAGGCCATACCGTCAAACTTATAGATTATATATAGCATGTTTGATTCAACACATTGGGCAATGAACTCAACATATCGTTTGTATGTGTGATGCTGTAGCTGTGTTCGGAGCAGTTGTCGTCGCAGAGTCACTACGATTACGGCATGCGTGCCGTGAAAACGGTGATTACTGCCGCGGGGAACCTCAAGCGGTCGGACCCAGACATGGACGAAGACGTGCTCCTCCTTCGCGCACTGCAAGACGTGAATTTGCCCAAGTTCTTGGCACACGACATCCCATTGTTCAACGGCATCATCTCGGACCTATTTTTAGGAAAGTGTCGCCCGGCCATTGACTTGGGAGCTCTGATTTCTGTGATTAAACTTAAGACGCAGCACATGGGGCTGCAGCCGGTGCCGTACTTTTTGACCAAGTGCATTCAACTGTACGAAACTATCGTGGTGCGACATGGGTTGATGGTTGTGGGGGCTACGGGAGGCGGCAAGTCGGCTAACATTGACGTGCTGGCGGAGGCATTGGGGGAGCTGAAAAACCGAGGCGAATCGGGGTTTGCCTATGAAAAAGTCGTCAAGTACCAGCTCAACCCCAAGTCGATCACGATGGGCCAGTTGTACGGGGAATTCGATGCCAACACTCACGAATGGCAGGATGGCATCTTGAGCACGCTGTATCGCGTGGCGGCCTCCTGCACCAAGGCGGACCGCAAGTGGATCATCTTTGACGGACCGGTGGACGCCATCTGGATTGAAAACATGAACACTGTGTTGGACGACAACAAGAAGCTGTGTTTGAACTCTGGCGAGATGCTTCAGATGAGCTATCAAATGACCATGATGTTCGAAGTGGAGGACTTGTCCGTGGCGTCACCGGCCACCGTGAGCCGCACGGGTATGGTGTACATGGAGCCGAGCACTTTGGGGCTGCAGCCGTTGGTCACGAGCTGGCTGGAAACGTTCCCAAAGCTTCTGCAGCCCCACGCCATCTCGTTCTTGAAGCTGTTCGACGTGTACTTGTACTCGTCTGTCGCATTCATGCGGTCGTACCTTGTGGAACTGGTCCCGACTATCGACAACAACCTGTGCCAGAGCCTCATGAGCATCCTCAACTGCTTTCTGTCGCCGTACTTCGCCGCCGAACCCGCGACCCCCGATGCCGCCTTCAAGCAAGACATCGAGCCCATCTTTGTGTTTGCGTTGGTATGGTCTGTGGGGGCCACGACCAACGACCAGGGGCGAAGTCGTTTTGACGCGTACTTGCGGTTGCAAATGCTCAGCAACAACATGAACCCAGCTGTCCCGCTCAAAGGTCTCGTGTACGACTACGCGTACTCGATGAAGGAGCACAAGTGGGTGTCATGGATGGACACAATCGCCCCGTACAGGGTGCCCGCCCAGATCTCATTTGCCGAAATTGTCGTGCCCACATCAGACAGCGTGCGCAACACGTTTCTCCTGGATCAGCTGATTAAGATTGAAAAGCATGTGCTTATGGTGGGCGCCACGGGGACCGGCAAGACGGTCAACATCTCGCGCTTCCTCGCGTCACTGAACGCGGATTACATGCCCATCGCCATGACGTTCAGTGCCCAGACCAGCGCCAACCAGACCCAAGACTTGCTCGACAGCAAGATGGAAAAGCGTCGCAAAGGGGTGTTCGGGCCCCCCGCGGGCAAAAAGTTTGTCGTGTACGTGGACGACCTCAACATGCCCAAGCGCGAAAAGTACTTTGCCCAGCCGCCGCTCGAGCTCATCCGCCAGTGGTTTGACCAGGGCGGGTGGTACGACCGGAAGCTGCTGCAATTCCGGAGCATCATCGACGTGCTGTACGTGGCGTCGATGGGCCCCCCGGGGGGCGGTCGCAACCCCATCACGATGCGGTTGCTTCGGCACTTCAACGTCGTGTGCTACGCCGAGCTGAACGACGAGAACAAGGCGATCATCTTTAGCACGATTCTGTCGAGCTTTCTAGCGTCGTTCGCCCCAGATGTGCAGAAACTAGACAAGGACTGTGTCCAAGCGTCTATCCATGTATACAATACGATCTGTCGAGAGCTGCTCCCGACCCCCGCCAAGAGCCACTACACCTTCAACCTGCGAGACCTCGCCAAGATCTTCCAGGGGTGCTTGATGTGCGACGCCCGCAAGATCCAGGACGGCGTCGGGTTCATGCGGCTGTGGGTGCACGAGTGCAAGCGCGTATTTGAGGACCGCATGGTGTCCCAGGACGACCACCAGTGGTTTACCGACTTGCTTCGGTCGACTACTCAGTCGTATTTCAAGACGGACTATCCAACGATTGTGCAAACCCCGTACTTGATGTATGGAGACTACTTGGTGCCGGGGGCAGACCCCAAGATCTACGAAGAGATTGTCGACGTGACCAAGTTGTTGCCGATCATCGAAGAGTACTTGATGGACCACAACGCCGAGAGCAAGACGCCGATGCCGCTCGTGTTGTTTATCGATGCCGTCGAGCACGTGTCTCGCATTTCCCGGATCATTCGTCAACCGCTGGGCAACGCGTTGTTGCTGGGGGTGGGGGGCAGCGGCCGCCAAAGCTTGACCAAACTGGCAACGTTCATGGCAGGGTACACGTGTTTCCAGGTGGAGATTGTCAAGGGGTACGGCATGGTGGAGTGGCGCGACGACGTCAAGCGGTGTCTGCTCCTCGCGGGGCTCAAGGACAGCCCCGTGGTATTTCTCTTTTCCGACGTCCAGGTCGTCAACGAAACCATGTTGGAAGATCTCAACGGCGTGCTCAACTCGGGGTCGGTTCCGAATCTGTACGGCCCCGAAGACATGGACCAAATCGTGAACGCGTGCAAGATTGATTGCCAAAAGAAGCAAATTCCACCAACCAAAACCAACATCTTTTCACAGTACATTGTCCGCGTACGCAAGAACATCCACTTGGTGATTTGCATGAGTCCGATCGGCAATGCCTTTCGAGACCGCCTGCGCATGTTTCCATCGCTCGTCAACTGCTGCACCATCGACTGGTTCAGCGAATGGCCCGCGGAAGCGCTCAATTCGGTGGCCACGGCCATCTTGAGCGATGGGAATCTCAAGCTCGGGGACGCCGACCAGATGCAGCACCTGGTCGAAGTGATCAAGTCTATCCACCAGAGCGTCGAAGCCAAGTCCAAGGAGTACTTTTCCATCCTCCGGCGGTACTTTTACGTGACCCCCACGAGCTACCTCGAGCTCCTCTCGACGTTCAAGACTGTGCTCGTGTCCAAACGCGAAGAAGTCAACACGATGAAGTTCCGCCTCCAGAACGGCGTGGACAAGCTCAGCGAAACCAAAGTGATTGTTGCGACGATGCAAAACGACTTGGTCGAGTTGCAGCCCGTGCTCGCCGCCACTCAGATTGAAGTCGAGCAAATGATGATCCAAATTACCAAAGACCGCGCGGACGCCGACGTGACCAAGGCCGTGGTCGAAAAGGAAGAAGCCAACGCGTCAACCAAGGCGAGAGCGACCAAGGAAATCGCCGACTCGGCCCAGCGGGACCTCGATGAAGCGCTTCCGGCGCTCGACGCGGCCGTGGCGTGCCTCAATAAACTTAAAAAGTCCGACATCGACGAAGTCAAGTCCCTCAAGACCCCTCCGAGTGGCGTCAAGCTCACGATGGAAGTTGTGTGCATCCTCTTCCAGCACAAACCCACGATGAAGGCTGACCCGGACAAGCCCGGCAAGAAGATCTCTGACTACTGGGACGTGGCGCAAAAGGTGGTGCTCGCGAACGCCAACAAGTTTCTCGAGTCGCTGTTTGCGTTTGACAAGGACAACATCCCTGACGCGACCATCGCCAAAGTGCAGCCGTACATTGACGACCCCAACTTCACCCCGGAAATGATTGAAAAGTCGTCCAAAGCATGCACGGCCATCTGCATGTGGGCGCGAGCCATGTACACGTACCACTTTGTGGCCAAGTCGGTCGAGCCCAAGAAGAAAGCGCTGGCTGAAGCCCAGACAGAACTCGACGCGACCATGGAGATCCTCCGCGGCGCCCAAGCCGGCTTGAAGCAGGTCACGGACCGGTTGGCCGAGCTCGAACGCAGCTACAACGCGGCGATCACCAAGAAAGAAGAGCTCGCGGCTAAAGTGATTCAATGCCAAGTACAGCTAGCCAATGCCGACAAGCTCATTGGCGGGCTGGGGGGCGAAGAAACGAGATGGAAGGCCACGGTGGCGCAGCTGAACGAAGATTACGTCAACCTCACCGGCGACGTCCTGGTCAGTGCGGGCACGATCAGTTACCAAGGCGCGTTCACGGCCGAGTTTCGGGATGCGCTCGTGACCAGTTGGCACACTGCGCTTCAAAAGTACCATGTACCCCATTCCAAAGGATGTGACATCGTTGTGACACTGCAAGACCCGGTAAAGCTCCGTACGTGGCAAATTGCTGGCCTTCCCACCGACTCGGTGTCGACCCAGAACGGGATCATTATCTCGCGCGCGCGGCGGTGGCCGCTCATGATTGACCCCCAAGGGCAAGCGAATCGGTTTGTGAAAAACCTGGGCAAAGAAAAAAGCTTGTGCGAGAACGGCATGGACGTGGTGAAGCAGTCGGACAAGAACTTTTTGCGCGCACTGGAAAATGGCATCCGATTTGGCAAGTGGGTCGTGCTAGAGAACGTAACAGAGGAGCTTGACGCGGCGTTGGAGCCCGTGCTATTGCAGCAAAAGTTCAAGCAAGGCGGCCAAGATGTGATTCGTCTGGGGGAAAACATCATTCCGTACAACGACTGCTTTCGGTTTTACATGACAACGAAACTCGCCAACCCGCACTACCCCCCCGAAGTGTGCGTAAAAGTGAGCTTGCTCAACTTTACCATCACAATGAAAGGGCTCGAAGAACAACTGCTCAACGTCGTCGTGCAAAAAGAGATGCCCGAGCTCGCCGAAAAGAAAAACGAGCTCGTGCTATCGAACGCCGAGTCCAAGAAGCAACTGTACGACATTGAAAACCAAATCTTGTACCTGCTGTCCCATTCCCAGGGCAACATCTTGGACGACACAAACCTCATTGAAACGCTCGCGTCGTCGAAGCAAACGTCGGCGATTGTCGTGGAAAAAATGAAGGAGGCGGAGGAAACGGAAAAGGAAATCGATGCCCGGAGCAACGGGTACCGCCCCGTGGCGTACCGCGCGGCGCTCTTGTTCTTTTGCATCGCCGACCTGTCTCGCGTCGACCCCATGTACCAGTACTCGCTGCCGTGGTTCACCAACATCTTCATTCGCGCCATCTTGGCGGCGAAACAGTCCAGCGTGTTGGAGCAGCGGCTGCAGTACCTGAACGACACGTTCACGTACTCGGTGTACAAGAACGTGTGTCGATCGCTGTTTGAAAAGCACAAGTTGCTCTTTTCGTTCTTGCTCACCATCAAGATCTTGCAAGGAAGCGACCTCATCAACGCGCTCGAGTGGCGGTTTCTACTCAGCGGCATGGCCCCTGGAACCCCCGTATCGCTGGACAACCCGGCGCCGCACTGGCTGGAGGGGTACGCGTGGACCGAACTGTGCCGGGTGTCGTCACTGCCGGCATTCATCGGGTTTGCCGAGTCGTTCGGCAAGGAGAAGGAAGCGTACCGGGCGATGTTTGACAGCAGCGAGCCACACATGGTCCAGCTTCCGGGGGGATGGCACGACATGCTTGACGGGTTCCAGCGGCTGTGCATCCTGCGAAGCTTGCGACCAGACAAGATGATGCAAGGCATCCAGAACTTGGTGATTGAAAAGCTGGGGAAGGAGTTCATCGAACCCCCGCCCTTTGATTTGCAGGAGACGTTTGAAGACTCGACGCCCGTGTCGCCGCTTATCTTTGTCTTGTCGCAAGGCAGCGACCCTGCCAAGGACCTGCTCACGTTTGCAATCGCGACCAAGATGGACACCAAGTTGAAAAGCATTGCGTTGGGGCAGGGTCAAGGCACGTTGGCGGTCCGGCTAATCGAGAACGCCGTGCTCAAGGGGGAGTGGGTGCTGCTGCAAAACTGCCACTTGGCGCTGTCGTGGATGTCCGACTTGGAGCGGATCTGCGAAGAGCTGGACCCGGCCAAGCTGCACGTGGACTTTCGGCTGTGGCTCACGAGCATGCCCACGCCCGTGTTTCCGACGTCTGTGCTGCAGAACGGTGTGAAAATGACCAAGGAAGCGCCCAAGGGACTGAGGGCGAACCTGAAGAACACGTACTTCAAACTGAACGACGACAGCCTGACCAAGACCAACAAGCCCGGTGTGTTCTGCAAACTGCTCTTTGGGCTGTGCTTTTACCACGCCATCGTGTGCGAGCGCAAGCGCTTCGGGGCCCTCGGCTGGAACATTCCGTACTCGTTCAACGAAACAGACCTTGACATTAGGTAGTACCTATTTATTGTTTCGACATTAGGAAGTACCTAATTGTTATTTTGGTTGGACTGGTGTGGTCCTGGACGACGACTGGTACTAACTATATGACTACTAACTACTGACTAGTGTGGCGCAACTTGAAATGTTTTTGGACACGTACGACAAAGTGCCGTTTGAAGTGCTGCAAGTGATGACGTCGATGATCAACTATGGCGGTCGCATCACGGACGACAAGGACATGCGCACGTCGGACGTGATCCTCATGACGTATTTCAAATCGGACATTTTGACGGTACGACCTCGAGCCGTTAACGTTGATTTGGTTTTGACTATGGTGCAAGAAAAATACCTCACGTCTGGCGCGTAGGACGGGTACAAGTTTTCGTCGAGTGGGGTGTACAATTCGATTCCGTGCAACCCCAAGGCGCCGTACGCGTCGTACGTGGACTACATCAACTCGCTGCCGATCAACCCCGAGCCCGAAGTGTTTGGTATGCACGACAACGCCAACATCACGTGCGCACAAGCTGAAACGTACGACATGTTTGACATCATCTTGAGCCTCCAGCCGCGCATGAGCTCTGGGGCGGGCAAGTCGCGGGAGGACACGATCGCAGACGCGGCAAAGACGATTGAAACGAGCTTGCCGCCCAATTTTGACCTGGACTTTGTGCAAGTCAAGTACCCCGTCATGTACACGGAGAGCATGAACACGGTGCTGGCCCAGGAAGTCGAACGGTTCAACAAACTGCTGGGGGTTATGAAGGACACGCTCAAGCAAGTCCAGAAGGGCCTCAAGGGGCTGATCGTGCTCTCATCCGAGCTCGAAAGCATGGGCAACAGCTTGTACGACCAAAAAGTGCCGACGCTTTGGGAAGGCAAGGCGTACCCGTCGCTCAAGCCGCTGACGCTGTGGGTGGCGGACCTGATTGACCGGCTCACGTTCATTTCCAACTGGATCGACAAGGGCATCCCGACCGTGTTTTGGATCTCCGGGTTCTTCTTTCCGCAGGGGTTTATGACTGGTATCATCCAGAACCACGCGCGCCGTCAGAAGTTGCCCATCGACACGCTCAGCTTCCAGTTCATCATGATGCAGCAGGACCTCCACGACGTCACGGACCGGCCGGCGGAAGGGTGCTACGTGTACGGGTTGTTCTTGGAAGGTGCGCGGTGGAACAAGGAGCTGGCGAGCCTCGACGACCCGTTCCCCAAGGAGTTGTTTGCGAAGATGCCCCTGATGCACCTGCACCCGCAGCAGAAGCGACAAGCCCCCACGGGGGGCATCTACCGGTGCCCTGTGTACAAGATCCTCACGCGAACGGGCACCCTGAGTACCACGGGCCACTCCACGAACTTTGTCATGTGGATTGAAATCCCGTCCATTCGACCGACCATTTGGCGCAATTCGCTCGTGTCCGAGACCAACGCGCAAGTGCTGTTTTGCGACCAAGAGTACTGGATCAAGGCTGGCGTCGCGTGCTTTTGCAGTTTACGATATTAGCAAAGTAGGAAATCATAGCGAACTTTCATCTAGTGTATATGTACCGGTAGTGCTCGAAAAGGGGATTTCAGTGCAGGAATAATAGGATTGAATGTCTAGGAACGATGTACAGTTCATGTACCTAGCCAGGATGCATTGCCCTTGAGATGCAATATGTAATGCTGTTTGAGGTATGCTACTTACATCCACAAGGATCAAGTAAGAGTGTGGCCACAAAGGTAAAGTGGTGGCAACATTTGCACGTACATGATACACACATGCAATTAATGTAAAGTTAAGTTAATCTAGCAAGCTTTGGCTAGAGACAGGGACGGCTGTTCGACAATCGGCTCGAGCCGCTTGCCGTTGGCGTGGAGTTGCAATTCCCGCAACAGCAGCGGGACAGAGTACATCGCGTGGTGCTGCTTGCACTCGATCACGTCGTGGCGCCGCATGCCAGTGAGCAAGAAGCGCTTGATCAAACTGTGCGCTTGGACCGATACAAGGGAGCAACTCCGGTAGAACGGATTCGACAGAATCTTGAGCGTGGCTTGGATGTACGCGTGGAACTCTTCGACACGTTGCAGGATGGTTTCGTCCGAGTGAAATAAGCGCTTGGGTGGAAACGACAGCGCTTGCAATTGTTCCACGGCTTTCTTGCAATAGTGGCAATGCGGGGTCTCGAACAACTCTTCGAGGTCGTCGCGGAGGTCGTGGAACAGCGAGTACCGGCGCTTGATATCCCAAGTCGTGCCGGATCGGCTGTTCTCCATCACAAACACGTACTCGACGTAATCGCCACATGGGGACACTTGCGGCACCACCTCGTGCACGATAAAGCCTTTCATGTTGTCCAGCAGCAGGTGGTTGGTCTTGTTGGCCCAATTGTGCTTGTCTTGTGCGGCGTTGGTGCTGCAAAGCTTGGTATCTTCAGCATGTTGTTCCTTCTGGATCAGAGAAGAGAGACCATTGTCCAACGTGCGCGGTCCTACATAGCGGATCATCCAGCTGCGTGGCCTTGGAGAGAGCACGACAAATGCAAAGTGACCTTGAATCTCAAAATATCTCGTTCTTTGGGATGCGGCGATGTGATTGGCTCGTCGATACTTCAACACGTTGCAAACGGCCGTCGCAAGATGACAAGTTGAATCCGAGCGAATCTTGGTGCCAATGCGAGTCATCAGCATGAACTCTGTCCTTACAACAAGGGCAACCGCTCTGTGCGACTGGCTAGCTCAGTACTGTCATGGGAGGTGTCGCTGTGTGTGAGGGGAAGGATATGATCGTAACGTTATACTACTGTACGGTGTACTGTAAGTGTTTCGGCTGAATACGCTTGGCGTTGCAACCTTGTTGAAGTACCAACAGCCAATCAAAACGGATCGTGACTGATGGGCCTGACTCGGCAGCGAAGCTTTTTTTATTGGAGGCTCACAACGTCTGACTCATAGTGTGCGTACGTACAGCCAACTGAACGGATGTGCTAGTACAGTAGTAGTAGTGCAGCAGCAGTGTCCTTTCGGAAGACCTTTCCGATCAACGTCATGGAATTGGTAAGAGAAAACGTGATTCTTTGATGGTACCAATTGTTCCGCGAGTGTGGTGATTATCGACAGTTTCGTTTCTGCTCAGTGTACTGTACAGTGTCTACCTGGTAGTTTACTGGAATCTCCTCAACGATGCAGTACGTGCATGTAGGTGATGCAGTCCTATCAAAGATCAAACATGATACGTGCTACTGTACCTCACATCCCTACCAATTTGCCGATTGTCACCATCAACATTCGTCTAACTTAACGTTAACTGTAACGTAGGATATCTTTTACTCGGTATACTTCGAAGTAATTAGTACTAGTACTACATATTGTTCTAGTAACGTTAATAACGTTATAACGTTACGTAACGTTTGTACTATGGCTAGAAGGCCAAATCTTTTGCCCTACGTTTTTCTATTTAACCTATATGTTTTGGGGTAAGCGTTAACAGTAAACAGTAATCTGCCTGGTTAAACCTTGGATAAAGATAGGTTAAACTCAATCTACGTACGGATAAAGTGTACGGATAAGTGACCCGTACAAACGTCAAGACGTATGGGGTGGCCAAAATGCGTCCGAGCTCATACATTTCTGTTGTATGGTGCATTTCATCTAAAGACTACAGATCGGCCATCCTCAGGAGGAGACGTTTTACTATTAAACGCCTCGGTTATTTCAGTTAAACCCACGTAATTTGACGTTAAATAATTATTTTTACTTACGTTTTTTATCTGGTAAATAGGTTAAACATCCTGAATAATCCGGATACAATGGAAAAGTTCATACGGATAAGTGCTGCATACAAAGACCAAGATATACTTGATGCTCCTTTTCGGCCAAAATGTGCCTGGCTCCATATATTTCCATACAAAAAGGCTGGTTGGTTTAAATTCTATTACTCGATCAATTTTTCACCAATCGAAATTTTGAACCGTAACTTCTGTTGGTCTTGACCAGTTCTATCGTTATTACGGCTTATTTTCCTAAAAAATATCAATACAAAGTTGGAATAGCTGTCGAAAGACAAGGCATTTTTTTGTAGTCTTTAGTTGAAATGCACCATAGCAAGGCGATCGGTTAAACTAAAATAGCTATCGCATTTTTTCGTTCATTGTGAATTGGAACAACATAATCGATTCGCCTTGTCGAGATCAATCGTTTTTGAGGTTAATTTGCCAGGAAATAATAATACTGCACATGGTATAACGCTCTAAAAAGTGCTCAAAATATCGTCCTTTCTAGGCTTCTTGCACCATATAAGGTGATTCATGTAATTCCCGGTCTGCATGCACTTCCCGGCCAGCAAATGCCCAATCACAATCATCCATGGACTATGATGACAAAATTACGTACTCTTGTATCCAATACGTTTAACATTTAATATTGAGCTTGTCGGACTTGTAATACAGTTTTTATATTAATTATTTTAACATCATTATTAACAGGTTCTGAGGAAGTCGGGCATACATTATTCAAGTGACTTACTGGCCAAATTCATAGGATAATTTCAATTTTAGAAATTCAACGAGCAAATTGCCCTTGCGATACAAATGATAGGACCTGCATAAAGTTATAAAGCTCGTCACGATCTTCAAAATGCATGTTATCGCGCAGCCTTATCGGATGAATGGGTGACGAGTTATGGCACTCAGAAAGTAGGCCAAGCTGGCCGGGAATTACAAGAATCACCTTTGGTATATTAATAGTATTAATATAATATTGATATTAATATTATAGTAACGTTTTACTAGTACGTAACACTAGTAGTACTATTAAGAGTACTATTAATATTAATATTATTAATAATAGTATTGTCTAGTACTAGTATATAGTAATCCATTGCTCGTGTTCGTGCCATGATTGGCCCTTTCAAATATGGCCAATCAAAATTGTTTCCGCTCTCGTTGGAATTTGAAAGTGGTCGTCCAAGGGGAGAGCAACATGTTCATCGAGGAGGTGATCATCGATGGCTTCAAGTCGTACGCCACGCGCACGGTCGTGAGTGGCTTTGACCCGCGGTTCAATGCGATCACGGGGCTCAATGGAAGTGGCAAGAGTAACATCCTGGACGCGATCTGTTTCGTCCTGGGGATCACGAACTTGTCGGCTGTGCGGGCGAGTAACCTGCAAGAACTTGTGTACAAACAAGGGCAGGCAGGGGTGACGAAAGCAAGCGTGACGATCTTGTTCAACAACGAAGACAGCTCCAAGAGCCCCGTCGGGTACGAGCAATACAAGCAGATCTCGGTGGCGCGGCAAGTGGTGATCGGCGGCAAGAACAAGTACCTGATCAATGGCCACACCGCCCAAGTGAACCAGGTCCAAAACCTGTTCCACTCAGTGCAGCTGAACGTGAACAACCCCCATTTCTTGATCATGCAAGGTCGGATCACCAAGGTTCTGAACATGAAGCCGCCTGAAATCCTTGGTATGATCGAAGAAGCGGCGGGCACGCGCATGTACGAGAACAAGAAGCAGTCTGCGCTCAAAACGATGGGGAAGAAGGAGAAGAAGGTGGACGAGATCAACAAGATCCTGGCCGAAGAAATCACGCCGACGCTCGAGAAGCTCCGCAAGGAAAAGATGAACTACATGCAGTGGGCGGCCAACAACACAGAGATGGAGCGCCTGGCTCGGTTTTGCATTGCGTACGAGTTCACCAAGGCCGAGCAAGTGTCTGCCAAGTCGTCCACGGAGCTCAAGGACATCCAGGACAAGCTCGAGACGCTGTCCCAAATGCGTTTACACCACGAAGCGCTGATGGAGTCGACGCAGGACAAGTTGGACGCAATCAACTTGAACCGCAACAAGCACATGCGCGGCGAGTTCCAAGGCCTCAAGGACAAGGAAGAAAGCCTCGGGAAGGAGCTTGTGAAGGTGCGCACGAAGCACACGAACGCCCAGTCCAGCCTCACGGCCACGGAAACCAACGTCCAGGCACTGCGAGATCAACGCCGCGACGTCGAAGCCGCCATCGACGCCATGGCAGCGTCCCTTGCGACCAAACAAGCCGACTTTGACCGCATTCAAGCCGCGCATACGGACAAGTCGGACGCGCTCGCTGCGATTGTCGACGAAATCCAATCGCTGAACGCTGGTGTGAGCAGCCACGTGAGCAAGAAATCGCTCGGCGAGCAGCTAGCCGCGAGCCAAAAGGAGCTGCAGGAACAAACGTCGCTTTTGCATCAGCTGACCATGAAGATCAAGCACATGGAGACGAACTTGAAGACCAAGCAAGCCGCGCTGGCCACGACCAAGTCGCAAAATGCCGCGTTGGAAGCCAAACATGCAGCGTTGTCGGCGCAGATCCAACACCTCCAAGACGACCTGTCGCGGTTGGGGTTCACAGAAGACAACCCCGTAAAGCGGCAGCGCCACGACCTCCAGCACACGCTGCAGAGTCTTCGTCGAGACTTGGACGAGGCGACGGCGAGTGTGTCATCCAAACTCCGCTTCGAGTACCACAATCCCCGTATCGACCCCAGCAGCGTCAAGGGCATGGTGGCCAAGCTGCTTACGTTAAAGCACGACTGGAGTGCCACGGCCCTTGAGCTGGCGGCGGGCGGCAAGCTGTACCACGTTGTTGTGGACACGGATCAGACGGGCAAGCAGCTGCTGCAGCACGGCAATCTCAAGACCCGCGTGACCATCATTCCGCTCAACCGCATCACGCGAAAGGTGCTGCCGCCACAAAAGGTGGCCGCGGCCAAGGCGGTGGCACGTACCGAAGGCGGACAAGTGTGGGAAGCGCTCGAGCTCGTCGAGTGCGACCGCGACGTCCAGCCTGCGATGGAGTACGCGTTTGGCACGACGCTGATCTGCGACAAGAGCGACGTGGCTAAGCAAGTCACATTCCACAGAGACGTGCAGACGCGGACCGTGACCCTTGAGGGCGACTCGTTTGACCCCGCCGGGACGCTCCAGGGGGGGTCCGCCCCCGCCAACAATGCGTCGATCCTGAAAAAAGTTCAAGTGCTCGTTGACCTCACGCGGAAAATCCGGTCCACGGAACACGAACTGGACGAGTTGGACGCGCAATATCAAGCGTTGGAAAAGGTATGCTTGTCTTTCATGTATAGTATGTGTCTATTGTGTATTCTACTCGAAAACATTGTCTTTGAACTTGCGAAATATACTATCTCTTTAAAATTTAGAGGCAAATGCATTGTTTCGATCGATTCATTCATTTTGTTTTGGAGCGAATCATATTGTCCTTTTACCCAAAATATTTGGACGTTTGTGCTGATTCTTTGCCAAATCTATTCGTTGTACTGACTTTTGTAAAGATCGTCCAGTATCACACTAATTTCAATCACACACTAGTTCGATGTTGAATTATTCGAAGAATGGATGTGATTGGCTAGTTGATTCATGATTTGTGTTTTGATTGGTCGATCTTTGATTCTCTGCCGATTTGGTTATTCTGCTCATTCGATTGAGCACCCAAACACTCCAATTTCGAATCGAATGAACAATATTATGCTGCTTTTGTTCGAGTGATGTTGGCGATGTCAAAACAAATAATCCCAAAATTGGCAATTTCGGGTGAAACAACTCTCCACACTATCTCCATAAACGTTTAACGAATAACACAATATCTAAGGATTGTACCAAACGTGCTAGGACGCGCAAGTGTACCACAAGCTGCATCAGCAGTTGGATTTGAAACACCACGAGCGTGAGCTGCTTGAGAGCCAAATGCAAGGGACGTCGTACGGCATGATCCAGCAGGAAATCAATCGCATTCAGGACGACTTGGTCACGTCCAAGCTGGGTGTGGACACGGCGGAGGCGGCGATCGCCCGGCTGCGCAATCAAGTGGACACGCTGCAGCAAGACATTGACTCGCTCAAGCACTCCCGGTCCAGTCGCCTCGCGCAGTTGGAAGTGCGCCAAAAACAAGCCAAGATCGACGTGTCGGCAGCGTCGAACGTGCTCAAGCAGCACGACCAAGAGCTGTCGGAGATCAAACTCGAGCTCGAGTCGGTGCAAAGCGAGCGTGAGACCGCGCTCGAGTCGTTGAAAGCGGCCGAAGACGATCGCGTGCGGCTCTTGGCCGACGTCGACAAGTGCGCCGACCACTTGGAGCGTGTGGAGCGAGACGCTCGTGCCGTGGGCGACCAGCTCAAAGCCAAACGGGATGCGTTGAACGCATGCGATAATGAACTCAAGACGCTGCAGGGCGAGCTCAATGGCCACGAGACCGCCATGAACGACTGCGACATTGAGATCAAGAAGATCGAGCACCGCATCCAGCGCATCCAAAAGGAAACCACGACGTCGCACACGGCCGTCAACCATTTGCTGGACACACACAGCTGGATCGCGACGGAGCGGCAGTACTTTGGCAAGGAGCACACAGACTATGACTTTCGGCAAAAGGATTACCCCACCGCGCAAAAGCGGCTGGCGGGGCTCAAAGACACGCAGGGTGCGTTGTCTAAGAAGATCAACAAGAAAGTGATGGGCATGATCGAAAAGGCCGAGCACGAGTACCAGAGCTTGATGACCAAGCGCGGGATCATCGAGAACGACAAGACCAAGATCACGGCCGTGATTCAAGAGCTCGACGCCAAGAAGAACGAGGCGCTGGAAACCACATGGGTCAAGGTGAACACAGACTTTGGCGCGATCTTTAGCACGCTACTGCCGGGTACGACGGCCAAGTTGGACCCGCCCGAGCATGGTACGGTGCTGGACGGGCTCGTGGTCAAGGTCGCGTTTGGCCAGGTGTGGAAGGAGAGTCTGACCGAACTGAGCGGCGGACAGCGCTCGCTGTTGGCGCTGTCGCTGATCCTGTCACTGTTGCTGTTCAAGCCCGCGCCCATGTACATTCTGGACGAGGTGGACGCAGCGCTGGACTTGTCGCACACGCAAAACATCGGCCAGATGATCCGCACGCACTTTTCGCACTCGCAATTCATCGTCGTGTCGCTCAAGGAGGGTATGTTCAACAACGCGAACGTTGTGTTCCGCACCAAGTTTGTCGACGGCGTCTCGGCCGTGTCGAGGAGTACACCCCATGCATCGCATCGATAAGCACAACAAATATATGTTTGTCTCTCAAAAATATTTTTATATACTGTATATATATATATACATATCGCACCAAGAAACACAACAAATATATGTGTGTCTGTCAAAAATATATAGTATTATTTTTTAACACAACAAATATATGTTTGTCTCTCAAAAAATATAATATATATATATATATATATCGCACCGAGAAACACAACAAATATATGTTTGTCTCTCAAAAATATATAGTATTATTTTATACTTAGACTTTGACAAGGCATCACCATGTACGAACTACGTACTAGTAGTGTATTCATAGTGCTGCATGTATCAATTACTCAATCGGTTGCTTGGACTCGGTGGAAGTCACCACCAGTACGTCGTTCGCATCGATGATGGGCACAACGGGGGCTTCGTCAGGGGGTGGTGAGTTGACGACTTGGCGGTCGGTCGCTGCCCTTTGACGCCTCGCGAGCTCCAGCACGACTCGGAATGACGGCAGCAGCACATCCTCGGATGGATCGTCGTGACGTCGCTGCAAATACACTTCGGCCACGGCATACGTCATTGCGCGCCACCACAAGCGTTGCACGTGGTAGCGCAGGTCATTTTGGTACTTTCGCTTGCGAATCTGCTTGAAGCGTTTGCGCTCCAAGTACTTTTCGCGCACGGCTTCGATCAACGTGATGGAAATGGCCGCGATGTTGGTGACGATGATCACGGAGCTGATCGTTGACATGTCGAGCGACTGCGCTTTCCCGACGTTCATTTTAATCAACAGCCCCGCTACGCCATATATATATATTATTCATCCGTCGACCACAAATAAGAGTCTGTACCAAACAGCGTCACAAACAATTGAAGCTGGGCCATGGACGCCACGAGCGTGTTAGACCGGTTCTTATACGGCTGCACGGCCAAGAGGATGGCCATGTAGGCAAAGCTACAAATATATATATCATCCACAAATGCCCTTGAATATTATGATATATTTTGTATATGAATATGTGTGACGACGACGTACATGATCATCATGCCAATGACGATTTGGTTGACGGACCCGCGTTCGGCAAAGGACAAGACGCCATTCAAGAGCAGTTTTCTATATCAAGTAGGGCTAAATGCAAGGAATAACGTGGACATGTCGGTCGTACCTGATCAAGTCGACGATTTCAAAAAACCAAAACGAGTCTTGGTCTAAACAATACCATGTTAGTATTGCATTATATCATATGACAGATGGGACTGCGTACATGCTGCGTAGATGAACCCGACGCGCGCAATGGTGCTGGGTAGCTACGACACATCAACGAAGTGAGAACACAGCCTCTTGACTCCAAATTGTTGGACATGAAACTACCTCCATATTACGCTTCTTCATGTACTCGGGAAGGAGCATGTTGACAAACGAGTCGTAGTTGTTGTGCCAGTACTTGCCGCTGGCTTTGTAATCGTCTTTCATTTTGGCAATCCACTTTTGACGAAGGACTTCGTGCTTGTTGTCTTTGAGCAGGCGCATGCGGAGACGCACCCCCGCCATTCGTTCTTGAAACAAAATCGACCAGCAGTAGAACGGCACCCCTGTCGGTACAAGTTAGAGCTAGCAACTACGTAGTATTGTCCAAGTATGTGGTTATCCTTACCAAACACCCACACGACAATGCCAACCACGGCTACAATCGCGTGCGAGTACCAGTACCCGTCGGTGCACTGCAGTGTCATGTCGGACACCAAGAACGACCCCAGGCCCACTTGGGCGCAGTTGAACATGTTGAGCACTTTCTGGCTCACGGACGGATACATAAACAGCGCCAGCCTACACGACAACACAGCCGACCCCCATTCAACGCGTGATTGCTTTGTTCGAGTGGCAATATGTATATGGTACTACCAAAAGAAGATCTTCATGCACTTGTCCGAGTACGTTCGAAAGTTAAAGCGCAACTTGACGCGCGCTTGCCACAGCTGGATGTTGGTGTGGACGATCTTACGTCGTAGAGCATCGTCGGTGACGCGTTGGGAGGTCGGACACGTCGAGTGCTTGGACGTGTAGGTGGGCATGGCGTTCTTGACTTCGTCCTTTTCAATGCTCAACAAGAGCCTCGACAGGATCTTTTTCAGCTTGGATGTGTGCCGATCGCGCTCGATTTCCATGGCAAACTGACGCATCGCCGAAATCCGAGTGCCCGTGGAAATTTCAGTGTTGGGGAGGCCGCACTCGGTGCAGAGGCGCGGAATCTTGTGCAGCTTGCGCTTGTACACAAACACCCCCCACCGAAACGCCAGGTACAACGCGGCAAACGACACGGCTGCCGTGGCCAGCGTCAGCCTACAGACGAGATCACGACATCATGTGGGATTAGGGCCGCACACACACACGTATGACAATGAAAGCGCCGTAGTCGGTGTTACGTACCGAAAGTCGCTATAGTAATTGAACGCGATCATACAATCCAAGTGGGGGATGCTCATAAAGCCAAAGTTGAACTTGGACACGGCCGCCATGAGATTCGCCACGTCTTTGGGCCACGCGATTTGGTACGTGTCTTTCAGATTCGAGAAGATTTGGAAAAACGAGAGCAGGATCTTGAACTTTTCGGCATTAAAGCCCACCGTGGGCAGCGCCATGCGCTGGATCCCAAACAGATTTTTCGACAATTTCTTCTTGAACGGGCGCGCCTTAACGAACGCTGTAAGTCGCTTCCACGTTCGATGCACAGTCTTTTCCACGCGCCGTATCGCAGGTTTCAGCTTTGACGTTGACAGCGGAGGCACAAACGTCTTGTGTTCCGTGGCCGCTCGGGCTTGGGCCATGAGCATCTTGTCAGTGTCTTTGTGCAAGTACAGGGCGATGGCGTACAGTCCCACCACGACCATCAGAATCGGAATCGTCACGTAGCCATAAAATGCACTTCGAGACACGTCGTCGCATGGAATACACGTGCCGTCGTCCATCTTTTGATAGCCCGCTTCGCACGACCCGCACAACGGACTTGTGTAGCCTTCTTGGCACACGTGGCCGAGGTGCGTCGTCACTTCGGACTTGGAGATGCTGCCCTTGCATGCCTCCGTCACCTATACGTACATGTACACAAGGTGGTTTATGACAACATCTTGTGAATATCTATCTACCTAGTAGAATGCATGTTGTACGTACGGGACATGAGTAAAACATAAACCCTGACGAGCACGTGAAGATGCGATTTTCGTCCCAATGCAGCTTGAAATTGGTGTCGTTCATGCACCGCCGCATGCGATCGAGGCGGTCGGCATCGGTGCCTCCAGGACACGGATCCCCCGACGGAAAGTACTGGGCAATGTCGCACAGCTTTTGAACGGTTGTGGGCGGGGCGTCGGCCAAAAAGTAGCCCTGCTGGGTGGACGGGAACGCCACACCGCTCGTCAACTGTCCTGTGCCCACGGTTTGAATCGTTTCGCAATTCGCCCCCAACGGACACGAATGACAGGTCAACCCGTCCAAACTATCATAGTCCAGTTTAGCCTCATACATTGACAACAAGCTAGTTGATATAGTTAGTACCCACCTGAATGTTCCTTGAGCACACTGGACGCATTTCCTACCAGCCAAAAGTGCATTAGAAAAAACCCATGGATGCAATCCTGAAATGACGGAGATGCATTGCTGTGTTGTACTGGGTTTGGAGCATGTAGCCAGGGTCGCACGGCTGCACTTTGATGTTCAAATCGAGAGCTCGAGTTTGGTGGTTGTACAGTCGGCATTCAACCGTCATTTCGAACGGCGCTTCCTTCGGGTCGGTCTGCACTTCGGCGTTTTGAAAGCTCACAAAGCCCAACCTGGACGCCACTTGGGAGTTGGGCAGAAACATGATCTTCACGAGCTCGGATGCTTTCTTGTATACGCGGCACACAGTCGAGTTGTCCAGAATGCTGCGGTGACCGTAGAAATCCACCACGAGGACGGTCGGCCACGGTACGCTCGAGTTGGTCGCGTTGTCCCACACCAATGTGACGTTTTCTAGGCTCGACGAAGTCATGGGCACGCCACTGGTGGCATATGGAGGCCACCAGCCCAGTCGAATGGCCATGGGGTCCGTGGCAATGGCTGGCTCGGCTGAGGTTCTGTCAAACGTGCAATTCTTGGCGCACGCGTAGCTAGGAGATGTTTGGACGTAGCGCCAAAACACGTCGCGGCCCAGCGGGGCGGCGTTGGCAACAAACTCGAGCTCCGTGTGGTTTACATTCACTGTGTCGTTCAGGTAAAATGCGCCGCCACTTTGCAGCGCCACGTTGGCTCGAGTTTGAATGCTGCTGGCCAGGAATACGGCGTTTTCACTCGCAAAGATTCCTCCACCCAAATTGGCTCGGTTGCTTGTCATTTGTCCTCCATGATACGTGACCTACTCATCATCAACCACGATCAATCACCGAGAGATAGGAAGGCGCAGCCATAGTGAAGGGGGTTCGTACCTTGGAACTCCCGCCAATATAAGCGCCCCCACCGCTATCCGCTGTATTTGCATTCAACGACACGTTGGTCCACGTCGATACAGACGACTCGTCCAAGTAGATGGCGCCGCCGCTGGGAGCGACGTTGTACTGGAACGATGTATTCGCGACAGTTGTGACGCCGTTCTTTTGATACATAGCGCCCCCACTCGCCAGCGCCGTGTTGTTCCAAAACTCGCATCGCAGGACTGCCACGTCGGCCGTGTTTTGAATCTGCAGCGCACCTCCGTTGGACGCAATGTTGCCAGCAATCGTGCAATCGCTCAACGTTGCAAAGCTCGACTCAAAGTACAACGGGCCGCCTTCACTGGTTCCGTAAAACGTGGCGCCGCCATTGGCTTCGAATAGCGTGTTGGTGGCAACCAATTGGCTGTCCCGGCTGCCAAACACAGCTACACAATACATGTCAACAATAATGATTGGGTGCTGCTTTGTGTTTCGAACACAAAGCCTACCTGAACCGAGCCCGCTGGCAATGTTATGACGGACGGAGCACCCAGTCAAAACGCACACGTTGCCACTTCCAATCGCCACGAAAATGCCGCCCCCTTGATCGTCGGCATAGTTGTTTTCGAGCGTGGACGAGATAGCTGTGAACGTCGATTGGGCTTCAACGTAGACGCCACCGCCGCTGTACATGGCGTCGCTGGTGAGGATGGACGAATTCGATAGCACCACCGTCGCGGTCGACGTTAAATACAGTGCGCCGCCAAATTGCCACGATTTGCAATTCGAAATTGTCGAGTCCGTCATGTCCAGTCGACCGTCGCTGATGAATACGCCGCCGCCGAAATCAGCGTAGCCGACGTCGAGGGAGGTTCTCACCATCACGACTGCCGTGCTGGCTTGCTCGATGTTGATCAACCCCCCATCCGACGCTGAGTTTTCACTTGATAACGCAGACCCTTCGACGTGCGAGTCCGCCATCAGAATCTTGCTTTGTCCTGTTACAGATATCGCCTACAATTGGCCAACCACAACATGAGTACACACCAAACGAATGGACAGGACGACGACATACCCCTCCGCTGTGTCCTGGTGTGACAGTGTTCTGTACCAGGCGGCTACGTCGAAACGTAACGTCCGACCCTCCGGTTGCATACAGGGCACCACCGTCACTCCCGATCGCTTGATTGAACTCCAAAACAACTTGGTCAGCAACGAGGATAACGTTGCGGATGCAAATAGCCCCCCCCATGCCATTAAGTGCCTTGTTTCTCGCCAATCGGCTTTGGAACAAGCTCACGGCGCTGGATTCATCCCAATTGATCGGAAACGGCATATACACGGCGCCGCCGCTAGTCCTGGCCGAATTGTCCTCGAACGAGCAATTGACAAACGAAGTGTTGGTCCGCTCGTACGCGGAAAAAGCGCCGCCAAAGTTGGCCACGTTGTTCTCGAAACTCGAGTCGGTCACGACTGCCGAACTGCCAAAATAGACAAACATCGCGCCTCCATATTCACTCGATCCTTTCGACACGACGAGCCCCGACAGGCTCGCGTCCGAGTACTCAAAGACCCCAATGTTGCCTCCGTTGCCACATTTGGTCGCGCACACTTGGTTGTCAGATATCGTGGTCGAGATGCCTGCTTGATCGTCAGTCAAGTGAAATGTGGACAACCCGTCGAGGAACAACCCTCCAGCAGATCCTGCCACGTTTTGAACGATCGTTGTGTTCGAGTGCTGCACCAGGCCATCGGACACGACCACGCCACCCCCGTACACGGCGCCGTTGCGTCGCACGAGAGTGTTCGACACGGAACACGTCGACGACTGGATAAAGAACCCCCCGCCGTTGTTGAAAGCGGTGTTGGCCAGAACGACCAGTCCTTCCACCTGGCACGTCGCGTTGGCAACGTAGATGCCACCTCCGTACGCTGCCAGCCCGTTTGTCGCGTTCAGTCCAACCAATTCCGACTCCCCGGCCAACGCGATGTTCCCACCTCGGTACGCATTGTTGCCTTGTACGATGGACAACGTTCCTGGAGTCACAGGTTGGAATTCACTTCCGTCCACATAAATCCCCCCACCCAACTCGGTGGCTTGGTTATCCGCCACCAACACTTGGTTGTGCTGGACGTTGGAGTTTGCAACCATCAATCCACCGCCCAGCACTCCCGCCTCGTTACTTCGAACTGTCCAATCGTCCAGGACTCCTTGGGAGTTGCGGATAAAGCCGCCGCCGCCATTCTGACGCGCCTCGTTCGCCTCAAGCGTTGCATGGTGGACCACAAAGATGGCGTCGATGGCGGAAAAGCCGCCCCCAAGAATGGATGTTGAAAACGCAATGTATACTGCGTCGATGCCCACGGCGCCTGCAATGCTAAGCCCGCCGCCCGACAATGCGGCGGTGCAGTTTGTGGCGTAACACCGTCCAGTCAATGTCGTCTCTTGTAAAAAGACACCACCGCCGTGTTGACTGGCGTTGTTCCGAACAAAACTCACGTTGGTCAGGGCCACGCTAGAGTTTTCGCAATACATGCCGCCTCCGTTGCCGCTGCTCGTCGCCTCGGTCACGTGAACATTGGTGAGTGAGTTGAAGGCGCTTTCAGTAACATAAACGCCACCCCCGTGCCCCAAAGTGGCGGACGAGTCAATGTTGGCGGCCGAGAGCATGCCGTCGCTGAGAAAGATGCCACCACCGCCTTCAGTTGCGAGGTTGTCGCGAAGGACCCCTCCGACGACTTCCGATCGGTCGATGGCCATCCCGCCACCAAATCTCGCCATGTTGTTCACAATGTCCACTTCCACCAGCGTCACTTTCGAGCCCCCGGATGCACACATCCCTCCCCCCAGACGAGCGAAATTGCCGTCCACAGTCGAGTGGGAAACGAAGAGGTCACTCTGAAACGTTGCGATGCCACCTCCGCCCGTCGTCGTGGCGTTGCAAGCATTAAACACAACATGGTCCCACGATGCACGTGAAGCATCCACGTACGCCCCACCGCCATCTTGAGCCGCGTTGCTTTGAAACAAGCAGCCACTCCCTACGATGGAGCATGTGGTGTTGTGAAGATACAGCCCCCCGCCGCGCTCCACCGCTGCGTTGTTGGAGACCACCACGTCCGTCGCGGTTAACACCAGTTCGGCAAGGGTGTAGACACCGCCGCCGAAGCGACTCGCACGGTTCGAGTCCACCAAGACTTGACCCAGATCCATTTGGCCGTCCAAGCTCACGCCGCCCCCAAATGTGGCCGAATTGGACGCAATTGTGACTCCAGACACAATCGCAACCCCATGAGCAACGACGCCACCGCCAATATTGTTTGCCATGTTGCCTGCAATGATAGCTCCGTCGCCACGTACTTCGGACGTTCCTGTGACGTACACCCCTGCCCCGTCGGTTGCACGGTTGGAAGAAATGAAGGTCGACGCGAGCGAAAGTTGACTGGTCGTCGCGAATATGCCGCCACCGTGGAGCGCAGAGCAATTGGTGATGCTAGAGCTAGTCATGGTGATCGCAGATTGATCGGAATAGATGCCACCGCCGTCTGCACTGCTTCGGCAATTGCGAACCTAACCCACATCAGTGAGGATCCCGAGTCTTGTTTCATCATGGATTCGAATTAGTAGTACCTGCACGTCTCTCAACGACAGCTCAGTTTGGTGCACGTGAAAGGCCGCCCCAGACGAACCCGATTGGATATTCTGGACCGTGAGTCCTCGAACACTGGCATTGCAAGCTTCCATAATCATTCCAGACGTGGAACAATTCAATGTAACATAGTTCGACCCCAAGAATCCCCGGATGTCCACTTGTTGCTGTGCAAATGACAACGAGCAATCTCCAATGTCGGAGTACACGCCAGGGTACAATAGAATGACACTGGCATTCGTCGCAGCACGCATTGCTCTCGTCAACCTACACACACCCCTTCGTTACAAGGCCTTTAATATCCATACATACGTGGCAAATGGTTTAGGGGCGGTTCCGCCGACATCTCCGACGCCCATGAGTTCCCCCGTGCCTTCGACATCGTCGCCCGAAGTGGTCGACACCAAAATGATATCCTGGGGTCGCATATCACACACTTGATCGTGGCACACGGTTGGATCCGTGCAGCAAATGACGTAATTGCTGCAGTCCTCTCCGGTGAACCCTACGACCGCAGTTATGGTACATAAATTCCCAAATCCAACTCTAGCGAACCTAGATTGCAATTGCATTCGCCTGTGGAAGTACACACGCCATGATTGCTACAAACGTTTTGGCCCGACTTTTGCGGACACGACGGGAACACGGACGAGGGAGGGTCAGCGTCCACGCTGTACATGAGCTCAAAGCCACTGTTTTGGACCGACGGGTCGGAGGCGAGGGTGATTTTCAGCGAGGCATTGGGCTGGGCGCTGTACAGCGAGAACGTGTTGGCCCGTGTACATCCGCCAGACCACAAGACGGACGTTCCGTCGTAAGGGAAATGCTCCACCGTGACCACATCGTGGTCGCACTCCACGTTAAAGCGCGAAAACTAAGCAATCGAATTCCGTGACCAACCATCAAAATTGTAGGACAACGTACTTGAAGCAAGATCGAATTGAAGACACCGCTCGCGGGCGTGATCATCCACGATTGTCTCGCACTGGGGTGATACGTTCCTTGGTTGATGTACCCAGATTGGCTGGTACAGGTCGGAGTCAAATTGGTCCCAGTTGCGAACACTGAGCTGGTTTTTGCGCTCTCAACATGACCTGTTGTCAGGTAACTCAAGTCGTACGAATAACTCGTCGAGTCAGCTAGATCCGAGTCCCAAAATGCCGTAGCTTGTCCTGCATAAATCAACGCCCCATTGCGATACAATGTGTAGCTCGCAGCTTCAGCAATCGGCTGCCACTGCAAACTCAACGCCGACTTGCTCACTACAGAGTAACATTGAGCACATTCAATTGTCGCTTGAGACAGGAACTGAACCGCATGTGACGATGGGGGCGCTGGGCGACCCGTTGCCGGAAGGAGTGGTAAACGTCACGATACCACTCGGCGTGCTTTTATCAAATTGGATGTTTGTCGTGATCTAATAAAGTTGGTGTGTTCAAACCTATAGATGGTTCAAGCATTTGATGTGTACGTACACACGTGACAGTATAAGCGGCGGCAGGAGCCAGCTGCAATAACTGTGCACTTGTTGTTGGCACTGTGACGCTGACAGTCGTGTGGTCGACAGTGTGTTCCGCTGTGCAAGTGTACCCCGACACCAGCAACCCGCCAGTGTCTAGAGGTGGCGACCACGCAATGGATGCCCCGTGGCCATCCGCTGTGAGTGACACCAAACGCAACGCCTGAGGAGCCCCCAGCGCTGAGAGTAGCGACGTCTTCGCTTGCAGAATACCACTTGGAGACGAAGCACCAATGCTGTTTTGCGCGACAACGTAGAACTCAAACGCCGAATTTGACATGAGGCCTGTGACAGTGCATTGCCACACAAGTCCTTCGCACGCGGGTGTGGATGCGTTCGACCCGATATACAACTGGAACAAGCTGACAGAAGCCCCGCCTTCATCTGCTGGAGAAGTCCACCCGATGACTAGCGATCCCCCGTTTGCTTGAATCACATAAGGAGCCGCGGGAGCACCGGGGACCGTCTCCGACGATGTGGCCATTTCATGCTGGATCGACTTGGGACTCGACCCTGCCGGACTGGACGCTGCCACGCTGATTTGGTACTTTGTGTTTGAATCCAACCCTCCCACCGTCACGCCGTTGCTTTGACTTTGCAGCCGACGTTGACTAGTGCCGCCCGACGACTGTTGGTCCGCAACGATGAGTTCGGCGTACGAAATGTTGAGCACGAGGTAGCCATTGGCGTAGATCTCGTAAAACAACGAGGCAGGATCGACGCCCCCAATGTCCAAGGGGGCCTTCATCGAAATCTTGAGCGCCCCTCCCGACGACTCTGTAATCACAGGCGGTTCCGGCACTTCGGGCGGGGACGGAGGTCCGGTGGACAGTGTTCCTTCCGCGCCTGATTCCCCGGCCCCAATGCGGTTCACGGCCGTGACTTTCATCGTGTACGACGTACTGGCGCGGAGGCCAAACACGTTCGCGCTCGTGGATTTCGACACCACTCTCAGCGACGGACCGCCAACTTGGTTGTAGTACTCCAAAATATACGACACAATGTCCGACCCGCCATTGTCGTCTGGAGGGTCCCAAGTTACCGAGATCATGCCACCCGTGAATGCTTTCTGATTGGGCTGACGACAAGGACCAGGAGCGCTCACCACTGAGGTTTGAAAGGAATACGTAGGCGAGTAATTCGACGTGCCTGCGATGTTTGTAGCTTGCATGCGCCAGCGGTACCACGTCTTGGTTGCCAGTTTTGCCACACGGCAACTGGTCGTCGTGTTGGCATACACTGTCTTCCAGGCTTGCGTCGATTCGTTGAACAGCTGGAGGGTGTACTGGGTGATGTGGACACCCCCTGTATCCATGGGGGGGTCCCAACCAAAGCTGAAGCCAGCTCCCGTGGCCAACACCACCACCAAATTCTCGGGGGGGTCTGGAATTGTCGCCGCGGTCGTCTGGAATTCAATGCTTGGGCTTGTCGGGGCCAATTCATTCGTGCACGTGGAAAACGAATTCAAGGCGAGACCCCGAAGGCGATACCAGTGCTGGGGTTCAAGGCCAGTGATGCGGAAAGTCTCGTTTCTCGCCAGCGGTTGTCCTGCCACTGGAGAGGCGTCGTCGTCGTTGCTTGTGACAGCCTATACCCCAGTATACCCATGAATCTATATTCAAGTTGATTCGAAGAAGGTAAAATTACCTCGACGACCTTGTTTGTCGTCAAGTCGGTAAAGTACACTCTAAATCCACTCACGCGGACTCCCCCTAACCGCCTCATCGTGAGTATGGAGTTGGCAATGGAAATAAAAGAGAGCACAAACCGGTGTCAACAGGGGAAACCAAGTATCCGTACGCTGCACCACCCGTCACTCGAGTAATCACCGGAACTTGGGGGGCTTCCGGCAACGTTGGGTACGACGTGGTCATGTTGATGCTGGCACTGGGCTCGCCAACTAGCATGCCCATGGCGTTCGTGATGCTGGCAAACATGTGGGGCGTCGTGACTGAAATCAAATTCCTCGTCATGGTCCGGCCGGTCGTAAAGAAGAAGTTCTACCCCAACAAGTCAGCCAGTGGATTGAACAAATCGAAATGACAATACGTACTCCAATCAGAATGGCGGTGCCGGGACGGATCCAGGAAGTGCCCACATCAGCAGACGCCGAAATCACCGACGCCTTGGAGCTGATATTGAACAAGCCGGGTAACAGGACATGGCCCATGGTATTTTGCGCCAACACTCGAAAGTTGTACGCTGTCTGGGCGTACAACCCAGACACTGTGTACCGCGTGGGCTCGACTTGGAATTGGTTTGGGGATAGGTAGAAGTTGGTTTCATTCCACAACTTCATCAACACAAAGTATCGAGAAATGTTGATTCCCCCAGTGTCGTCGGGGGGAGTCCACGTCATGGTGACACTGCCGCCTGAGCGTATAGGGCTGGGTAGTAACTGAACAGGGGCGCTAGGTAGCGACGCATCGCTTGTTTGAAACGATTGCGCAGGACTGTAGGGTCCCCACCCGTGGGTTAAAGCGTTGGGGACACCATTATTGCACTACAACGTATATGTAAACTTGGTAAAGCTAGTATACGAAGGCATGTGACCACATTCAGTAGCTTTACCTGAACTTGCACAGTATACGACGTATTCGACCACAGTTGGTAGATAATGTAGTTGGGCGTCAAGGTTTCGCCAGTCTAGATAAAACGAAGCAAACCAAACAATCCACTTTAGCCCCTCAACAACAATGACGAGGTGGGTTACCTGTACAATGCCTCGACCGTCGATCCACTTGACTCGATAGCGTTGGATGGGCACGCCACCAGTGTCGACTGGATCTGACCATGCCATACTTAACAACCCCCCCGTGCTGGCTACAACGCGAAGCGATGTTGCGGGGCCATTCATCGAAGGATTGCCGGTCGTAAAGGACAGCACGGGGCTACTAGCACCGTATCGGATTGGATTGAATGCGTCGTTGGCAGCTTGGACGACCAGCGCGTAATTTGAGTTGGCTAGGAAGCCACCCACCCACGATGTCTTGGCGCTTGGATACAGCACCGTCGTGGACGTCGAATTCACGATCGAGACTAAGTACATGACCACAGCTGCGTTTTTGTAGCCCTTGTTCGCCGGTTCAGTTAGAAACAACTCGACGGCACCACCCGTGACGGATGCAAGCGTAGGCCGCCCCGGTGCCGAAGGGGGGGACGAGTCTCCGTCATCCAACAGTGTCACGATCACGGTACTGTTTTCTCCAATACTGGCGCCTCCAGAGAACGTCACCAACTGGAGGGTAAACGTCAAACTTGGAAAGTTGTACACGTTGTTGTTGCGAATGATCACAGAAACATTTGCCTTTGTTTCGCCGTCGTCAAAACGAATCGGTGTCGATGGCAATCGAAAATCGGCGCCGATCACCGCCGACGAGAAGCTGCTGTTGGCAGCATTTTGACTGGCCCTTGCTACGACTTGGACGACGCTACTGGCCCCGCCCGTCCGCGTTAGGGGGAGCACAATCACCGATGCACTTTCGAGCACAGAGGCAGACGCACTGGCAAAACTAATCTGTCCAGCGGCACCCGCATCCAACAGCACGAGGGTTGTCACGTTGAAGTCGCTGCTCAAAACGGCGAAATTCGTCGGGTCCACCAGTTTCAAGTCGATGGATACACCGTCCGCCACGTACACTCGATCGTTGATGATCCCAACCTCAACAATCACTTGAACCACCCCATCGTCAAAGTCCACAACCAGACGACTCGCAGTGGGGCTGTCGCGGTTTAGAACGAGCTGGGTGCCAATGAGGTCCAACCGCGTCGTCGTCAGAGTGACCGACACGGCGCCAACTGATCCTCCGAGCCGCGAAATCGGAAACGCAAAGGTCGAGGCATTTTTAAGCACCGACGACATCGCCACGCCGAACGAAAATACGCCGGCGGAGGCTGGCGCCGTGGAAATCTGCATGTATGGGCTCCACAAACCCGGTTGGGCGACGGTTGTCGTCGACACGGCACGCACTCGAACATTGTAGACTGTCTCGGGTAGCAGCGACGTGACAACGCCCCCCGTGACATTGACGAAGATCCAACTGGATCCACCAGCATCGACTTCGTACCGAAGCACAGCGTTCCCACCAGAATCGACCGGGCGAATCCAATTCAAGCGCACCGTACGCGACGTCGTGCCAGCGACGGTCGGGGCGCGCATAATCCCTGGTGCGTTGGGAAGACTAGTTGCCACCTCCAACACTGGACTGGATGGTCCAGCCCCAACCACGTTGGAACAAGCGTAGCGGATTTGATACACGGTGTTGGCTGTGAGGCCGTAGATAGATCCAAGGGTTCCCGTGGTAGTGTACGCTGGCACACTGAGCACGAGTTGGCCATTTTGGTACACGAGAAAGTTCAAGCGTGTGGTTTCGCCGCCAGTGTCGGGTGGTACGTCCATCGACAGCGTCGCATTTCCTCCAAACACCGACACCAACGTGGGAGGACTGGTGGGGGCGCCAGGCACGCTCGAGTTTGTCGTTTTCAACACCGCCTGCGCGGCCGGACCGGACCCGACAGTGTTGGTGGCATTCACGACAAACACATACGTGGTCGTAAACTGCAGCAAACTGAAGGTGGCTGTGGGTTTGGCTGTCGTCAGTCGCCCAACTTCTTTGCCGCCAAGACGAAGCACTGACGTGTACGATATGATCGGCACACCGCCCGAGTTCTGTGGTGCCACCCACGACACGGACAGAGACCCCCCTGTGGCTTGGACAGTCACGTCCGTACACGAGTTGGGCAGCGTCCCCGCTGCAGTCTTCGTGACCAATGTGTCGCTTTGTCGGCCGTACGCAATGTTGGTGTACGCAATGATAAAGTATGCATACGTCGTGTCCGCTTGCAAATTGGCTTGGTCGAGGTAATATGTACTGCCTTGCGAGTCGCCAACTCTGACAGTATCGCGGTAGACAAAGTAGCTTGCAATCGGACGCCCGCCGGAGTCCTGAGGTGGTTGCCACGACAAGAAGAGCGACCCCCCCGTTCGATTCACGGCAGTCAAGTTGAGCGGCTTGGTAGGTGACGTCGCGGCGGTCGTGCGACCGAACGCAATCGGACTTGGCGCACTCTCCCCGATCCCATTTCGAGCGACGAGTTGAAACTCGTACGTTTTGAATTCGTCTAAGCCAGCAACGTCATACGTGAGATCCGACCCTGTGAGTCGTTGGACCAGCATCGATCCGTTAGACGCGATCAAGTTGACGTCAAAGCTTGTCAGGGGGGTACCGCCGCTGTCCTTGGGGACGGACCACGCCAACGTGACCATGCCTCCCGTGGACGACACAACTTGAGGGGTGTCTGGACGAGACGGCACACTCGCATTCGTCGTTGACGCAACCAGCACCGGACTGAACGGCATGTCACTGGCGCTTCCAAAGCAAAACGACTTGGAATTGAACGCGACTGCCTTGAACACGTACGAGCTTCGCTGGTCGAACCCACACGCGATGGTCGATGTGACAGAGGCCGGACCAACGTACACTTCGGTGAACGTGAGGTTGGTTTGCATCGCATTTCCATTGGTGGGTGATTTCGCCACGTAAAGGTGATATTCGGCGAGCGGAATGCCGCCATTCGACGTGGGCGGGTCCCAACGAAGGGGGATGCACGCCCCAGTCGAGTTCAACGAGCGATCCAGTCGAAGGTTGGTCGGCTCGGAAGGAATGGTGGCCGGACCAGTGATATACATGAATGTGCCGCTAACGTTGCTGCCGCCCAGTTTGTTCCACGCCGTGTATCTGACTGCATAAGTAGTTTCCGCCGTCAATCGAGGCAACACAATGCGCCTCGTGGTGTTGATCGCGAACTCTGTAAATACCGTTGTGGTCGTTGTTTGGTCGGACGAGTTGGTCGTGTTGATGTATATCAAGTACCGCAGCACGTCCGTCCCGCCTGTATCAGCAGGAAGCGGTAACTGTATCATCAAGGAGTCCCCTCCAACTTGAACCACACTTGTCGGTGAGCCTAGTTCGTTGGGTAGCGATGCATTTATTGCCGTGGACAGCATTGCGATCACAGGAACACCCACTCCGACCAAGTTGATCGCTGAAAAGCTGAACGGATATGTGGTGTTGGCCTGCAAGGCAAGGTTGGACAGATGAGCGCACAGCGCTGTGTTGTTGTACACAACAGAGTCAGCATATTGAATTTGATACCCCGAGATGGGAATTCCGCCAGCATCGAGAGGTCCTCCCCAGCACACGTCAATTGATCCACCTGTTGCTCCAACAACACGGATATTGGTCGGAGAGGATGGCAGGGACATGGGGCCCGTGGTCCAGCTCACAGGACCACTTCCATTCGAGACCAATCCTGCACGGTTGGTCACAGAACTGGCAAAGGTATATCGCGTGGAAAAATTCAACCCAACAAACGTAAACACCGAGCTATTTTGGCTTTGGATGGACACCAAACGCCCACTTGAATCGGTCATATTGGTCCTGTACGACACCACCGACTGATTGAGCCCACCAACGTGTCGTGGCGGTGGCACTTGAATGACCATACGTCCACCAGACGTGTCTAATTGCACGGGCACATAACCGAGATCGTCAGGGGGGGCTACGTCGACGTCGTCTACAATGTACACGGTCGCCGTGTCTGGATACCCAATGTCGCCTGCGCTTTCAGGGGCAATCGATAGGTCGATCGTAGCTGTCCGATACGGATAATTGTATTGCCCGTCTCGGCGGATGGCAAGGGTTAGCGTTGCGGTGGTCTGTCCGCCATCAAAGATGACTGTTGGGGATGAGAACGTCACTGCGGTCTGGGCTTGTCGAAACTTTGGTTGGATGGACACAGTCCCGCTGGTGTAATTCATCGACCGACGCAGGGTCAGCAAGGCGGTGGCTTGGCTTTCCAGAATTGTATACGACACATCGGAAAACCAGATCTGGCCCGCGTCGCCTTCGTCGAGAATTACCACCCGGCACGTTTTGTTCGACCCGAGCGAGCCTGTTTCCGACAATATGGACGACAACGTCACGTCAAAGTATCGTGGTGGGTCCACGACATCATTGTTGACAATCTGAACCGTAATTGTCTGGCTTGTCACACCGTCCACGAACTCCAACGAGTTCAAGTCGGGCAGAATGTAGTTGGTGGGCGTCGTGGCCGTCCCACTCGAAGCTGTAAAAGCACACAATACGGTATTAGCAGTACCAGACGTTCTCCCAACGCTCAATGTGACCGTGGTCATGTTTTCAAACACTTGCACGGTCTGCGAGACGAACTGAAGGACGCCAGGAACGGCATAGTCGGTCGTGGCTGTGCTTGGGCTGCTCCATACCCCACAACCAATTGAATTGATCGCCTGCACTTGGAGGGTATACGTGGTTTGAGCCGTCAAGTTGCCAATGCTTAAACTCGCCCAAGATGTCGATACATAGCGTGTCCCTCCCTTGGACGACGAAATAGACACGTTGTACAGAACGTTCGCGGTATCGTCCCCCCCAGTATCGACGACTTCATTCCACGAAATACTTACGCTGCGGTACGTTGTACCGGTCACGAGAATCGCGCCTCCCACTTGTTCGGGGACGGACATCTCTATCGTGGACGCGTACATTGTGGGGGAGCTGGAGCTTTCGCCCGCCGAGTTGACCGCCGTGGCCCAAAATTGGTGTGTCGTAGTGGCATCAAGGCCTTTGACAGTCACAACGTCGGACGTGGACACTTGGAATGGAAGTCGCTCAAACTCGTTCGTTGCAAGGGAGATGTGACTCAAGATTAGCAAACACGTTTCACCACCTCGGTCCATCGGCTGAGTCAACAAAAACTGGATGTTTCCGCCATTAGCGCTCCATAAGATGGGAGTTGGCGGCGCCATTGGCACGGTCGTATTGGTCGTCATGAATTGTATCATGGTTCCATTACTGGAGCCGCCCCCTGTGACCACCACTTGCCCTTGGATGTTGTACACTGTGGCACTGGCCAGTCCATAAAACGACAACTCCAACGATTCTTCCGACGTGAGTTGTTGGAGGAGATGAGACTCGGTGTCGAAAAGCTGCAGTTGGAGACTCTCGAGCGGCGCACCTCCCATATCGGTAGGCAACGTCGTCAGGACAGACACCATGCCACCCGTTCGCCCGGTTATGGTGAGAAGCGGGGCCTGAGGGGTGCCAGGCGTGGTGTCTGTGAACGCAGTTAGCGTAGTCGGGTCGCCCTCACTAAGTGGATTCAGAGCAGCGATCCCGTACATATACGTTTGATTTGTGTGAAGGCCATTGCTGTCCGTGTACGAGGTCGTCGATGGAAGACTGCTCAACAAGGCTCCGTCTCTGTACAAGTTGTAGCCAAACACAGCGGCGCCACCGTCGTCAACCGGCGGGTCCCAATTCAGCACAACTTGGCCACCTGCAGCACCCACTTGAACAAATCTCAAAGGCGCAGACGGAGCCGATATTGATGTGGTCGTGCCCGAAGCATTGCCACTGGGCACGCTTTCGCCTTGGCTCGTGATGGCAGTGACCCAATACGAGTACGTCGTGTTGGCTTGGAGACCAAACTTCATGAATAGCGTGTCGTTGACAGTTGCCAGACGACCCAACCCTGGTGCATACACAGCATAGGCTGTAATGCGCATGCCGCCATCGTCTAATGGAGGGCTCCACGTGAGTGAGATCGACCCTCCCGACGTCCCCACAAGAACTACGTCGGTGGGCGGCTGAGGTTTGCCTGGTGCAGAGGTTTGGACTGTGACTGGTCCAGATGGGACGTAGTTGTCAGCTGCCGTGCACGTGCTGATAGGATTCATAGCAACAAGTGCAAAGGAGTATAGCGTTTGGCTTGTGAGGTTGACGACCTTGCCTTGCGTCGAGAGCCCATCCAGGGGCAGTAATGTAGATGCGAGTTCAAACGGCGTCCACGTGTTCAACTCCGCAATGTACGTTTGCATGCGAATTTGGTATCCAACCAAAGCGACAGACCCGCCGAAGTCTTGCGGGGCTGTCCATTTCAGCCACACGGTGGTTGCTGTAGCACCAACCAGTTGAAGGTTCAGCGGCGAGCTGGGAACTGTCAGTGTCGTCGTTCGAAACCGGGCGACTGGACCTAATCCACTTGTCCCCTACACAACGTTCAGGTTTAGACCCTACAGTCAGAGTTGGTCTGGCGTACCACTCGGTTGGTTGTGGTCGTCACAACGTCGTAATCGGTTGTCTGGGCCAGGCGATTCACCGTGCACGACGTACTTCCGGAGCTGCACGCGATGGTGAAATCGTTCTTGCCCGCGGGGCTGATGTAGAGCGTGTATTTTGTGATAGCATAGCCCCCCGTGTCGTCCGAGGGAGCGATCAACAGGGTCAAGGAACCGCCAGTCACTTGTTGCACCTGTGCAGGGAACGGGGCTGCGGGGACCGTGCCGCCCACGACAGTTCGATTAGCCGCCGACGCAAACGACACGGCTGGAAACTTGGTGTTGGCTCCAACCAAGACCGTGTACAGTGTGGACGCGACGAGGTTTGAAACGACGTACGACGTGGCGCTAGTCGTTGCAGACCGAATCAACGACGACGCATTTACATACACGTTGATCACGTAGCTTTCAATCGCCAGTCCACTCGTGTCCATCGGCGCCCGCCACGCGACGGCCATGGAGCCCCCAGTGATTCGAGATATGGTCAGACCAAGAGGCTGGCTGGCTGGGCCGGGCGTTGTGGTCCAAAAGGCGTGGGCGGTGGTGGTGGGGCCAACGTACGCGTCGTTTACTGGCGCGACTCGAACAAAGTACACCGATTGAGGCACCAAATTGAAAAATGCCGCTTCGGGCGGCACGTCCTCACCCTCGGACACTTCTATCGACGACCAGTTCATTTGGCGTGGGTCCACCATGGTTGATTGGTACGGTCCAGAGATTTCTGCAGTGAACTTATACGTGGCAAGGACGGGGTAGGTCGGACGTGGCCACGTGAGTGACAACATGGTCCCCGTTGCACGTTGTAACGTAATCTCATTGCGGATGATAGGTAGAGGAAGTTTCAGGACCGTCGGGTCGTCCGTCAACAGCAATGTCACTTGGAATCTTCGTGATTGCTCCAAGGTAGCATTCGTGTCAAAGGTCAGCACATATTGTCGTCCAAAGGGTGTGTAGGTCACACTGGGCACGATGTTGAATAGCCCAAACGACCCGTTCACTTGGCGAGGTGCCAGGATAATTGATGTGTTCCATGCATTAAATGGTAGACTCTCGTTGTCGTCGCCACTAGATGGGTCCGTAGTATCCATGATACGCACAACATCCGAGAGTGTCACCATAACGTTTCCACTCGAGCCATTGCGTCGCACCAACGGGATGTAAAACGTTCCGGTCGTGTCCACGGCAGTGTAATTTGGCATCACGGCAGATATCGAGCCTGGGTTCCCGTACAAAAGCACAAGACACGAGTTGTTGGGCCCAGCAGTGCTGCTATTTGAAGTCAGCGTCATGCGCAAGACATGCGGGACTTGGTCCACCACGGCGCTGTTCCACGTTCGCAGGAGGACCGATTTGGCTGGGCTGGAAGGGGAAAATACAACGCTCGGAGGCAATGGCGTTGTTTTTGGCGCCACGGATGTAAAGTCACACACACAACTGTCGGCGCACGAGCAACTGGGGTACATTGCAGGAGTGGTGGCAAATTCCAGCGACACGACGATTGTTCCTTGCGAACCGTTGCATCGATTCAGCCATAGCATCACGTTGGACGACCCGTTCAGAATCGACAGCGACGTGTCTTGCAATGATACGTAGCCTACATCCAATCAATCAAAAGGCCAAGCTTTTCGCTTCTTTGTAGGAAAGGATCACATACCTGGTTGGGATGGTAGTGTAGACATGACTGTGGTGGTGGGGGCGCTGGTGCCGAGATTGCTCTGGGCCGTCAGTTGTAACGAATACTCCGTCGCAGGGTTCAACCCAAACAGGCGTAGGTGACTTGGGCTCAAGGTCGTGTTGTCGAGCACCTTCCACGACACCGTCCCGTTGGCCATATTTGTGATCTTCAACACCAAACTCAGCACGACGTCGTCGGGAAAGTTCGGTGGCGGCGACACGATCACATCCAGATCCGTGCTGGACGCCATGTTCAGTGATAGCTCGCCTGCCGATGTCGGGATGCCGTTGTGGGTAATCACGTCCAAGGAAAACGTGGGGCTAGTTCCGCCCACACTTGTCGCCCACACCAAGAGGCGGTACCGACGCCCAGGATCGAGACCGTTCAACGTGAAATTCGCCGCTTTGGTCGCCACCACTGAATTCGGGGGGCCAACGGAAGTCAACGTTGGCACTGCCTCCCACGAGTAGAAGCCTTGCACGTCCGTCGAACCTCCCGTATCGCACGACGGCTGAAACAAGACCACCACTGATCGTGCCTTGGCCAAGACGAGTACTGCCGTTGGGGCTCCAGGGGGCTGCACAATGCCCATCCGAACTCTGATCACCGCGGCTTGTCCTCGCCCCGCTGCGCTTGCAGGAACCACTGCGTACGAATACGTTTGTCCTGCGATAACGTTGGTGCAATCCGCGAACGTCGTCGTGTTGTAAGCTGTGCCAACGTAGATGCCATTCCGTTCGATGATGTACTCGACCGTGGTCACCCCGCCAAGATCCTACAACGTATAGTACTTTACCAGTGAAAAACGACTAGAAGAGGGGTGTTCGTATCGTACTTGAGGCATCGTCCATTGCAACTGCACCAAACCACTCGTGACGACGGGCGACGTTAAATTCCGTACAGACGACGGTGGTGTTTGGGATCTAACATATCTAGTGATTACAGGGTAGGAATATTGCAACGAACGTGGTGGTAAATTGTTGCAGAGTCGTGGGGTCGCTTGACCCGAGGCGGTTCTGCGCTCGAACCGACACGATATACGCAGTGCTGGCCATCAATCCAACCGCCTTGCACGAAGTGGTCGAGTTGGAGCACAGCACGTACGGTGTCGCTCCATCGCCATCCATCCCGTCGCACTCGACAACGTACGTGACCTTGCCGGCCCCTCCCTCATTGATAGGTGTGCTCCATGTGAAATGCAGCATTCCGCCGGTGGTTTCAAACGCGAAAAAGCGTTGAGGGGTCGACGGCGTGCTGGCACTGGTCGTGGAAAATGCAAACGACCACACGACTGTCGAATACAATCCAAACTCATTCCGCACGACAATCGACCCGTTGTAGCTGGTGTCGGGGGCGAGACTTGTGATTTCAGTGTGCACCATCCCTTCCGATGTATCCAAGCGCATAATTTCCGATGGTTTGAAGGAGGTCGTTGTGTCGTTGGACGTCCAAAACGAAGTCGGCACCACGTACAGTTTGAACCCTACTCTACGAAGTCAGAATGGATGTGTTTCTTCATATTGCAAGTACCGTCAAGGCGCCCTCCTCCGGTGTCGGCGGGAACAACCCAGTCCATGTAGGCAAACGTGGCCCCTGTCTGCGTCACTGTCACATCTTGAGGCGCGTCTGGACTTGCCTGCATGAAAAAACCTCTTATGTGTTAATATAATTGGCTAAATTGAGTCGAATGGACATACCCCTGGGGTGGTGGTGGCGACCACGATTGAGCTAAACGACGAATATCCCAAGTTTGTGGACAGGATCGTGCGCACGTGATACGACATCGACGCGTTGAGGCGGGTTAGGACAAACCGAAACGAGTTGAAATCGTCCGCAGGGGTGTAGACGGCGTTCCAAAGCGAGCCATCCGTAGGTTTCCACTGCACGACGTACCCCCAGACATGTGCAATACCGTACATGTCGTCCGCAAGCACGACTTGCAGAGACAGCGTGGACGCGCCGGCCTGGGTCACGTATGGCGGCAGGATCTCCGGGGGAAAGGACGGCTCTGGGAACGTCACGACTAACGAGTCGCTGAGAAACGATGTATCGCCCGGGGGGTAGCACAATCCCGCCCAATTCTCCGCCACGACGCGAAATGAGTAGGTGGTGTTGGAGGTGAACGGGTGGCCGTCCTCGAGCTGGTACAACGTGAGCACGGGATCGTACGTGACAGCAATTTCGTCAAACAACGGGGAGTCGTTCACGGCCGCGAACAAGCGATAGCTGAGGATACGAGACCCTCCTGATACAGAATAGCGTTATAAAACACAGTGGAATGTGGTACGAACCTGTGTCTGCAGGAGGTGTAAACGTTAATGTGATCGAGCCCCCTAGGCTCCGTTGTGAGACATTGGAACGATCTGCTGACTTTCTCTCCATGGTTCAGAGTGGCGTCGTACCGGTGATGTTCTGGACTTGAGGGGCGTCGCATCGGCTGGGCTGTGTCACGGCGGTCGTGGTGAACGCAATGTTGGACGCGCTTTGCGTGCTCGAATAGCCAGCCTCGTTTTGCACGGCGCACGACAGAAAGTACATCGTCGAGGCATCAAGTCCATTGATTTGAGCGAGGGTGGAGAAGTCGCCATCATCTTCGGTGATGCTGTAGGTAGTACCGACGTAGAATTCATCAAAGTTGTGCTTGACGGAGCAATTTAACGATGTTGTCAATGGCACTCCGCCAGTGTTCAAGGGCAAGTCCATCGAGATGACGGCATATCCTGCCGACACTGTAGCTGCTTCAAGGGACGTCGGAGGGTCCGGTGCGTCTGGTTCTGTTGTCGACGCGGTGAGAATCTGAGCGTCATCCCCGCTTGACCCACTTGGATCGGCCAGAACGAGAAAGTACACCGCGTCGGCTACCAACCCCCCAAGCTTAAACTCGTTTTGATATGCAGGGACGAATCCCACGATGTTGCCATTTGCGTAGAGTGTATGGGTTGTCGTCAACGGTTGGAACCTACGGCATGATGGTCATGTGCATGTACGTTGTCGCCGAGTCGTCGTACCAGTGAAAGTGGATCAAACTGCCGGTGCGACGCACGAGTGCCATTTGAGTGGCCGAGGAAAATTGGGTGGAGTCTGAGTAGTTCAAGGACGTCGCATTCGATAGCAACGACCTGCTCACAATGATCGAATCGATGGATGTCGGTGGTTCACCTGGCGGTGACGGCAACCCCGCGCTGTCTGCAATGCTGCCAGCGACGCAAATACATGCAAGGTACGACGCCAACAACATGAGGACGCATAGCGGGCGGAGAATACAACGGAGCAATCCCATCACACCCTTTTCTCCCAAGGATGACCGTTGGCGATGAACTTTGTCGCGCCAAGTGTGGGGATGGCGCCAAATCGTTCGATATTTGTTGTTTTCATCGACACCGTTACACTTTCGACGTTTTGAGCAACCTTTTTACAAAAAAGGTCCACTATTTCGCTGATTTCGAATGACAGAAACCACGAAAACGATGAGTCAATGCGACGGTTACATTTGTTCCAGTTGGTAGTGGGCTGTTTCCCACGATGGTTCATGGCCTAGCTCTTCCCTTGGGTGTCGTTGTACTTTGGTCGGGTTTGCGCGACGCATGTGCATCCAAGCTTTTACTAAGGAGTCTGCATTCAATCGGCACAGTGCCACCAATGAATGTTGCCGAGATGCCATCAGGTAAAGCCCTCCAAGTCGAAGCTCCAGAACCTCTAGCCGTTGCCATTGCCGTGCCCGATGGGTCCGTCACCACCTCACTAGATTTCGCCAATGGCTATGGAACCAGCTTCGAATGCACTAGCGTGTGCCACTTCATCACAATTTCGTTCGCGCTTGCCATCGGGCTGTTTCTGATCCTCTTGCTTGTGATTCCGGTGAGCACAACCAACTACGTCAAGTCTTCTAGTCGGAAACGTGTGTCCAAGCGGCCACTGGACGCCGCCGCAGACGAATTGCCATATCAAGTTGCGCCGCATGCACCCCCCCAAGCGTTGCATTCACGAGATCGTCGTGTAGCCAACGACGTTGCAGCCGCAATTGATGACGACATCGATACCACTGACGCGTCGCGCTATGATTTCATTGCTTCCTTATCCGCAGGACCCAACGACACCCAGCCACTTATCAAGGCGATCCGAACTGCCTCCATGTTGTCTCCGCGAAGTCAGAGGCTTCGCACTGCGTTGGGGCAGTCCCCATTAGGAGCGGCTAGAGCAAAGCAGCAACATCGAGGCGTAGCAGAGTCGGCGCCACCTCCGGCCCCGTCCACGACGAGTTACGAGACTTTGAAGGACGAAGAAATTCAAGAGGCCGAGTACCTCGAGTTCGTTCGACGATTAAGTGGGGATGGGATTGTTCTGAAGCGCATCAAAACCAAAGGTCGCGGTGTTAAGATCGCCAAGTGGCGCATTCGACTGACGCATGACATGATGGCCCTCCATTTGAGCAAGCAAGAAGGGCTGCATGTGCTGAAAAAGACTGAAAGCGTCCAAGTCAAAGACATCGTGGGCATGACCACAGGAACGTTGGAAGCCGGCGGCGCGATCTATTTGTCCCTGTTGCAAGTGGACAACTCGTCGTTGGACTTTCAAGCCGACAACGAAGCGATGCACCAAAAGATGTACAATGGCTTTGGCATGCTCTTGCGGGGGGCACAGCCAGGGAAAACTTGAAGGATAATAACATTGATTTCATGGTGTGTACGTAACGCAGTGACAAGGACCAAACACGCAGTCTCAGGGTGTGCGCACAATTCATTGTAAACACAAAGCACATGGTATGTAAATGCACATTACGGTAATAATACCGGAAAGTTTTTTAATGTTGATTTGCTTAAATTTCGTGTTGTGGCGTGGTTGCTCAAAATTATTAGCCAATCAAAACCTTCTCAATGAAATACAACCAATCAGATCGATTGTGGATCGGTTTGGCCCCCAAATTTGTATCAAATCGACAATATGTTGTTGGTCTTCTAAATGTGTTGACAAAAATACGATAGAACTACAGTACACACATCAAAACTTGCAACTGTGTCAAGACTCCATCTTCTTCTGGCTGGTCAAGTCGTTATTGGTAGCCACACGAATCGAAGGCTCGTGCATGTGCGACTCACGCACTTCTTTACATGCAAATTCAACATCCGTCTCACTTTACTAAGCGTGGGGCCAGTAACTGTTGCATGTCGTCGCCATCCAAAATGCGTGATCGGTGATTCCATGGCATGTCTCGGCGACATAATCATCGTGCGGCACCACAAGAACATGTCAGTACCTGCGGCAGTTACCAAGGTGGTTGAGCATTCTTGTGGCAGTTTTATGGCCAATCACAGCCCGTAACCAAACGTTTTAGCCAATCCAATGCCGTCTTTCGAGTTGAAGATGGACTGGAAGGCAGGGCGACAAGACAGCCATACCGATTTTCAATGCACTTGTTGCAAAGTGCTACGGCGTCCCTCCCCATGACAGTGGCACTCCAACATGAAAGATCTCCTGGGGGAATTTCTTCAACGTTGTGATATGATCATCAGGATCGTCATTATTTCACCACATTCGAATTTGCCGTTTATCCGTCGTGATGTTTCGACTCCGAAAAAGTGCCGCGCCTCTCATTACATTCCGCCAACGACACCTGTCCACAGGTCCCATTGACCGCCGAGGCGCCGCGAAATTCGAAAAGCGCGCTGTGCTCGAGTTGGCCGACGGGTCCAAGTACCATGGGATTTCGTTCGGCGCAGACACCTCCATGGCCGGCGAAGTCGTGTTTACTACCGCCATGGTGGGGTACCCAGAATCGCTGACCGACCCGTCGTTCCAAGGCCAAATTCTCAATATGACGTTTCCCATGATCGGCAACTACGGCGTCCCGTGTACAAAGACGTTGGATGAATATGGTCTCCCCAAGTTTCTCGAGTCGAATCGAATCCACGCGGCGGGGATGATTGTCCAGGACTACTCGTCGCACTACAGCCATTGGAACGCCAAGTCGTCGTTGAGCGAGTGGCTAGTTCAAGAGGGGATCCCCGCGATTGCCGGTATTGACACGCGCGCGATCACAAAAAAAATCCGGGCCAAGGGGGCCATTGCCGGCCGCATTGTTGTCGAGGGCAACGAAATCCCCGCCTTTGCCGACCCAAACTTGCGCAATCTGGTCGCCGAGGTCAGCACCAAGACGGTGAAAACGTATGGCAAGGGCAACCCGCTCAAGATTCTGGCCGTGGATTGCGGCATCAAGTACAACATCATCCGCGAACTGGTCAAGCGGGGCGCCGAAGTCAAGGTCGTGCCGTGGGACCACGACATTGCCAGCGAGGCCAGCTGGTACGACGGGCTCTTCATCTCCAACGGGCCTGGGGACCCGTCCACGCTCACGCAGACCGTTGAGCAGCTCAAGAAGGTCATCCACAGCGACGTGGTCAAGCCGATTTTCGGCATTTGTCTGGGCAACCAGCTGCTCGGCCGCGCGGCTGGCGCAGGCACGTACAAGTTGCCCTTTGGCAACCGCGGGCAGAACCAACCGGTGAACAACCTGAAGACCGGTCAGAGCTACATCACGTCTCAGAACCACGGGTACGCGTTGGAAGGGCACGATTTGCCGACCGAGTGGGAGGAATTGTTTGTGAACGGCAACGACGGCACGAACGAAGGCATCATCCACAAAACGAAGCCGTTCTTCACGGCGCAATTCCATCCCGAGCACGCCGGCGGGCCCACGGACACGGCGTTTCTCTTTGACACGTTCCTGGACGCGGTCTGGGCGAAGGAGACGGGCCCGATCACGTCGCTGGTGCAGCGACCGGTGGTCGAACGCCCCAAGTTCAACAAGGTGCTGGTACTCGGGAGCGGGGGATTGAGCATTGGCCAAGCGGGCGAGTTCGACTACTCGGGGTCGCAAGCTATCAAGGCACTTAAAGAAGAGAACATCACGACGATCTTGATCAACCCGAACATCGCGTCCGTGCAAACAAATGCCGACAAGACCGCCGCCCAGGCCGACAACGTGTACTACCTGCCCGTGAACGCAGAGTTTGTCGAGCAAGTGATTCGTCGCGAGCGGCCCGACGGGATCTTGATCAGCATGGGGGGGCAAACTGCGTTGAACTGTGGCGTGGAGCTGCACCACAACGTAAAAGCTATATGTCCCCTTGGATTGGTCCGAATCAAGTTGTGTTGTGTTGGGTAGGGGGTGTTTGAAAAGTACGGGGTGCGGGTGCTCGGCACGCCGATATCCGTGATCGAAGCCACGGAGGACCGGCAGATCTTTAACGACAAGCTGAACGAGATTGGCGAGAAGATAGCGACGAGTTTCACGGCCGAGTCGGTGGCGGAAGCACTCGCGGCGGCCGACAAGATTGGGTACCCCGTGATGATTCGGTCGGCGTTTGCGCTGGGCGGGCTCGGGAGTGGCATCTGCGACGACAAGGCGCACTTGACGCAGATGGCCAAGAAGGCATTTGCGGGGTCGCCGCAGATTCTGGTCGAGCGCAGCATGAAGGGGTGGAAGGAGGTCGAGTACGAAGTCGTGCGGGACAGTGCGGACAACTGCATCACGGTGTGCAATATGGAAAACTTTGATCCGCTGGGCATCCACACGGGCGATTCAATCGTGATCGCGCCAAGTCAAACGCTGAGCAACACCGAGTACCACATGCTTCGCGAGACGGCGCTCAAGGTCGTGCGGCATCTCGGCATTGTGGGCGAATGCAACATCCAATACGCACTGAACCCTCACAACCAAGACTATTGCATCATCGAAGTGAACGCGCGGCTGTCGCGGTCGTCGGCGCTCGCGTCCAAGGCCACGGGGTACCCGCTGGCATTTGTGGCAGCCAAATTGGGCTTGGGCATCAACCTCCCCGAGCTCAAAAACTCAGTGACCAAGTCGACGACGGCGTGCTTTGAGCCGTCGCTCGACTATTGCGTGGCCAAGGTGCCGCGATGGGACTTGTCCAAATTTGAGAACGTGTCGACTGAGATTGGCTCGAGTATGAAGAGCGTGGGCGAAGTGATGGCGATTGGGCGGACGTTCGAGGAGGTGATCCAGAAGGCGCTGCGGATGGTCGAGCCTGCGAACGCCGGCTTCGAGCCCAAGGTGGAGGACCCGTTCACGAAGGAAGGGCTGATCAAGTCGCTGGCTGTACCCACCGACAAGCGCATCTTTCACATTGCACGGGCGTTAAACGACGGCATATTGACGATCGACGAAGTGCACGAAATTACCAAGATCGACACGTGGTACCTTAGCCGTCTGCAGCGCATTTCCGACTGCGACGCCAACCTCACCGCCCTTGGGTCGTTGGCCAAGGTATATATATATATATATGCTTGAGATTACGTATATATATATATATATATTTATGATGTATTCAGGTTTGAAATGACATGGCGTTGTGTGTGTGGTGTTTTAGGTGACGGATGAACAGCTCCGGACGGCGAAAGAGTTGGGATTTTCCGACAAGCAGCTGGGGCGGATGTTGGGGGTGTCGGACGACGACGTCCGCGCCGCCCGCAAGCAGCGCGGCATCCTTCCCATCGTCAAGCAGATCGACACGCTCGCGGCAGAGTACCCTGCCAAGACCAACTACTTGTACTCGACGTACAACGCCAGTGAAAACGACATCGAGGCCAAGGCGGCCAACGACGGCGTGCTCGTGCTAGGCAGTGGCGCGTACCGGGTACGACATGTAGCGATTGCATTATGACGATTTATATGCGACCTAGATTGGCAGTTCGGTCGAGTTTGACTGGTGTGCCGTGAGCTGCATCCGCACGCTGCGCCGTCTCGGGTACCGCGCAGTGATGATGAACTACAACCCCGAGACAGTTAGCACCGACTACGACGAGTGTGACCAGTTGTACTTTGAAGAGCTGACCAAGGAGCGCATTTTGGACGTGTACGAGCGCGAAGGGGTGCAGGGGGTCGTCGTGTCAGTTGGTATGTACTTCCCTTCCATGATGGTTTTTTTCAATGGTGATGGTTGGGATTCATTCTGTGGCTAAACCTATAGGGGGCCAAATCCCCAACAACTTGGCGCTGCCCCTCCACAAGGCGGGCGTGCACGTCCTGGGTACGAGTCCATTGGACATTGATTCCGCCGAAGATCGCCACAAGTTTTCCGACCTCATGGACCAAATCGGCGTCGCCCAGCCGGCGTGGAAGGAGCTCACGAGCATGGATGCGGCGCGCCAGTTTGCCAACGAGGCGGGGTACCCCGTCCTCGTGCGTCCGTCGTACGTGCTGTCGGGGGCGGCCATGAACGTGGCCTACAACGACCGCGACCTCGGTAGTACCCGTCGACAAATGTTGTCCAAAGAATGACCTTTATGACTAGAACGGGTGCTCGGCGAAGCGTCAGCCGTGTCGCAGGACCACCCCGTGGTCATTTCCAAGTTTGTGCAAGGGGCGCGCGAGATTGAGCTGGACGGCGTCGCACGTAACGGCGAGATCATCGCCGCCGCCGTGTCAGAACACGTCGAGAACGCCGGCGTCCACTCGGGGGACGCCACGCTCATCCTGCCGCCCGTGACCGTGAGCTCGTACTATGTGGACCGCGTGCGACAAGCCGGCGCCAAGATTGTCAAAGCGCTCAACATCTCTGGGCCGTTCAACGCGCAGTTTCTGGCCAAGGACGCGGACGTGCTGGCGATCGAATGCAACTTGCGCGCGTCGCGGTCGTTCCCGTTCGTGTCCAAGACGGTGGGTGCCGACTTCATCGCAGCCGCGACCAAGGTGTTTGTGGGCGAAGACACGTCCAACGACAACCTGCCGCCGCTGTACGGCCCCCCGCGCCCCACCGAGTACGTCGGCATCAAGAGCCCCATGTTCTCGTACACGCGACTGGGGGGTGCGGACCCCCTGCTCGGCGTCGAGATGGCGTCGACGGGCGAAGTGGCGTGCTTTGGCAAGACCAAGCACGAGGCATTCCTCAAAGCGCTGGTCTCGTCCAACTTTAAGCTGCCGGAGAAGCACATTTTGCTGTCATTCCAGGACCGGTACTCATCTGAGGCGATTCACTACGCGCACAAGCTGGTCGAGCTGGGCTTTGATCTGCACACGACGGAAAAGACGCACGAGTTTCTGACCAAGCATGGCGTGCCGAGCACCCTCGTGGCGTACCCGTCGTCCGACCTGAGCAGCGAAGCCAACGCACTCAACCTGATCAAGGACGGCAAGATCGACCTGGTCATCAACCTCTCGAATGCCGACTCGTTGCGCGTCAAGGAGAACTACTTGATCCGGCGCACGGCCGCCGACTTTTCCGTGCCGCTGCTCACCAACGGCCAGCTCGTGCAGCTGTTTGTCGAGTCCATGGACGAGCACAAGAAGAAGCCCATTCTTGGCGTGCACTCGGCGTCGCTGTTTGATTACTACGACGACGAAAACGAAAAGCCGTGGACGAATGCTCACGAATACCATTAACTAACTAGTGGCACTAGTAGTAGTAGTGCGAGAGAGAGATGAGTTGGGGACGATTAGGTTGGTAGTGTCGACTTGACATGAACTTGTGTGTGGGATTACTTTTTTGTTCTGCTCGGCTTTCGCTTGACCTTGTCGTCTGCTGCTGATGCTGCCCTGGGCTCGTGTTGCACATGTACTTGGCCGCCCTAACATTTCATGGCTAGTGAACTCGAGGTATAAATCACATGGAAGTAAATGTGCCAAAGTATTGTCAATTTGATACAATTTGGGGAGGGGGTGCAATCGACCAAACCGATCCACAATCGATCTGATTGGTTGAATTTCATTGAGAAGGTTTTGATTGGCTAATAATTTTGAGCTCATCTGAGGTAGTCAATTAAATCGATTTAAATTCCAACAAGAAACCACGCCACAACACGAAATTTGACTCGAAAGCACAATATATAGCTACTATTAATAGTATGCCACAGGAAACAAAGTATTTATATTATATATTTACGAATCAAGTACATATATATATATATATTATACCTGAATGTCTCGCTTGTGGGCGCTATTCTCGACGCGGCTTTGCGTGTCCAAGTAGAACATGAGGTCTCGGATCTAATACACAAATATATATTCTAATTGATACTTTTTCAGATAATGAAACTATTACTGTACCTGGGACTCCAAATCGTCCACTCGGCGCTGGGTCTCGGTTTCCATCTTGGCGACCTTGAGTTCTGCCACGACCACTCGTTCTTTCCATTGTTGTTGGTTGTCAATCAGCGACTTGTTGAGCTCTCTATATATATACACCGTTTTCATATAGATACAAATATATATATATATCCATAGTATGAGTACGCACCGCACGAAATGCAAGTCCTCGGTCAGCTTGGCGGCGTCTTTGATGAGGTTTTCGTTGAGTTTCTTGAGACTCTTTTTCTCCTGCTCCAGCACGTTTACGGCGCGGCGGTGCTCCGTCTCGTTCAGCTGGGACAGCCGTCGCTCGTAAAACAGGCGCTGTTCTTCCAGTTGGCTAGGTACACCACCACCACATATACTAGTCAACTAGTCTATTTCCCTTTGTCGTGTACATACCTCGTCAACAACAAGTTGTACTCGGACGCCAACTTCTCCAACTTCATGTGCTCGTCTTCGCCGCGGTTGCCCAGCATGCCGTTCGGGTCTGGGAATTCCACGTACTTGCCGTCTTGCTTGTTCATGATCAAGCGATGCACATACCTAGGATATAAATCACATGCTTTGATCAGCCAAAACCATGTTATCTGTATTTTGGTTGGTGCTGTACCCATCGCCGGCGTAATCCCATACCCGCTGTGTCTCCAACTCGAGCGAGTACGTGTGCAGTGTGTCTTGGTAATGCTTCTTGGCGTGTTCGTTCGAGTACCGTCCGCAGCCAATGTGGCCGCAAATGAGGCAGATCCACAGGTGGTCGGTCGTGTCGCACACCTACGCAATGCTGAGTGGTTGTTCGCTTACTACTAGTAGTAGAACCTCGCAGGCCGACACGATGTCCCCGTGGCTGTATCTGCACACGGGACAGCTGGACCCTTCCCATCGAAACAAGCAGTCGCAATGAAACGTGTGGTTGCACAACGTCGTGAGGATGCCGGATGCCGACGTGTCCAACCGATCCAGACACACCGGACAGGTCGGAATTTCCACGTGGCCTTCCGGTGCGTCGCGGCGGCAGTCACCCGACAAGACGGGAAGCATGCCTTGGGCAGCGGCATGGCCGTTGACGACTAGCGGCGGCGCGTGGTCGGCCCGTTCGCGGATAAACTCGATGTTGTGGACAAACACCAGTCGACACCGCTCTGGCTCCATGGAGTTGAAAAGGGACCCGTTGAACGCCTCGTAGAACTGGGCGGCTTTGTTGGCGCTTGAAAACTGCATCAGCGCCATGCGAGAAGAATGCCGAGGGTCGGAATCACGGAGAAGACGGATGACGACAATGTCGCTTCGAAATGCTTTGGAAAACTCAATCAGCTCCAATGGACCCATGTGCATGGGCAAGCTTACAAAGCCTAGCAGCGTTAGATCCAAGCCCAAGATCGCATCTCGGGGAATTGGCAGCCATGACAGGGCTCCAGCGGCGTCGTCGCCTTCGTCTTTGCTTTCGTCATCTGTAGTTTCAAGCGACCGAAACAACCGCAATCGTCCCGTCAAGAGCTCCACCCTCGGATTCCCCACTTCGAATTCAATCGTGGGTTTCTCTTCTTCGCTACAGGAGGCGGCGGCGGCTTGCTCCAAGCGGACATGGAACATGTTGCTTCCTTCGGCCTTTTTGATCGTTTCTTGTACTTACCTGCATAAACCTATACGAGTATAGAGTACTCTCGAGTTCTATTAATAGTAGGAACACTCACACTATTTACAGTATTAGTTGTTGTGTACTACGTAGTAACTGTATGAGATGGGTGTATTATTATCCAATCAGAAACGAGAGTAATCACTGGATAACATCCCGATCGATGATTGGTTTCTTGTGCTTCAATTTCACATCGTGACAGCGGAAGCCAACAAACATGGAGGAATCGAAGCTATTGCGGCTACATGACATGCTTCAGAAGCTGCGGCCCAAGGGCAAGGTATGTCCATAGTGGCAATTGAATGTCGCTCAATGAATGATTCCATAGGGCGGTCTTGGCTCCAGTGGAGGTCTCATGTCCAAGAACCAAGGACCTCGCGACGATGGGTTGCCCGACAACGGTGCGTACCAATCATCACCAAATGACCAACGTCCCCCATATATTGAATGTCAACGTGTAGGACTGTACTCGATGTTTGTGCGAGAAGGCCATGGTGGGTATGTACACAAGCACTTCGACGACAAGAACGATGCCGCGGATAACAACGACGAGTCGGCTGACAAGAAAAGCAAGGACAAGAAGAGCAAAAAGGACAAGAAGCGAAAGCTCAAAGACCAAGTCGACGAAGACGAGGGGGTTGAAGAGGTTGTGGCCGACGTGACGAAAGCCAGCAAGAAAGCCAACAAGAAGGCCAAGAAGGCATCCAAGAAAGCGGTCGAGACTGAAGAACCAGACGTCGAAGTTACAAAGAAGAGCAAGAAGAGCAAAGTCGTAGAGGCTGAAGTCCCCGAAGAGATTCAAGAGCCCAAAGCCAACAAGAAGGCCAAGAAGGCATCCAAGGAAGCGGTCGTGGTTGAAGAACCAGTCGTCGAAGTTACAAAGAAGGACAAGAAGAGCAAGAAGAGCAAAGTCGTAGAGGCCGAAGTCGCCGAAGAGATTGAAGAGCCCAAAAAGGCCAAGAAGAGCAAAAAGAACAAGGTGGAAGCAGAGGAGGTCCAAGTCGCAGTCGTGGACGAACCAGTGAAGAAAACCAAAAAATCCACAAAATCTGCACAAGACGAGCCCAAAAAAGTCAAAAAGAGCAAAAAGGACAAACAATAAAAATCCGTCCGAATAGCGTCGAAATCGTCCAAAAGTTTGGCCTTGCCTGAGATTGCAAACCTATTTGAATGTGGACCGTCTAGACTGCGATTTAGTTACTGCATTATCTGACTTTCTCCTCCCTAGATGTTTATTTCCCTTACAACAGTGTATTGACGAAGATATGATTGTTGCCGGGAGTATAATACACCAGAAACGCTTAAATGTAGCCACGTGAAGTGGGATATCAATGCGCCAAACGGGAAGCACGACGTGACGATGAAACATTGGACTAGCTACTCGTGCTTTACTCGATGAGGCCCCGGAGTTCTTCGAGCCCAAGCGACAAGTTGATGTTTTGGATTGCTTGGGACGCCGCGCCTTTGAGCAGGTTGTCGATGGTCACGACGAGCGCGACGCGGCCGCGGACGTTGTCGACGGAGATGCCGCCGATGGTCGTGTGGTGGTGCAACGCATTTTGCTTGACCTGTGGCACGTCGTCGATCACGTGCACCTGGGGTTCCGTCGCATAAAACGACTGGTACAGCGCCACAATCTGATCTTTCGTCATGGTCTTGTCCTGCAGCTGCATTGACAGCGTCAAGTGGATGCCCTGGAACCACGGCGCCACGTGCGGCATGAATGCCACTTGCGTGCCTAGCTGGTGGCTCACTTCGTTCTCGTGGATGTGCCCAACGCTCTTGTACGCAATCAAGTTGTCCGACAGCACGTTTAGGTCGTTGTTGGGGGACAAGCCGGTGCCGGCCCCGCTGTAGCCCGACACGCCGAACACATGGGGGGGGTGGGAAGGGGCCAAGAAGGGGAGGAGGGGGAGGATCCCTAGCTGCGCGCCCGTGGCATAACACCCAGGGTTGGAGATGCGCTTGGCGTTGTGCAGCAGAAGCCGCTTGCCGGGCACTTCAGGCAACCCGTACACCCAGTTGTCATTGAACCGCTGGTCGGCACTCAAGTCGATGATCACTTGGTCCTTCTTCTTCTTGCCGCGAAGCAGCCTCTCCAGCGCCACCGCGTACCGTTGGCAATGACCATTTGGCAAGGCGAGCACCCACACGTCCATTTCCTTGGCCAGGGCGGACGACGCCAAGTCGCCATCTTCCAACGCGCAAAACTCGAGCTCGGGGTGGATGCCTTCCAACTTAGCAGGCTGGCTAGCCAATACCGTCGCGGGGGCGTTCGTGTGCGGGTTGAGCGGCGGCGCCTGGGCAATGTCGAGCACCTTTTGGCCTACCAGGGCGCGGGAGCTGGCCACGACAAGCTCCAGGTCTGAGTGCCCCCCTACCACGCGAATGAGCTCGCGGCCGACGTAGCCCCGGGCGCCAAGCAGCCCGACTTTGTACTTGTTTGAGTTGAAGTGCAGCGGTTGGGGGGTGCCATCGCCTCCTCCGCGGGTGCACACGGTGCCGGTGCTGTAATCGCTGAGGATTTCGCGGCTCAATGCTGACGCGGATGTCAGCACCACGGACGACGACCGAGGCAGCGCATTCAGAAGCAAGTTGATCTCGTTGAGCTTGAGCAATGTGCCTTGTCGCCCCGTGTAGTCGCGCGCCGCCATCGGTTCGTAGTCTGTGCTCATGTCAATCGTGGGCAATTTCACGCCGTCCTCAATCCAGCCCCCCTTCGAGTTAATGAAGATGGTTTTGTACGGCTGCAGTGTAATCGCCAGTTCGCGAGCTGCAATGTCGGCGTTGATGTTGAGCAGCTGGCCGTCCACGGACTCGCCAAGCGACGACAGCACCGGGATCTGGTTGGACGCGATGGCCGAGTAGACCGACTCGCCGTGGATCTTGTCCACTTCCCCCACGTACCCGTACACGTCGAGGTCGCGGATGGACGCCTCGAAGACCCCGTTTGTAATTGGACGCACGCCGACGCCAGCCTGCGCCAGTGCGTCGACCAGTTTGCGGTTGGCCGCGAGGAACACGCGCTTCGCGATGGCGAGGGTCGCCTTGTCTGTGACGCGGTTGCCCTTGACGTACTTGGGCTCGACACCGGCCTTGGCCAGCTCGTCGTTCATCTGGGGACCCGCGCCGTGCACGACAATCGGAAACAACCCCGCGTCTTTGAGAAAGATGAGCGACTTCACCAACACGTCGAGCTCGCGATCGACCACTTCACCGCCGATTTTGATCACCGTCGTGCGACGAAGACCAGGCGTACCGTACACTTTCAGGTACTCCTGAATGTCTTTGTCCGACTTCATGAGTGTCAACAACTGCTTGACCAGTTCCGGACTGCTCGGCAGCGCAGTCGTCGATGTATGGAGCGCTCGGCGAGCAATGCTTGCCGATGCCACCTTGCGGAATCCAGTCGCTGCGACAGCCGAGCGCTGGACAGGCTTGCCCTTCGCCGCCAGGTGGGTTGCTAGGGACAGGAGTTGCCGAGGTCGAAGCATCTGGTCAAAAGTTTCCAACACAAATTTGGAAATGTGGCTCTGCTTCAAGATCGGCCAGAAAGTCATGGTAGTTTTCCTCCAATTCGTACTTAACTGGGATTGCGCCCCTGCGATACCCATAAGATGGCCGTTTCCACTGAACTCCTTGGCTCTTCATGCATATTGTACACACGCACATGCTGGAAGCACATTGTCGACACCACCATGGCGTGGATCTCGTAGAGATTACAGTGCCAGCTCCACGGCATCATCACGCAAGCAGCATTTAACCGGGTGCATGGTATGGTGGGATTCTTGTGGTCACCCTCCCACGTTGACGAGTCCAACTGTGAGTGTCCGGCACCGTGGCTTGCGATTCCAGAGCATGCTGATCTTACTAGAAGAGCCGCCACACGTGTGTACTTGCAACCAGTCCACATGCCTACATCCATGCTGTCGGACAAAGGCCACTACATCGACGTTTGCTGAGTCGAAGCAATCTCATGCTGTACTATGCAAGTGTTTGCGACTGTAAAGACTCCATTAAATGGCGGGATATTTGCCCCGCAAGAACTTGAGTTGCGCATTCCGCAGGGCTTTCTCCATGATCGGCACTTCCACGCGAGGTGGCGGGCGGTAGACGGCGTCGAGAGGACTGGGCTGATAAACTACCAGTAACGTAAAAAGAAAGCCGTCGTCAGTACAGAACGTCACTACCGTAGGGGGGGGCTGCTGCTGCTTTCGGTCGCAGGCGCGTTGGTCTGGCCAGTTGCGCTCCTTTTTGCACGCGGTCGAGCCGTTCCAATTGCGCCGCGGGGTCCACTATCGAGTGTTTCTACAGGCAATCAACTAGTTAGACCAACTAGTCATTGTACTCTGTAGAGACGTTACCTGCAACACAGACCCGTGGCCGTCCATAGCCATCACGAGCGCTTCAAACTTGTCGGCCACTTCCTGCGTTTCTCCCCCGTCGTGGTGCCGCCGCAGACTGAAAAATCGGGCCGAGCATCGAAAAAGGCACTCGATAAACTCGGGAAACGTCAGCCCTTCAGCCACCGAACTATCCACAGACATAGGTCCTTCCTTGTTCACATAGAAATACTACGATATGCTTTCAAAGACAAGGAAGTACCTACCTGGACAAGTCAAAGCTTGACGACAACTCGCGCCGCGTGAAAAACTACAAGTAGCTCAGCCTCGGCCGACGACAACACATTCACCGCCGTTATCATAACGTTACCATGGGAAAGATGTGGCAGGACTTCGCAATCGACACAAACTCGTCCTTGGTCACCACAGCGTGGCGTAGCATGGTCCCCCCCCCCGTGGTCCCGATTCGTTTCAAACATGGAGCCATGAAGAACGACCGCAGCAACTTGCGGTGCTGCTCTATCAGCCGCAGCACGTGCACCACCAGCATGGTCGGCGGGGTCGTAAAGTTGCTTAGCAACGCGACGGGTGTTTTGATCATCAAGAGCCGCTTCAGGTGGCGGCACGTGGCGAGGGCGGGCATGGCGTCGTAGGTACAGTCGAGGTCATGGAATCTACTTGACTGGGTTTTTGTGAACGTGTCCACTTGCAGAGCCGACCGATGTTGGGCCACCAGGTCCAAGTACCTGCAAAACGTGGCCAAGTCCAGAGTGATGTTGTGGGATGGCGAAGAATTCGGCGGATGGAGGAGGGCGCGAACGAGGATGCGCTTGGACTCGTGGAACGAAAAGTCGTTGTACATCCATCCTAGCATCCGAACGCAGTCAAAGAGGCGCACGGCGCGTTGGCCTGCCACGGGCAAGCCATCGATGGGGGGAAAGGTCAAATAGTGATGGAACACGTCTGAGATGCACTCATTCCAGGTCACGACTGGTGGGGGTACACAAGGGGATACAGGGGGGGGGGAGTCCACAGGAGCGAGGTTGACTGGGGAAGCAGCTTCCGGCGTCCCGATGAAGTCGTCCGCCCAATGATGGGAATCGTCACATGCCAACGACACCAAGTCGGGAGCTGTGGGATTGTCGTTGGGAACGGGGCGACTTTGTACTGGTGGGGGTGATTCGGAACGAAATGTCGATTCCATGGTATGGGGCGAGCACTCCAATGCTTCGATTTGTGCTTGGTGTGGAGGACTTTCTGTCCACGAATCTGGAATGGAGTTGTCCAAGTTGGTGCAGCTGTAGGAAAGCTGGCGGTCGTACGTGTGGGTTTCATAGGGCGCGTTAGGTTGCACCTCGTCACAGGGTTCAGTTGGACACATAGCATCCAAAGACTCAAACATATCGTTTGGATTATCACCATTCGAACGAGCACCGGTCATACTTGCAACCGTATTCGCTCCATTCCAGTCGATGGGGGAACTAGGTGGCGACGCCACCTCGATTGAATCGTCGCCCGACAACACTGGCACTTTGGTGGTAGGCTGGTCTGTGGAGGCAGTCGCGATTGGACTAATTTTGCTGTCTTTTCTCATATCTTTGTGCAACTTGACCTTTGCCGTTCTTGTCGTCATTGCTGAAGTGCCATTTGTTCGAAGCGTTGTGTGAGTCAACTCAAGTGGCCTCCCACTGGACGACGGTTCACTTGTCTTCTGACTATGTCGAGGGGATCTGGGCTTGTGTGGCAAACCAGAGCTCAAAGAAGCAGCAGTAGATCGCTTTGCTGTCTTGGTCGTCGGGGAAGGAGGGGGCTGTAATGGAGGGTACTTCCGAGACGGCGGTGTAACTTGACTACTTTGCGACTTCAACTTGGCCGACATGGCTTGAATCTCGCGCTGTCGAGCTGTATATGACGAGGAAGTCGTCGTCGTCCGTTGCGGCTGCTTGGCCATTTTGATCTGAGTAGCTCGCAGCAGCTGCGTTTGCTTTTGCATGAGCACCGCTCTCCACCACGCCTTCAGGCACCGCAGGCCCACGCGGTGGAGACAAAACCAGTCGGCCATTCGCTGGGGTTGGGCCACGCGGTTGCAAAACGCGTGGAAGTGCCGATACAGGGCATACATGTCTGCCAATCTGCGCTGGCGGACCGCGGCTTGGACATGGATCAAGCACTGCCGCTTGGTTGCCATGTACTCATGCCGACGGACGGCAATGGCATCGACGTAGACACACCACCGCCGAAACGTGGAGATTTGACGAGCCCCCGCTTGTCCCTCGCGGAACAGCCGTAGGTGCCGACCCGTGACTCGCAAAGTCGACCGGCAGTCGCGGGCGTAGGCTCCCCACCGACGAAACAGGAGCTGCAGCTTATACACCCCCAGCCACCGTCGCCACATGGGGCGGCATCTTCGTTGCCATCTAATCCATCGAGCGAGCGCGTTCTGCCGCCGTCGCAAATGAGTTCGTCGCCATGCGGCAAACACTAGCACACACACGGCAAGTTGGCGGCGATGTCGGCGACTCCAGAGCATCGCGGCCAAGCGCTTCCGTCCGTCTGCCACAGCGCGCCACGTCATCAGGATTCCACGGAGGTGACGACTCCATGTTGCCGCGAAATGTGTCTGGGCCAGTTGATGTTGCACGAACCGCAACCGCCAAATGGCATACGCTCTGCCCACGAGTTGGCTGGCGTGGGTGTTGGTTATTACGATGCCCCGTTGCAAGATGAACCGCCGACGGGCGACGCCGTCTCGCCACGTTTGAAACTGGCGCCTCTGAACATGTGTGATCGCGACTTTAGCCGCCGCTTGTGTCTGCACTTGGCGGAGTTGATGGACGCGGGTCCATGCGTTCCACCAGCGGAACGTTCGGCGAACAGTCCGATGCCGCCGACGGAAGTGCAAGCGTCGACTCGCGTGGGTTGTGGCGACGACATGGACCCAGTGCCCCCACGTCTGCGTCAACCGGGTGCTTCGGAGGAGTGCGTCGGCCGAGTCCTGTGCCTGAACGCAATGGCGAAACTGCTGCCATCCCCGAAACCACCGCCGCAGAAGTGGCATGCGACGACGGTGAGTCCAGAACCAATTGACGGCGTGGCGGTGGTCGACAGTGACGCGCACGACGGCGCGCCATGTCCGCCAATGGCATTGCAGCACGTGGCGATGCCGCCACACCAGCGCTTGGCGCAGCTTCACACGAGATGCCTTATCTAGTTGCCGTCGTACCCACAACCAATGCAGTCCCGTGGTCAGTCGTTTTCGCTCCACAAACGACTCGGCGCGTGCCAGCCATTCGTTTCGCCGTCGTCGACGGTGGACATAATCCATCCACACCTGCCAATGCCGACGATGTACGTTCCCCCGGTGCATTTGCAGCGCTCGCGCGACCAACTCACGATGCATGCGACGGTGTCGAGTCACGTGGCGTAGAGCTGTCAACGTCCGACGTCCAAGGAGCCGCGTGTAAAAGTCCACACCACGTCGCATGCGCACGCACTGGATGTGGGCGGCTGCTTCCAGCCGACGCAAGGCGTTTTGGACGAGCTTGTGGGCATGGAAGGACGCCGCGACTGCGCGAAGGACGCGGCGGTGCCGTTGGGCTTTGGCTAGAGCATTCCACTGGGCCACGCAACGTTGAACCCTCCAATCTTCCAACGTGATGACAATAGCAGAACGTTCCAGCTGCACGTCGGTGCGTTGCCGCCAAGCCTTCAAGTAGACCTACGGTCGGGATCAATATCGCTTTGTAAACTGTCAACGTACTTTGGTCACTTGAGCGTGCAAACGATGCAGCGTCGCAGAAATCACATGCGCAAGCCGACGGTGCCGTGTCCAGTGACCCAAGATACGTCTTAGCCGGACGTGGTTCTGGACATGGCAGAGTCGACCCGTTGCTCGGGCAATTTGGCGACTTTGACGCCATCGCAGAAACCAAACAGCTTGACGATGCAACGTTGCCATGGTTGTTAAACGATGCAGTTCTCGGTAGCGCTTGATATGCATGATCCATTTGTTCACGGCGATCGCGCAACGGAGCTGCGCCATGGACGCCGCGCATTCCGCCGCGTACTGCCGCATGTCGGCTTGCCGTTTGGCAAATATGTTCCATCGGTGGAACGTGGGAGCGATGATGTGTTGCCGACGATGCCGTTGGATCCATGCATGATGGGCCAGAAGCGTGAACACCCGCCGGTTGAGGAAGGCGTGGGCCAGGTTGACAAGAATGCACATGCCGCGATGTCGAGAGCACCGCGTTTTGGAGTGTCGTCGCCATGCCAGCAGGATGCCGCGAAGCATGCATCGAGGGCGGAGAAGCATGGGGCGGTTCGTGTACCAACTCCTCAGTCGCATCCGCTGGGCCTGCCATCGGTGCCACACTCGAAGCCTGCGCTGAAGGTGCCAGGTCTCCATGTCCATGCATCGCAAGTTGTTTTCCCTTCTTCTTCTAGTAACTTCATGCCATTGAAAGAACGACCGTTGTACTAGGCGGCAGTCGAACGAATGCACAGCTACCTTCGTAGCCCGAGAAGCCACGGTGAAGTGCCGCCATTGACGAAAGGAGTGTCGTAATACAGGACCTCGCTTTGGCAAACTAATGATTGCATCGCTCGGTCCTGACGGCGGGTGTATCCTTGCGATGGTGTCTTCTCGCGTAATTGGGGGAGGCCCGTGATGAACCTGTAGCATCGACTGTGCCTTCTTCTTCGGTCGATGACCTTGCAACGAGCGAGTCTCAGTCTCGCGTAGGACCATGGTGTGGCCATGAGACTGCGGGAAGTCGACATCATCTACGATCCCGAGCTGTGCGAGGTAGGCTAACTGCTTTTCGATCAACGCCACATCAAGCGGCGGATCGTTCAGCCCCATGCAACGAATTGTATCTTGCGCTGCGGGGTTTGCTGCGATCTGATTGGCCGAGATGCCATTTTCGAATTTGCCAGCAAGGACACAAGTGAAAGTGCGCGAATGTGACATCTGTACGATGGAACGCCTTAACACAAGGCGACGTTATAGTGCGACGGATATTATATGAACGTATGCAGCGAGAGTCACTCGTTTATTTGGACTTCTTGTCCTCGACCTTCTTGTCCTCGACCTTCTTGTCGTCCACCTTCTTGTCTTCTTCGTCTTCTTCGCTGTACGCGAGCAACTCCTTCAACTCCCCTCGAACCAATCCTTGGATCAACGACGATCCCAAGCAACCGGGCACTAGGTACAACAACGCCGGCTGGGCGTGGTTGAAGAACACCATCACAATCACAGTCGCCACCAGCGCCAGCACGTAAAACAACACGTTCACATGGAAGTAGGGTCGGGCAAATGGCTGGTCGTCGTGGGTGACCCCGGCGCGGAACGCATCAAAGCGGAGCAACAGCGCTACAAAGATGCCGGGAATGACAATATCGCCGAGACCCAAGAGAGAAAACTTGGCCTTTTCGGTGGCCGTGGCAAACACGCGGGGAAACAAGAGCTTGATGGGGCCGTCAAACTTGGTCGCAACCGTGACCATGACGTCGGTGCCGAAGACCCAAAAGATGTCGTAAAAGAAGAGCCCGACCAGCAAGATGGCGCCGACCTTGTACGATCCCAAGCTCAGGGATTCAATGCCCTTGATCGCCAACGATGTGGCGAAGATGTTGTTGAGGACAAAATGCTTGGTTTGGAACCACGCGGCGGCAAAGATGGCCGCGAGCACGCCCGTGACGACCCACGACGCCGTCAAGTCCAACGTCTTCAAGCCAAAGTACGGAAGCGTAAACTTGCGGACGAAGTGGGATTCGTTTTCGGAAAACGCGACCTGGCGCACGATGGGCGAGAACGCGTCCGTCAAACTGTACGTGCCAATGAGGGCAAAGTACGTCGTGAGGAGGAGGTTCACGACCTCCTTGTCGAAGAACTTGAAGGCCAGGTACAACCCCAGGAGCATCGCCGATCCGATCACGGGAAACATGTACGCGTCCTCTTTGGTCATTGCGTCTTCGTTCTTTTCACCCGCGGCTTCGCGCTTGTGCTTGAGTTTGAGGGACAGCGTGGCGCCAATGTACACGATGGACGTGGCCGACAAGATCAGCTGGACGTTCACGGGGATCAGGACAAAGTTGGACGCGGCGATGATGCTGATGAGGACCACATAGCACAGCGTCTGGACCGAGTCGTGCTGCGCCATGTTGATATTCGAAACTGAACTGTGATCAAACAAGGTGTTGTTCTGTCGTTTGATGGCCGCATACTGGGTGATGACGTGGTTCAAAATATATTGGGATTTGTATGTAACTTACGATTTCCGGATAATTTTCTCTCAAACTCAAACTCAAAAGCAAAAGGACCTCAACCGCCACTGATTGGTCCGACCGAAATCGCACCACTATTGCCATGGAACTTGAAGACTGGGACGACCTCGACGCGGACGTGGCAGCGGCAGCGGATGCTGCGATCTCACAGGCAGACACGTACCACATCTCCGTGGCGAACATTATGGCCACGTTTGATCTAGCGACCAAGATTGATCTCAAAGAGCTTGTCATGAATGCGCGCAACGTCGAGTATAACCCACGGGTGCGCGCCCGTCGTCGTGGTCCTGAGGACGATGATCGTCAATGTGTAGAGGTTTCAAGGAGCGATCATGCGGCTTCGAGAACCCAAATCGACGGTCATTATCTTCGGCACGGGCAAGGTTCGTTCCACTTCTGGACTGCACGGAATCCATCGTCTGATTGGTTCGTAGGTCGTGGTCGTGGGCATGAAAGCTGTCTCGGAGTTGGAGATCGTGGCCCGTAAAGTTGAAAGCATTGTGCGGGTAAGCACAGTTCTATGGACCAGCGCGTCGGTCAGTATCTGTGGCTCATTCAATGCCATCACGTGTGTAGAAAATCGGGTTCACAGCGGCCACGGCGCAGTTCCTATCCGTTCGAAACATCACTGCCACGGCCAAGACGCCGTACCCTATCCGCCTGGAAGGCATCTTGACCCAACATTCTTCATTTTGCACCGTAAGCGTCATGTACGTTGTGGATCCATGCGTTACCGCTTGTGGTGGATAGTACGAGCCAGAGCTGTTTCCAGCGTTGTACTACCGCATGCTCGAGCCCAAGCTCTGTTTTATCGTGTTTGTTTCAGGAAAAGTTGTCGTGTGCGGTGCCAAGGTATGGGAATTATACTAGCCTAACGGTACATGTGTTCGCTCACGGTCTGAAGCAGGCGATGGACGAGGTCACGGACGGGTTTGCAAATCTGATGCCAGTCCTGCGGCAACATCGACCCCGCGGCTACGCATGATCCACATCAGTATTAAAATATATTATTTCATTATTTAGAAATGTCGTGCTCAGTTGTTAGATTGGTTTTGAGACTGGGGTATAGGACGCGCGCAGGTGTTGGAATTCTGCATCTATCATACAAAACCCCATATAAATGTGATTTCATTAGGAAAAGCACAGGACACAACTCTATTCGATGCTGTCGGGCACTGTAAATTTCACTTCGCTAAGGTCTTGGGGTAGAGAAATGGCTGGTATTCTCCTACGATTTCTCGCCAGAAGCCGATGGAACCCCAATTGATATAGCGACGTTCACACCAACTCCAAAAAAACTGAAAACGCCTCGGACGTTGTTCAAGTTCATTAAGTCGCGAACGTGCAGCCGCAGAAAGTGCTTGACAGGTCAAGCGGCGAGTTGGTCATGTTTTGTCCTCGAGGAGGGTCTTGGTTTGGAGGCACGTGTGCACCAAAGTGGTTTCGACGAGTTAAATGTTGCAGTGCGAGGATGGAAGAGGAGGGCACTTTGCATTGCGACGTGCTTCTAGCGGGAACCATAACACGCTCTTGGTACTTTTGAATTTACGCAAATGGAAAATGCAGCACCTGAAGGACATTTAGCATTATTCTAAGTAGGATTTAGTGAATCGTGAATGACCTCAAAAGGTTACTAAAAGTTACCGGTAGTGTGAAGTATGTAGTGGGGCGAACTCACTTTTCTGTGCCGCTGGATAATGTTGCTTCAACTTGCTGGTAGTGCCTGATTAGATGAGATTGAAGTGATTTTCACTCTATGGCCCCCAATTTGTTCCCCGACCAGGCCTTAAAATGTATGTATAAACTTGCCACAATCGCGTATCACCGCCTGTCTGTTACGCTGACAGGCCTGTCATTTACGTAACGTTACGAACCTCAAACCACATACTATTAGTAGTAATAACGTTAACGGTATTAACAACCAAGATACCAAATTTAGGAGAGCATTGTATTGCCCAATCACACCTCGTTATTTGCTCGAGTCAAAACCTCTGTAATATACTACCTCTGTCCCACTTATATTGATCCCAGTACCAGCTACGTACAATTTCTATAAAATTATACAGTTTATGACAGACTATACCACCACGTATGTGAACCGAAACCTCTATCTATGGATAATTCAACACTCAGATCAGATATTATTTATCAAAACAAATTGATGAGTACGGTGAAAATATTCATCATTCCTCAGTTCTAGGCGCCCACCGATAATCAAATATCAGTTTACACGGTATAAGTTTGCCCAATTTAGGACAACACTTTTTATCTTGAAGTATGCATGTGGTGGAGCATTGAAAATCTGTATTTAGGATAAGCGGTTATTACAGATTAACGTAATATATATATAATTTACACAAGGTTATTGTTTTGTAGAGTTTGTATTTATGCTGTGGAAGTACAGTGTATGTTTACCGAGTTTGAACATTTCAAAAATAATATCCCATTTTCTCGCGACTGGGGATTAACCAAAATGCCATTAACGTTATGACGATGGAGGTAAAAGGTCCATTTTGTAATATGGCATTTTGGACCTCTTCAACGAGTAAATCCCACGTCGATTTATTGGATTTGGGTTAAAACTCTTCACTGCTCACATGGCAGAACTCAACTATCGTAACGGACGCAAAGTTATGTCCATTCTACTCCGACGCCTGCAAAAAAGTTTTTTGTGAACATGCACTTATGCATCTGTGTTTGAAGTAATACTGCGTAGTGCTCTGTGAGGAGGAGAGTGTACCACCTTGCTTCTACTAACGACATATCGAAAATAGAAGTATTTTTAAAGCCAAAAACAATAAAAAATCATCTGATAACCTTGGCGGGAGTTCCCAATTATCTCAGTTCAAATGATGTGAGCGAATAAAAATATTTAAATCATAGTACAGTACTAATTGAAAGGGACTTTTATATTACACTCGTACTAACGTTTTACAAGAAACGTCGCTTGGAATACTATTCGCCCATTTCGGTTATAATTTTAGGTGACTAGATAACATGATTGTAAGAATAACACGTCAACATTTGGAGATGTTTCGAGCAAAATTGAAGAAATTATGAAAAATTTGGGAGACGGTTCGCCCAAACGTACGGTATCTCCTCCTTGTTTGGCACCACATGCGCACTTCAACGTGGATTGTCCCAAAAGAACTTGATGTTTGTATGTGGACTTTAAATTCTCGACCTGGACAAAGTCAGGAGGGTGTACACAACTGTTTTAATTCATAATAAAATTATTCATATCATTGCGATACGTTATATGCATTTTGTGTATCCAAATGTATTAAAATACCTGATTATATCGTACAGCATGCCGTCGCCTACTGATTGTCATATCCGAATAAACGTAGTATGCAAACCGGAATCTCAAAATATCGAACTCTGCGATTGACTCGCTCAACGCGAAGCCGCGATGCTGTCGACGAATCATGCGCCACCCACCGTGGAAGTGAACCCACTCAAGTTGATCAACCATGACAACTTGCGTGACCTCAATTCTTTCCTTGGACTTGGTACACGACGAACTCTGTTGATGGAGGCTGACGCTCTGTTGTCCAGGCGAGCAAGTGCAAACACCATACACATTCCCCCGCTCCAAGGGCGAGATGGTGCGGCGATTTCAGCGGAATGTCATCTACTTCGTAGCCAACTATGCTGTGGTTATCTTCTTCGTAACATTGATCAACGCGTACGCTTCAAGACGGGCATGCTATAGCTATTGACTGACTTTAACCTGTAGGCTCGTCGTCCCTCAGTTTCTCTTCATCTTGATGCTCATGGGCGCGGGATGGTATTACTGCGATAAGTTAGCGACGGAGGAGTCGCAGATGACAGGACCGACATTCATCTTCGGTGTGCCGACCACGACGGAGCAACGAAATGGTATCATGGCCATTGGTAAGAAAGAACAACGCGATGTCTCTCAATACTAACACCTCGATGAAGTCTCGATTGTCCTTTCGGCCATTTATGGAGGTCCTGTGCTCTTGTACGCTGCTACCACGAGGTAATGCACTCAAACTCTTCGAAGATCGTTTGATGTGTTGTTATGCTTCCAGTGCGTTCATCTGTGTTTCCCACGCATGCCTTCGCAATGCGCAGCTACCTTCCGACGAAGAACTTGTGCATTTACTGCAACTAAAGCCCGAAGGCAATGCTCCCGTCATTACGCCGTATGGCCGCGACAATGGCTACATTGTCGTCTAGTACGGCGCGTCTATATCTATCGTCATCGTAACGAAAAAAATTCCATTCGATTGAGCTCGTGTTCCTCTTGCATTACGCCGTTCGTCGCATATGTTCATGGTTTACAGCTTGTGTACTTCCTGGCAAATTCGAAAATGAATCCTCGACCAATCAGATCGCAGGAAAACTCGCGAGTCAATATTTTAAAAAATGACGCGATCGGCCGACGGAGATGTGTCCGAGACGTCGGTGGCACTGTACCATGCAGCAGAAGTCGACGGTATCCCATATTCATACGAGTACACGCACGACACAACGCTGCCCATGGGCGTGGATGATGCATTCGACATGTGGATCAATGAAGTGTGGGTGGGAGTAAGTCTGACTTGTGAAGTGCAATGCCTGAGCTGAATCTCATGTGTGTATGATGATACAGGGGGGGTTTCCACCGTCCAAGGTGCCTTTTGTGCTTGAAAAGGAAGGACAGGGGCGTGGCCGAGAGGGGTCTATTCGTCGAGCTTACTATGGACTTATTCGCGAAGAGATACTTCAAGTGGGAAGTCGGCAACCCTCCCCGTCTTCGGGTACCAAACACGATGGCAAGCCCCGCATCCGTACGGTGCTGTACCAGGCCCCGACAATGCCCCTTCCGTTCCATCATTACAAAGGACTAGTGCGATTCATCCCATCAAGGCGACGATCAAACCCTCATCAGATGGAGCGGCAAACTCGCCCCCAAGCGTTGGGACATGACGTGGTTTGGGGGGCTCTTCGCCAGCCTCGTCTTCGTCCTGTTTCGCTTTGCTGTGGGGCAAATGGTGACTGGGTGGACTGTCCACGCAACCACGTTATCGAACAAGGCGAAGAAGCGGCACTAATATGACTAACCATTGCAGAAGTAACCAATCGTCATGACTACGACTGTAGTACTATAATAGGCTATGGCACTACTTTATTGCGTAGAATGCGGCATGTACAGTCCAATGCACGGCACATATGACCCGATTATCAGATAGAACAACATGCCTTATCGATTAGCAAGCTTTGTTTTGAATGGGTTAAGGCTCCGGGAGCACGACATCGTCGCTAAAGCCAAGGTCGTCGTCGTCTGGGATGTTGGAATTTCGGAGAAATGCATGCGATGCAGACAGCAATGCGCTAGAAACGAGCAGGAATGAGTTGTGAGTGAGGGAGGGTTCAAAGGATAAGGACATTATACCTCATGGACGCGATACTGAATAGGACCGACCCGCCAAAGTAAATGATGAGCACTGCGGTGACTACGTGGAGATCAAACACGTGTGAGGAAGATGTCGGGATTGAGGGGAGAATCGTACGGCCAATCAGTCCCATGTTGCGCTGGGCCGCGTCCACGGGTCGACCCATGACTGTGAACTTGTTCTCTTCGGTTTCGGTGGTAGAAATCTGCGCATTTTGGTACCATCCACCGGCGATGCACATGAGTACGAATAAAAAGAACGGGTTCATCAAGCTACGTTGACGTGTCAGCACGAGGACTCAAACAACGATGGATGAGGTATGCATTTGTACATGGAAATGAAGCCGACGAGGATGGCCACACACGCGTAGTTGGTCGCGAAGTAGAGCAGGTTCTTGCGGGTGCGAGCCATCATGACAGCCTTGGCGGGAACTTGAAACGGCTTTTGCTCACCGAGGCCAAAGAATAGCACCACGCCGCGCAGGTTCTTTAGCGACAACACATCCTTGAGTTTAGCCTTCAGCGCATCCAACTGGCCGACGGGAATGGCGGGCGAAGGAATGGAGTTCACGTCGGCCTTCTTCTCGGTCATGGCGCTTGTTCGTGAAATGAATAAAACGTCCACGTAGGGAGTATTCAGCCTATTTAGGGTTAATTTGGACAACTGTGCTGGATAAAACGTCCACGTAGGAGTATTTAGCCTATTTAGCGTTAACCAGGACATTATTTATCCTATTTAGACGAATTGCCGTTGGTGCCGTGGGGATCCACAATTGGTTGAAAATTATAGTATTCTATATTTATAACCAATGCATGGCGATCGGTCATTACAAATACGATAGTCCTCATTACGTTCCTAATCAGGATATTGCCTGATTTTATGGTCGGCAATATCCTGATTAGGAACTTAGTGAGGACTACCATAAAATATTCGAAAGGTTTCGCGATGGCGGAAACTGAGGTGGGTAAATGGCTGCAGCGCGACGTGAATTGCTTGTCCGATCCGCAGCGCATGGTGCGCAAGAAGTCGTTGGAGAAGCTTAGTCAAGTGAGCGACCTAGTGGCCAAGTTTGGCCAGGACCATCTTCTTCAGTTCTTCCACGCGCAGCTCATAAAGCCATTGCTTGTGTGCGTCGCTGATCCCGTGGAGAAGTGCCGCGAATTGAGTCTACGCGGCAGCATTGACTTTGCCAAGTTGGGTGCATTCAACAGCGAAGAGCGTGTGCGTGCATTGATCCTTGCAATCTACGGTCGTGTGGGCAAAGCTCCATTCGTGGAAACGGCCGAGGAAATCCGGCTCCTGCTCCTGGAACTACTCCATGCGGTTTTGCAGCGGACGCCCACAGAGCAGTCTCTGCCCGCCGAAGTGATGGATGTGCTAGGCAAGACAGCGTCCGATCCGTTCCCAGACGCGAAGAAAGCATGCTGCGACGCCACGCTCGTGCTGGCGCACAAGTGGAAATCGCTGGTGAAGCTGCATCTGGGCACCGTCGTCAAGCCATTGACCATGAACCTTGGCCACCAGCATGCCAAGATTCGGCAGTGCACTTTGCAGGTACGTACATACGTACGAGCGAGTGGACCTCTCACAATCTCTCACAACATAGGCGTTGGAAGCAGTGGTGCCATGTGGTTCGTCGTCTCTGCCAGAGCTCATGAAGGACATTTTGCTTCCCAACCTGAGCAAAGTTCTCTTTGATCGATCTCCGTCCGTTCGCAAGCAACTGGTGCAAACGACAGGCTCGTGGCTCGAACACATTGACGAACTTCGGCAGTTTGAAGCGGCGTTGCTGCCGCTGTTTCTGTCGGGCATCGCAGACGAGTCCCCCGACGTGCAGTCGTTTTGCTTGACGTTTCTCGACAAGCTCAGTGTCAAGTGGCAACAGACTGAGGAAGGGGCTGCCGACATGGACATCACCGACGATGATGCATCGGCGTACGTCGAGTCGCCGCCGTTCCTCCGTCGACCCGGTCGCGGCGCCATTCGCCTTGTCCAACGACTCTTGGGCACCGTGTTGCCTTCGCTGCTGGATCAGTGTTCCGACTGGACGGTACTGGATGTAGATGGAAAAATACTCCATATGCAAACTGAACGACATTGGGCTGTTTATAGGCTCTGACACGTCAAAAAGCGGCCAGCATTCTCCGTGTGGTACTGATTCTTGCCGAAGACGCCGTGAACGCGCACGTGGACAAGATCTTGACGGCGCTGGCTAAGTCCTGTCGGGACGAAGAAGCTTCCGTCGTCGAAGCGGTTGCCGGGAGCATGCAGATTGTGGGCCGCCACGGCCACGCCGACTTGGTCTTCTCACTCCTCTTGCCGTTGGTTCGTTTCGAAACATCCCTCTATATATCGTCCATCTTCACATGTATATGTATCAATGATTAGGCGGCGGGGCGACTGGCCGGCCAAGACACGCCGCATCACCGAACCAACGGCCTCGTGCTGTTGTCCATGGCGATTGCAGGCATGGAAGCCCCTCGGATTCTACCCCACATGGAGGTATACACAGATGAATGAACTATATACCCATCTATCTCTCTCTCTATGATATATATTTAGTACTAGACCAACCGATTGATATCGTGTGTGTGTATATGGAATTGCCTAGACGATCACGGCAACACTGTCGGAAGCTGGCTTGCGTGACACGGACGTGCCTGAAATGCAGCAATACCTGGCCAAGTTGACGTCGACGATTGTCACGACGGGCAGTCCGCTGTTTGCGAGTCATGACGTACTGGCGTTTCGCTTGTTTTGGGTGCTCAACCACCTCGTGGCGGCCACACCCCAAGACTCTGTGGCGTTTTACACCGTAATATCAGCTCCAAGTTGAACTTGGAACATAAACACAGCAACGGTGCGATGGATTGTAGGCATACGAAGCGATGCAGAATCTGGCCACCGCGGCATGCAATGTCGACATTGAGGTAGTCATTGAGCGTTGAATTGTGTTTGGTCGTGGCTGATATCCTCGTCGTCGTCGTCGTCGTGGGGTGTATGTAGGGTCTGTATCGAAAGCACCTGAATCAACTCATCGCTGCCATTCGACCCAAGCCTGACGCTCCCGTGTGGACAAAAACGTCGTCCAGCCGCGTCTTGTTTGATTCGCTGTGTCGTCGCGGCGGCCGGGTACGTCGTCGCTTTGATTTGTGTCGACTTTTCACGTCTAATGAGTACTAGTTAGTTGATCAATGATGGTATTGTCTTTCTTTTACCCAAAATGCTAGACTTTAGTGGTAAATCTCCGCCAAATCTATCGATCGATATTGTTTGTACTGATATATTTTGTATGTAAAAAGAAAGGGTCCTGTGGGGATAGTGTGTGGCTTCAATTAGTGTGATACCACACTAATTGAAGCCACACACTAATTTGACGTTGATGATAGCTTCCTGCAATCTGATTGGCTAAATCCTACTTCTGCCGATGACTCTTGTATACATTTGGTTGTGTCGATTTATTCATTCTCGAAACACAACCATATATCTATGGGATTGATTTCACTGGTGTAGGCGACAGCAGACCAAATGCACGTCGTGGTGCCGATTGTGTTGGCGCACTTGGCACCGTCAAACGAGCCGGACGTGCGCTTGTCGTTCTTGGCGTTGCTCGAGACGTTGCTGGGGAATGACTTGATGGCCCAGGTGGGGATTCCTTTGATACACGTCTTTGATATGGAATGGTCGATTATTCCACGGGGATAATATATATATATAATATATATGTATAGGCGTTCCAGCCGTTTGCAGCGTCGTTGCTGGTCAAAGGTATCACGCCCAACATTGTGTGGCAATCAGGCAAAGTAGCAGCCACCGTTCGGTAGAGACAAACCATTCAAATGAACCAAAGGACAAACTACCTTTTCACCATCGAAACCAAAAACGTAGCAAAGTCGCCATGGCATGCACGTACACATTGTTGCGCCAAGGGCTGGCCAACCAACCAGCTTTGTTTGAAGCGGCGCCGCAAGTACGTTCGATATCCACGATGTGTAGCTAGCTAGCTAGCTGCTTGATATTTACAATTTTGATGATCGACATGGTTGACAAACATATATTTTTGTATTAGATGTTGCCTGTTCTCAAGTCGTGCTTGGATGACACCGACGCCAAGACACGGCAGCTCGTGTGTTTGTCATTGCAGCATCTGTTTGTGGCGTTACCCAATGCGCTGGGAGGTGGGCAGAGTGCTATAATTTGGGAATGGCCATCGTACGTGATATATCACAGGGTGTTGGGTGGGTAGAGGAGCCGGTGAGCCAGCTCTACCATGAGATCTTGAAGCGGCTAGACGACTCCAACGACCTCGTGCGCAAGGCAGCGTGTGCCACGTACATTACGTTCCTCCGCGCGGCGCCGCGCAGTCATTTCCGCGGCACAATCATCGAGTACTCGATGGACGCGCTGTTTGTGCACTTGGACGACTCGGACCCAGACGTCCAGGTAGAACGAACATACTCTCTCTACTGTGGATTCCATGATACTGTATCAGTACACCCTATTCATGTGTTTCAAACGTCCTAGGCGGCGGTGTACCAAGTGCTCAAGGAAACATTTGCGGTGGATCCAGACATGCTGACCAAGAAAGCAACCGACCACCGATCTCGCCATCGATCGCCTTATTACTGCGATAAACTGCTCGAGCTTTAACCAACCAACCAACGCCAACAAGCATCTCGTCGTCGCGACCAAGCAGTAGCAGCAGCAACTGCAAAGTGCCACATATAATGAATGTCAAGGTGATATTACACTTTGTTCTCGTCGTCGCTCTTGTCAAATGTGGCCGCATCGAACGAAGCTTCTGACGCAGCCTCATCGCTTTCGACTGCTATCGCCACCGCGGGCGTGAATGCTGCGGCACCTCTGGACTGGCGGGTACTTCGCGACGACCCCAAGATGAATCTCGTGTCGATGCCATCCAATTCCCGCTCCAAGTCCTTCTTCTTCTTCAACGCATTCATGTCATTTCGATTGGGGTACTTGCCGCCCCACGTGACCCCCACCTGGTCCAACCGATCCCTGAGAATCCCTTCCGCGTCGGCCACGGACGTCGCATCTCGGAGTTTCTTGTACAGTCCAGGCCTAGACGACCCAACATGAGAGGGAAGAAGGAGAAGGCGATGAAAGAAAGAGGGGGGACGTACGCCAGCACGCCTGCGATTTTCGCAAGTTGCTTGAGAGATTCCAACCCTGTCGAGGACGACTTGGCAGACGAAGGGGCCGCCCGCTGTTGCTGTTTCTTGGTTGACGGAGTTTTTCCTTTCGATGTCCGACGGCTTTTGGAGGGGCGGGGGCTGCTGCTGTCGTCGTCACTGCTGTATGACTTCTTGGCTTTGGGCTTTCGCTTGGTGGGAATGCGGACGTCGTCGCTCTCGTCGCTCTCGTCGGCACTCCGTGTGGTGGACGACGGCGAATTCGGTGATCGTTTCAAGAGTCGTTGCTTGTTGGATGCTGTTGCTTTGGTCGACCTCTGTCGAACGATAGCAATCGATGGATCGTCGGATGCGCTGCCGTCGTCGCTAGAGGACTCAACGGCGTTGCGCGCTCTCTTGGTCCCTGCATTAGATCGACGCACGAACTTACTGTCGCGGTCTGCTTCGTCGTCGTCGTCGGTATCCGACGGTTTTAACGGTAAGGTGGGAGCGCTCTCGTTGGTAGCCGGTTGCTTGGTCGTGGTTGCGGAAGGTGTCGCATGCACGACATTGGGATGCATGTTTTCACCGTCGCTGTCATCATCGCTGTCGTCCAAGAGTATGCGCTTTGACTTGGCCTTGAGCATGGGCGAAATCCTATGCTTGATTTCGCCGTCCGACTCATCGTCGTCGCCTTCATCAGCCTGCGTCGTCGCTGGTGTTGCCGGCGTGGACGACGCAGCTGCATGGCCCCCTTTGGTTGGCGTGGCCTCCGCCCCGTTGGGACAAAGGTGCAACAGTTCGCCAACGAGCACTTTGATCAGTGGTTTCCACGGCTTCAGGTCTTCCTTCTCGGCCCCCAGTGCTCGCTGAATGTGCTCCAGTAGATTGCTCAGCGTGACGGTGCGTGCATCCATCTTTGGCATGATTCTTTTCATCACATTCGCTAGCGCTTCTTCGCCAATGTCGACATGGTCCATCATCGTGTCTGGCAACTTGCCAGTTTCGCTATGGCGGGAAGAGCTGTGTCATCCGGATATTCTCATACACGACATTGTCGTTTTTGCACAACCAAGACAACGTTGTTATTTCGAAAAAATTATAATCGAGAGTATTTATAGTATTAATACTTCGAAGTTATCCGGATGACATCTCAATCGATTGTCACAATCAATCTACGAATCGCCCCGCGGGAGCCATGCTGGGACGTCTTGCGCTAGGGAGTGGGGGTAGAAGTCAAAACGAGTTGGCGGTGTCATCTTCGGCGACCGCTGCATGAACCTGGCTTGATGCGTTCCCATGTCCACGACTTCCAAATTGCGTTGAATGTCATCGGGCGAACTCGTTTCCACTGCTTCGCCTTCCTGGACCAGACCAAGGTGGCGCAACCACTCTGCCGTCCACGCAAGACACACCTCGACGTGTGTGTTTGACGGTGTCGCAGATGTCAACTTGCTGTGGAGTGCAGCTAGAATCCCAAACGCCAACAAGTACCCGGACGCATGATCCAACGCTTGCACCGGCAGCGGCGTCGGCGCGCTCTTCTCAAGGTGGCGCGCCTCCGCAACGTTGAGCCCCGTGGCTGTCTGCACCAAGCTGTCAAAGCCGCGCTTGTTCGCCCACGGTCCAGTTGTGCCGTACGCAGACAACGTGGCGACGATCAGCGACGGGTTCATGGCATGCAGAGACGCCTTGTCGAGGCCCTCAAAGGACTCAGCCAACGCGTTCGGTCGGTATGCATCGATGAACACGTCGGCAGATTGCACTAGCTCGTGGAACGTGGCCAAGTCTTGGGCATTTCGAAAATCCAGCTGAATCGTGCGCTTTCCTCGAGAAGTGTCGCCGTCACATGCTGGCAACGACGGCAGATGCGGCGCCGTCACCCAGAGCACGTCGGCGCCGTGGGAGGCCAAGGTCCGCCCGGCTACTGGTCCGGCAATCACGCGTGTCAAGCTCAGCACACGAAGGCCCGTGAGGCAGTTGGAGGGAGGGGAAGCTAACCCTGGCAGGTAGAATGGCGTTGTGGTGGTGGAGAAGGGGGATTGGCCTTCGACGACTGCAAAAGGAACGTGCTGGGTGGCTTCCATGCGCTGTTGCAGATGCTGTCCCATGGGATGAGAGGCCCATTCCGAAGGCGAGCGGCAGGCAGCCACACACATGCCTTTGGATGTCGCCAACGTTTCGAACTCGACCGCGTCGGTATCCAGGAGCGCGGCGGCGACGGAGGCACGGTCGGCAGTCGAAGGGAGTTGAAGCAATCGCAATATTCCGTCCTTGTGGTGAGGGAAGTTGGCATGCACGCGAACAAACCCGCCGTGCGCGGTGGGGTATAGGCCACTGACGGGATCCCAAACGTTCAACGGGGGTTCGCCGACACGGGGAAGAAAGTGGGATGGGGAGTCGAATTCGAGGCACGCGTCGCGGCGGTGGACATGCACGGGATGGGCCTGGCCCGTGCGAAGTCTGTAGATTTCCGATGCCGCCATCGCGCTGAGTGCAATGGAGATTGTCGCGGCGGACGTGACACGAAAGCCGCTGGCGAGGTAATGGGTGGCATCACCACCAAGGACGAGACGAGAAAGGGAAGAGGCAGGGAAGCCTGCATGCTCCCACAGTCGTGCGAACTCTTCCAAGTCGTTCATGAGGATGTGAACTAACAGGCGTCGGATTTTAGCTCGTGATGAGTGAATGTTGAAGTTGAGGTGATTGGGTGATTGCTCATATTCGTGCAAGTTGGGGTCCACTGCATATGGACACATCGACCGAGTGCGTCAAAGTGATGTCAAACACTCCGCCATCATCCAAGGAGCGCTTCCTGTCGCCATCACCTCCAAGGCTGTGACATCACCTTTGATGCCATTCAACTCATCGCACATGATTGGTGGATAAACAAACACATTGCGACATCTAATTCGTGGATAAGATGCATAGTTTTAACCAATCAAATGCATCTTCATAGTTCACTGGAGATTGACAGCTGAGCCTTTTGATTGGTCGACACGTGATGGGGTTTGGGTTTTAGAATTGTTGGTGGTTGGCAGGGGAGTATTTGGTCGGGAGGCCCATCGGTGGCGTTTTGCTCCAATCGCAACTTATCATCGCAATTGTAAGATGCCTTCCTACAGCCAAGAACCTGAAGACCAGAACACCTCGGCCAAGGCCCGTGGTCGCCACTTGCGCGTGCATTACAAGCACTGCCGTGAAGTGTGCCACACCATCAAAGGTTACTCGTTGGTCAAGGCCAAGAAGTTCTTGGGCGATGTGTTGGAATTTAAGGCCGCCGTGCCTTTCACCAAGTACACCGGAGGCCCTGGCCGCCACGCTCAAGGTAAGCTCTTGAACGCGCCCGGTGACAAGTGCCGATGGCCCCAAAAGGCCACCCGCATCATCTTGGACTTGGTCAAGAACGCGGAAGCCAACGCCGAATTGAAGGAATTGGACACGAGCAAGTTGTACATTGCCCATGCCCAAGCCAACATGGCCATCAAGCAACGCCGCCGCACCTACCGTGCCCACGGTCGCATTGGACCCTACATGGCCAACCCGGCCCACATTGAATTGATCCTCACCGAAAAGAAGGACAATGTGGCCAAGGCCGAAGAGCCCAAGACGGCCAAGTTGACCCGCAAGCGCCAAGCTGTGCTCCGCTTGAAGTCTGGTGGTGGCGTCGCCGCCAACTAAGGTCGTTGTTGTCACGACAAGGATGTTTGGACAGGCTGGTAACCTTTAATAAACTTGCGATGCGAACGCGATGGCGCACTGGCAGGTTTGAAGGCAACCAACCGTTTGTCCGTGGCACTGTTTGTACGTGTAGGCCATTGTTGTTCCGTGTGTCGTGGCTAGGTTGTTCCGTCCACCTTCGTTGATGGCGTAATGTTGCACATCGCGTGGTCAAATACATGTCAACTATAGGGGTGTTCGAGATCTACGAAGTAGTAGAAGCAAAGTAGTACTACTAGGAGTACATACTGCAATAACGTAAATGGCCAATTTATGGAGCACTTGAAAGAGACCTCGTCGTAGAATGCACCTTATACTGTCCCGTGCACCATAAACTGGCAATCTACGTTACTCGTGTACAGTAGCAGTGGCGATCGTGCTCTCATCTGTGTTTTGGATTGATCTGCGGGTAACAACAACCTGTAAACTCACTGTGTGCAACGAGTGCACCACGATGTTTAATTTAGTGATTTAAGTTTACTGTATGGATAACATGGTATTATTGATAGGGCTACTGGTACTAGACAGCAGCACACAATCGCGTACGACGCCGCTACAATGGGTCGAGTGCATGACTTGGCGCAGGAGGTCCACCCACCGCAACATTTTGACCTTGCCTGGAAAGTGAATCGTCCATTCTTGGTAGTGCTTGGGGTCTTGCACGAGCACTTTCCACGACGGATGTGCGTTGGCATCTTCAATGGGAATCACAAAGCTGATGTGGCCCAACTGCATGGTTTCGTTGGACTGTTGGCACCACAGCCGGTGCTGGGGCTGGTCTACAACAATGCATTCCCGCCGCAACCTGGATGCCGAGAAGAAAAACCCCGCGACTTCTTCCACGTGCAGCCAGTCCCTGCCCGTGATTTCATTGTCGTTGTTGCTTTTAGGGCCCGTCTCAACCCATTTGCTCGGCTGAGTCCATTGCCCGACTGACTTGAGGAGTCGCGGCAGCGCATCCGAGAGATGGTAGCCGCCACTGAAGGAGGTTGACGCTCCGCCTTCGTCCTCGTACTTCATATATAGCCCCTTGGTTTGGTAATGTAACGGAACTCATTCGCCACCAAGGACAACCTGGATCGCAATCTGTTCAAACGGCGTGTCCAGTGTGGTCTAAAAATAGATGCATGTTCCCGCGAAGAAATGTGATTGGTTGAAATATTTGCATTAAGGAGCCAATCCAGTCCTAAATCTTAATAGTATTGCTTTTGGAGGGAAGAGTTGAAATCTGGCGCGCGACAAGATGAAGCAAAGTGGGTCCGCCAAGAAGACGCCGCCAAAGAAGCCCGCAGCCGCGGACTCGAACAGCTCGAAGAAGCAGCAATCTCTTCTTAGCTTCTTCTCCCCACCACCGAAGAAGACGGGGGCGTCTGTCCCTAGCAGCGGTGACAAGACCTCGTCGACACCAAGGAACGACAATGCCATTATCGACACGCCCAAGAAGGGCATCACACCAGTGTCCAAATCCACACCAACCCAGGTGACCCCAAAGCCGATTGCGACCAAAGCACAAGTTGAATTCACCCCCAAACAATCCGCCAAGAAGTTGCAGGATAATGGCCTCGACGACTCCAGCGCAGACGACTCGGACGACGACGTGCCCCTCGCCAAGAAGCGCAAGCGTCTGTCCCAAAACACCCCCACGTCAGCATCAAAGAAGAAATCCATCGCCATTTCCGACGACGAAGACGACGAAGCGGAATGGAACGACAAGGATGACGTAAACATGGAGAGCAGCGACGACGATGTGAGCCTCGTTGACGAAGACAGCGGCAGCGAGGACGATACCGTCAAGCGGCGACCTGCCAAAAAGAAAGCCAGCACCCGTGCATCCTCGTCATCTCGCGGCAAGAAACCACCCACCCCCACGACAAAGTCGTCAGCCAAAAAGTCCGCGCACGTCACGCCCGACAAATCCTCCGACCCATCATCGTCCGTCGTCGGTGGCGGCGGCGGCATGGTGCGGCTCCATGACTCGTGGCCTTGGCTGCATGCGGATCGCAGGGACATTGAAGGCCGCAAGCCCAGCGACCCCGACTACGATAGTCGGACGTTGCGCGTGCCCGCCGAGTTTCTGCGCAAGGAGACGCCGGCGATGCAACAATGGTGGCAGGTCAAGCAAACCAACATGGACACGGTGCTGTTTTTCAAAGTGGGCAAGTTCTACGAACTGTTCCACATGGACGCGGACGTCGGGTTCAACGAGCTTGAGCTGAACTACATGAAGGGCGACAAGGCACACTCTGGATTTCCAGAGATCGCGTACGCCAAGTTCTCCGCCACACTCGTGTCCCGCGGGTACCGCGTCGCGCGGGTAGAGCAGACGGAGACGCCCGACATGATGAAGATGCGAGGGTCCAAGTCCAAGGTCGTGTCTCGTGAGATTTGCTCGCTGCTGACACCCGGCACCAACACAATCAGCTTCCTGGATGGATCGCAAGGGCCGTTTTCAGAGGCGTCGTACTTGTTGACGTTGAAGGAGCAGACGACGACGACGGCTTCGAGTGGGAGGAAGGAGCAACAGGTGGTCGAGTTTGGTGTGTGTCTAGTCGACTGCACGACTGGCGTGTTTCATGTCGGCCAGTTTACCGACTCGTTACAGCGGGACCGGCTGCGCACGTTGCTGGCCCAGTTTCACGTGGTGGAGATCGTTGTGGAGCGGCACGGATTGAGTCTCGAGACCAAAGCCATCTTGACTCATGGAGCCAGCGGCGCCATCAAGAGCGAGCTCAAGGCGGGTACAGAGATGTGGGACGCTACCAAGACAGTGCGGGAGCTCAAGGCCGCGGGGTACTTTGCCGTCTGGCCCGACGCGTTGACGAAATGGATGGACGAGAACGATCCAAGTAGCGTCGTCGTTCACACGAACGGATTCCTGGCCATGTCGGCGCTCGGAGGGTGTGTGTGGAATCTCCGGCGCAGCTTGATCGACCAGGAACTGCTCAGCTTGAGCCAGTTTCAAACGTACACGCCGCCCGATGCTGCTTCTGATGTATCCTCGTCCAAACCCACTTTGTTATCCCAGCAATACGTGGTATTGGACGGGCACACGATCCACAACTTGGAGCTGCTTCGCAACAACTACAACGGCCAACGCACGGGGTCCCTCTTAGCGCAGCTGGACCAGACAGTCACCAACTTCGGCAAGCGATTGTTTGAAGAGTGGCTGCTCAAGCCACTCTGTGGCGTCAACGCGATCAACGCCCGACTGGATGCTGTTGAAGAGCTCGTGCCGCAGCATTCGCTCGTGGTGGAGCTGCGGACGGTCTTGAAGACCATGCCCGACCTCGAGCACCATTTGGCGCGTATCCATGCGCTGGGGGTATTGCGGCCAAACCACCCAGATTCCCGCGCCATCATGTACGAGTCGTCCCAGTACAACGTGCGCAAGATCAAAAACTTCGTCGCAACCTTGACGGGGTTTCAAGCGAGTGTGCAAATCGTCCACAGCTTGACACAAGCAAACCAGTGGACGTCCGACATGCTAACCCGTTGGATCAGTACGTTTCCAGACTTGAAGGACAAGCTCGCGTACTTTGACAAGGCATTCGACAAGAATGTGGCGCTCAAAACAGGCACGATTCAGCCGCAGGAAGGGATGGACCCCGAGTACGACGACGCGGTCGCGGACGTGTCGGCGATTGAGACGGACCTGGACGAGTACTTGGACGCCCAGCGCGCGGCGTTGAAGTGCAAGAGCATCGTGTACTGGGGAAGCAAAAAAGACGATCGGTTCCAGCTCGAAGTGCCCGAGTCCGCCGTGGCCGCCAAGCAACCGCCAGAGTACGAACTCAAGTCCAAGAAGAAAGGGTACAAGCGATTTCACACAAAGTTTATCCGCGACTGCTTGCAGCGACTCGCGGTGGCGGAAGAGCGGCGCGAGGCCGCGCTCAAGGACACTGCCCGCCGCATGTTTGCCAACTTTGACAAGTCCTACGCCGACTGGAAGCGCGCCGTGCACCAGTTGGCCGTGCTGGACTGCCTCATGAGCTTGTCCTTGGTCAGCGGGCAGTCCGAAGGGTACACCCGCCCCGAGCTTGTACAGACCGACCAGCCTTTCCTGGACATTCAGCAAGGCCGGCATCCTGCCATTGCCTCGACCGTGTCGGACTTTATTCCCAATGACACCCACCTTGGCAGCGATCGAGGTATCAATACAAACCCCCTATTGACTGCTACACAACATGGACGAACGAGCGAGATATGACTGAATGAAGACGGCGTAATTATATGTGGTGTTGTAGGCTCGATGATGTTGTTGTCGGGGCCGAATATGGGCGGCAAGTCGACGCTGCTGCGGCAAACGTGCACGCTGGTGCTCATGGCGCAGATGGGGTGCTTCGTGCCGGCGGAATCGTGTCGTCTGAGTCCCGTGGACCGCATCTTCACCCGCCTTGGCGCGTCCGACCGGATCTTGGCGGGTCAAAGTACGCTGTTTGTCGAACTCGCAGAGACCGCCACGATTCTCAACCACGCGACGCAGCATTCGCTCGTGATTTTGGATGAATTGGGGCGCGGCACGTCCACGTTTGATGGGACGTCCATTGCGTACGGCGTCGTGGAGCATCTGCTCAACACCACGGGGTACAGACAGACACTTCTATCTACTCTAGTGAATCAACACCACTGCTAATGCAAGCGTAGATGCCGCACCATGTTTGCGACGCACTACCATTCGCTCGTGGAGGAGTATGTGGACCATGCCAAGGTCACCCTCGGCCACATGGACTGCATGGTGGACCCGACCAACGAACACAAAGTTGTGTTCTTATACAAACTCGCCGATGGGATTTGTCCCAAGAGTTATGGGCTGAATGTGGCAAAGTTGGCGGATTTGCCCCAGCAAGTGATTGACGTGGCGGCCGCCAAGTCGCTCCAGTTTGAACAAGTGTTGCAGGAGTCCCATGCTGCGGTGCAAGTTCGTCAAGCCGTTGCTCGGAAAGACGTGGGGTTTCTGCGGCAACTATGGGCCCAACTCGCGGCGGAGCCAGCAACGAGCTAGTTGATAAGTACAATGTTGTCGTCATGTGTTTATGTGACGTGGTTAATCGTCGTGTTTGTCGTTTTCAAACATGAGCAACCCTTCCTCGTACAAGGCCTTGACCAGTCCGATCTGGTCGGCTGGGTCTTCATGGGGCAAATCCCCCACGCGGAAGAACGACGGGTAACTGTTGAAGACAAACTCGATGCTTTCCGCGTCGTCCAATTCGAATTCCAACGGGGACAAGGCCACTTCATGGTGTTTCCGGGAATTTTCCTTGCAATGGTACACCACGGCTTTGCCTATCCACATGTACAGTACATACATCGTCAGGATGATGTCACACATGAGACAGAGTGTAGTTTGTCAGTGAATCGCCTTGCCTTCTTCAATCGCCAATCGCACTATGCCATAGCGAAGCAACTTGAACCGAGCGTTCACGTTGATTTTAGGCCGAGGGCTGCCTTCCACGGTACAGTCCTCTTCTTCGTCTTCGAGCTGCCAAACCAGCAACATATTGAAGTGACGACCACTTGCTCAACAAGTACTACTTGTAGAGCAACATTCAATACACGTACCGCAGGCGGAAGGCGGTCCACCAAGAAGTTGCGAGCCATCTGATCGCACGCTGCGTCCACAATACCCATGGCTTCCGTCACCACCTAAGCACACCCAGCAAGTAAACTGTTAAGTCCCAATCCACAGCTTGGAAAAGTCGTACGAGGCGCAGTTGCTTTTTCAACGTGGTCAAAAACTCGTCGCGACGGGCGTCGCCTTCGAGGTCCGAGTGCATGACCCCCATGTAGCCCAAGTAGTCTCGCGGCAGCGACTTGCGCAGGTCCACGTTGGACGCGATGGCCCCTGCCAACGCTTGTGGAAGCAACGTCTCAAGCAAGTTGCCGACGCAGTTCTGCTGGCCCGTGGACACGGTCACGTGCAACGAGTCCACCTGACAAGCCCCCACATGATGAGTTTCCTTGCAGAGGAGGCACGAGGTTTCGTACATCGTCGGGGCTTTGGGCTTGATGAACAAACCCACGGGGAAAGTAGAGCAAGTCGCCTTGCTCAAGTGTAATGTCCAGCACTGGCTTGCCAATTTCGTCTTGGGCAAAGTTGCGGCTCGAGTGGCGGGGAAGGGTTTCGTCGTCACTCAGCGGCGCATACACTTTCCATAGCTTCTTGCCTTCGACCTACAGCTGCCATGTTAAGACTCGTACGGAAATGTGAACATGGGCGATGATTCCTACATACTTGCAACAGGAACGCTTCAATGTCGTCATAGTGCGGCGCAAATCCCTAGTACGGTATTAGGACATTTCGTGATGACTACACAGCGGCGTCAATATGCAAGTGCACTTTGCAGTACTTAGGTCGTACTTGGGTGCCTTTGGGCGTAAGATACGTGTTGGACCCAGCCATGCATCCCCATTCTTCTTCAAGGATCGACAGCATTTTCCACATCTTGTCCGAGAACTTTTGAGGACAGAGCAGCCGCACCGAGCACCCGTCTTCGAAATGCTTCCAAACCTGCAATGGGCATGTAGGTTGAAACCATTGACATGCAAAGCGCAGGCGTACCGTCTTGGACGTGGCCGTCCCGCTGGGGTTCAAAGTCGTGCGCGTCTCGTTCTCGTACTTGGTCAGGTCGATGTCTTCGCCATACGCCAGCGTGTGCTCTTTCAGCATGCGCTCGATTTCTTGGCGGTTAAACCATCCATCGTAATAGTCTGGGAAGTTCCGTTTGATGTGCAGCGGCTTTCGCTCCCAGTAGTTGGCGTAAAAGTCCTAGCCATCGTTGCGATGAGTACCATAGTGGCCACACATATCCACCTCCACTGTGACGGGGTAAATCAGCCACTGGAAATACATCTTGGCCTTGGTCGAGCTATGCAGTCCCGTGTCCTCGGACAACTCGTGGGCATCCACAACGTCTTCTTCCGTGATCTCTACACACACCAAGTTCAGTATCATCATGGCTCGTCTATGGCATAAGAAGCACCTTCGGCGATGACCAGCGGATGCTTCTGCTCGACCTTGCGGCGCTTGTTTGTCGTAGGTGTCGTCGTTGCCATGTTGAACAGCGTAACCAGTTATTGGTGTTGGCGATTTTTCTAATTTCAACGTCAATTTTTCAGAAAAATGTGTGATTTGGACTGTTTGTTTTCTGTCCCCCATAGCATTGATTTTCATCCTTTTCAGCTAGCAAACATGATTTTGTAATGAAGTTTAGAGGTCATGACAGATGGAACGCCAAGAATCAACGTTAGGCCTTGTGGCTTGCAGGCCAATTCACGTGGCATGTAATAATACTTACTTGTAACGTAGAATGCCAATTGTTGCAACACAACTTTTTTGTTTTTACGAGAATGGCCATAATTCCTGATTGAGGCATCGTTTTTGAAAAGTGCCCTAAATTGTAGTACATGTACTATTAATAGTACTTCGAAGTACTATTAATACGTACTAGTAGCGGGTAACGTTAATCCACCAATTATCAACGTGCAATGTACTACGTAGTATTTCGCACAATTGAGCTGTATACAGCTCTTCATGTATGCTACATGTATACCTCTATAAAGTGGTGTGCCAATTATTGACGTATTATTTTAACCTTCGGTGTGCTACGTGTATACATATCCAGAGGTGTGGTCTGTGATTGGCGCTTTTCCAAATTAGGGATCAGTAATTGGCTTAGTTTTATACGTCATTAATGGGCACATACGCCAGTAATTGGCACTTTACGCTTTATGAATGCTACCACATACAGAAATGCATGGAGCGGCGGAATGTTGGCACCATATTGAAAGGCACCATGTTTACATGACGACGAGTGGGGGGAACTGGCATTGTTGTCGGGGGGGGGGTACAGGGTACATTCTTCAGTATGTGATGTTAGTGTTACCGTCCTAGAGTTTGGAGTTCAACAGCGATAGGATGTCCGGTTCCATTCCAATGGGGGCGTCCTTGGCCCATACGATTGAAACGGATGGAGGTCCCGTCCAATGAGATACTTGGTGAAATTCCACTTTGGAGCTTCCAGAAAGTCGAAAATTGGTTGCGCCGACGGCCCAGCCACATCAGCCTTGGCAAACAGTGGAAACGAAACGCCAAATGACGTAGCAGCAGCCTTAATCTCTTGATAGGTCCCAGGCTCTTGATCGGCGAACTGGTTCGAAGGAAACCCAAGGACGCGCAAGCCATGAGCTTTGTACTGTACTTCCAACGCAGCGAGTTGGGGGTAGTTTACCTCCGTGAGGCCGCAACGAGACGCTACATTGACCATACATACACACAGTTAATCGAATAACTTTTTGCAAAAAGGAGTACTTTTTCTGCTTGTTCTTATTGGATGTTGGACTTTGGGAAATTTTTAGAGTCTTGCTAAAACTTACTAGTATACTACTTCAAGTAGTATTTAAGGGGCTGGTCGCGGAATATTTCTGTCAATGTTTCAAGATATTCCGAGCTTTTGATTGGTTAGTACCCAAATTATCCGGATAACACAATCGTTCACGCTTTCCGGAATAACTCAGTCCATCGATCGACGCCAGGAATACAGTAAGTAGTCCGTTCATGTCTGACACTCATTTTCATAAAAAACGAAAAAGTATTGATCGACATTTTTTGGATTGCGAAAATATTTTGTCCGGATACGTCTCAGTTTCGGACATGGACTTTATCTTCCCCAACCAAGCCCCTGAGGACCAACACTGTAAATCAAATTGACATTTTCTGCTAAAGTAACGTGTTAAAATGAACACGAAAAATTACTTCGGAATGAGTACTTCAAATACTCTAGGAATGAATGTACTACAGTAGTACTGCACCTAACGCGGAGCGTGTCGGATATGGACGTGTACGTGCCACCAACTTCCCTCAAGGCGCTCCTAGAAACCCCAAAAGGACATCTGGACCATTACCCGGATGAGGCCTTCCTTCTTCACGTGTTTTGGGAAGCTCCAAGCCGTGCTGCCGCCGAGACTTTACTGTCTGGGCTCCGCGGATGCAGTGTGGCGACGCACCGCGACACGCCTTGTGTCCCAACGTACTTCTTCAGGATCACGAAATCCAACCCACTGAGTCCGTCCGCCGCTACTGTGGGTGCGTATCCCCTGCTGCACGACGCATTGAAGAAGCTTCAGGTGGGAATTCCAAAACCAGTCGTCCGCGCCGACCTCACGCGACGCGGCATGAACCCCGACTGGGTCGATCTAAACCTGTCCGATCCGCTGCCGTTGGAGCTCCGCACCGAGCGCTTTGTCGTTGAATTCACTGAAATTTACCTCGATGAACGATCGTTCATGCTGCACTGCGGGTCGAAGGACTACCTTGATGCGTACGGCATCGTGACCAAGCCTGGTCTGTCCCTCCGTCCACCGGTGACCACCCGCATCGGCTCGCCATCCTCCAGCATCGTGGAAAAGATCCTCGAGCCCATTTTGCACGAGCGTGTGGTTGCAGTCGGCTCCAATGTCGTCTGGCAGCGTCCCCCTGCCTCCCCTTCAACTGCTCGTGACGCTGTCATGCTCGCACTCGATTGTACTCGTCACGCAGATGAACTACCTCCGCAAATGCGCGATGCATGCACCACAGCTGTGTCATTTTCACACGTTCTCAAGGACGGAATCACCCGTTGGCTGCTTGTACTGCCACAGCTGCCATCGACCGAATTCCTTGCCCAGCTGCAAGAGGCGGTTGGTCCCGTTATCGCAGGAGAAGCTCACACGAGTGAGGGGGACAGCGCCGACGCCTTGCGGACGACGCTTGCAAGCGCTGGACTACTCCCCGTCATCACAATGAATGGGGATGCAAGTGTGGGGTATGTCCTGCATGAATACGCCAGGGACTTGCATGTCAGGATCGGTGACCACGATAAGTCGTAATTGAAAACAGTTTTCCAGCTGTAGAAAGCCCTCGAGCTTAGTAGTTGGTTGCCGTGCTGTCGGAGAACTTAGCTATTGTGCGTCGTCGTATACTTTCGTGATCTTGTATTGTGCCAAAGTCCATCCCTGGTAGTAATACTGTTATAAACAAAAAACGAAGAGTTGTGGCGAACTAACCACATATCGGGACCGTCACCATTGGGTAGTTTTACTTCAGACATACCTAACCAGATTTATAGTTATAAATAATAAACGGAGAGTTGTGGCTAACTAACCACATATCGGGACCGTCGCCATTGGGTAGTTTTACTTCATACATGCCTGACCAGCGTCACGGGGGCTCACGCTGACGACATTCTATTTTTGGCATACCCAATTCGACATGCCCGCCGTCAAGGTGGCGCCTCTCGGTCGGGGCTTCCTCCGCCAATTGAGCAACCTCCGCGGGCCAAACACACATCAGCACTCAAGTTTTGACATGTGGGCACTGGGCATCACAATCGTCATTGGCGGCCAGTACTTTTCGTGGAATCGTGGCCTCGTAGCCGGGACCCTGAGTTGCGGCATGTCCATGGTCATCACGGGCCTGGCGTACCTGTGTTTGACGCTTTCAATGTCTGAAATGACCAGCATGCTGCCGTTCGCTGGCGGCGCGTACGGCCTGGCGCGGTGCACCCTCGGATTCTACGTCGGGTTTCTCATGGGGTGTTGCGAAGCGATCGAGTATATCATGTACGTCACGTGTTCCGTGGTGCAACTGGGTCGCATGCTCACCACGAAATGGCCTGAGCTGGTGATGTGGCAGTTTGGTGTGTGGTTTGTGACGTATGTGCTGGCATGTGGGGGGCTCCTGGTAGGGGGGCGAGTGTTTTGGCGGTGGAATGCCTTCTTGGCGTTGACGTCGATCGGGATCTTGATGGTGTTTTGCATTGGGTTGGCGGGACAAGTGGATCTCGAGGCAAATGCAGGGGGACGCGACTACTTGGTCATCGGAGGCGCCATGGAGTTTATGAAGTCGTTTCCGCTCTCGGCGTGGTTCTTTGTCGGGATCGAAGCCCTCAACACCATGTCCAACGAAGTACACGATCCCAAGGTGACCATCCCCCGCGGCCAAATCGTGTGTATGCTGACGCTGCTCGTCACCGCCGCGTCGGTGTTTGTCGTCACCATTGGACTCCCCCCCGGCATGCCCGCTGTCTCCACGGAACTCATGCCTCTGAACGCCGGATTCGTCATGCTCTTTGACGTGACTGCCAAAACGGCCACCCTCCTCTCCATCCCCGCTACGTTTGCTACGATCCAGGGGTTCATTTTAGCCTATGCAAACATCGTGACAGCACTGGCGAGCTCCAAGTTGCTTCCGCATGTGCTACATCGATCGTGGAACGGATGTGGCGCCCCGTTGTATGCGATTGTCGGGGGAAGCGTCTTGAGCTTTGGGTTGTGTTTCGTCGACTATTACGTCGACCATTTGGATGGAATCATGTTCAACGTGTGCATGTTGTTTGCCAGCATCGCGTACACGGCGCAGTGCATTGGGTACATCTACCTCAAGAGGAAGTACACGCGATTCGACCGCGGGTTTCAAAGCCCATTCGGCGTCGCTGGCGCGATCGTGTCCATGCTGGTGTGGATCTTCACCATGATTTCCATCGTCGGCTTCCAAGACGACCACGAAGTCAGTCTGATTGTCGCAACGAGCATCGTGGTAGTACTGACATTATATTATCACTGCGTGGCCAAGTACCGCCAGACGTTCTCGGAAGACGAGCGACGGGTGCTCTTCCCCGTGCATGTGGGTACGTTTATACTCCCAGCCCCCCCTCTGCTTTCCCCATACATTATTGCATCCTAACCGTGTGAACAATGATAAATGTAGCCATCCTCAACTCCACCCCCCAAACCCACCGCGTGCTGCGCGGGCATACTGTGTCCGAACGCATGGTCATGAACTTCAATCCGTCGTTGCAAAAACTCATGTTTATACCCACAACGCTGCATCTGTCGACCATTCGATCGGCCACCTCCATTCATGCGCCAGGCTCTAAAGGGGACGAAGAAAGGGAGCTGCCGCCACTGTCAGGACCGGCGCAAAATGGAACGTCATCATCTTTTCGGCGCAGTGGGGACGGGAATTCAGGTTGCAGCCGAGAACCCACCCCGCCAATCATCAGAGCCCCCACGGAATGGGACCTACAGCTATCTAGTCGGAGAGGGTCGACAGACCCTGAATAAAGTCGTTTGTTCCCCTGGAACATACAGTACAGTAACGCGCATCTGTGCGACAGAGATTGCACAGCTTACAGTGCGCCTATACTAGTAGTAGGTCGCGTTAGTCTATCCAGTTAACGTTGTTGCTTGATTATTACCACCGATGCTATTTGTAACGTCGAGTAACCATGTCTAGTTTTCATGCCTAGCGGTTTCAAATTATCAGCTCGGTTTCCCGTCGAGCAGCGAGTTTTCCAATTGCCAAATGCGCCGCAGCATCGATGGCTTTCTTGGCCGTGCTTCAAGAAAGCAGTCGCGCCGTCGCAGGAGCTCCATCCAAGAACTCATCCAACACACCCACGACAGCCTCGACGTGTGGGCCGTGGGCATCACGATCGTGATCGGCGGTCAGTACTTTTCATGGAACGGTGGACTGGCTGCAGGAACCGTCAGCTACGGCGTGGCGGTGGTGCTCATGGGGCTCGCGTATCTCAGTTTGGCGCTGTCTATGGCGGAAATGACCAGTATGTTGCCGTTTGCAGGCGGTGCGTACGGCTTGGCGCGATGTACCCTCGGTTTTTACGTGGGGTTTCTCGTGGGGATTTGCGAAGCGATGGAATACATTTCGTACGTGTCGTGCTCCATGTTGCAACTAGGCCACATGGTGAGCATCTACCACCCTCTGTCACAGCACGGGCTGTACGTCATGTGGGTCCTCGCGTACATCGTGGCGGCGAGCCTTGTGACCATTGGGGGCAAAGTGTTTTGGCACTGGAGCAAATGTGTCGCAGTTGCCTCCATCGTGTGCATTGTCGTATTTTGCGGGTTATCGTTGCAGTACGCAGACGTGAGTCATTTTGCTGGGGGCGACTTCCTCGTCATGGGGGGTTTCGCCTCGTTCATCGAGGTGTTTCCGCTAGCTTCGTGGCTCTATTCCGGTGTCGAGTCGCTTAACATGCTAAGCAACGACGTCATCAACCCCAAAGGGATCATTCCAAAGGGCCAGGTCGCGTGCGTTCTCACGCTGCTGATTACGTCGTGGGCCGTGTTTTTCGTCACCGTGAGCTTGCCGCCAGGGATGCCATTCGTAGCTCACGAACTCGCACCGCTTTCCCATGGCTACGCGTTAGCACTCAACATCACGCTGGCGTCGGCGACCGTCATGTCCATTCCTGCAACGTTTGCCACCACTCAGGGACTGATGATGGCCTTCACGAACGTCATTTCTGCCTTGGCAACTTCCAAGCTCCTGCCTCCAAAACTTGGCGCACGATCTGCCACGTTCAACACTCCAGTGCACGCTACCCTGTTGGGCTCAACGCTGAGCTTGGGGCTTTGCATAGCTGACAATGTTGTTGGCGGCATGGACGCAATCATGTTCAACGTCAGCATGTTGTTTATGTTCGCCGCCTACACGTCGCAGTGCCTGGGGTACATCTTCCTCAAACTGCGACACAACGACCGTCCTCGAGCGTTTCGGAGTCCGGTCGGTATCCCAGGAGCCGTGTTTGCCATTTGCGTGTGGATCGTGAGCATTGTGTCGATCACTGGCTTTCAGCACGACAACTACATCAGCGTCGTGATTGCATTCGGTCTCATGGCGGTTTGGTCCTTATACTACGTTGCGTATGCAAAGCACCGACAGGCCTTTTCCGACGACGAGCGGTCCATTCTTTTATTTGCCCACGTTGGTACGTACCCCTATCTGTTGCAATGTCAACACACTCATTGGTTTTGTGGGGACTAGCCAACCTCGACAACGCCAAGCACAAACGAATGACCCACAGCGTTGCCATTGCGCCCCAGAGTGGGCTTAATATATTTCGAGGTCGAAATATTCTATCTATGCCCAAGACGTGGAAGCTTACAACAGCTGCGTCGACTGCGCACAACCGAGTGCAGTCGTCCCCCGAATCCGTCGTCGCCCCCCCTCCCCGAAAGTCACCACGAAATGACGACCTTATGGGCCGACTGAACGACCCAGACCTGTACTACTGATGACATCATGACCACTCAATATTTAACTCGACAAACGGGGCGAACATAATATTATTAACGTTATGCGCGATAATACATATAGCAAAGTGAACTATCATCACATAAGCAAGCCAATCCGTCCAAACATCCGCTTCCACGTCCCCGTGTGCACCCAGTGTGTCGACAGTCCACCGTATAAGTCGTCCTCCACCATGCTATCAACTGAAACGTCTTGCTCGCGTAACAATGCGCTATAAATATCGTTTCACGCCTAGTTGTTTTCACTGCCACCTAACCTCCCCCAAGATCCCGATGTCGGTGGCGCCGCACTTGCTCAAGCGTCAGGCGTCGTCGTTCAAAGACCGCATCCAGCACGCGCACAACTCGCGGGATCTCTGGGCGATCGGGACGACCATCGTCATTGGTGGCCAATTCATCTCTTGGAATTCTGGGCTGACCGTTGGCGCCGCGGAATATGGCGTGGCGGTGGTGATCATGGGGGTTGCGTACACGTGTCTGGCGTGCTGCATGGCGGAAATGTCGAGTATGTTGCCGTTCGCAGGGGGTGTGTACGGCCTCAGTCGGTGCACGATGGGCTTTTCGATTGGATTTGTGCTTGGGTGCTGCGAAGTGCTCGAGTACGCCATGTACGTGGCCACGATGAACGTGACGCTGAGCAAGTTGGTCGTGGTGCGGTGGCCCAGCGTCCAGCCGTTCCAGCCATGGACGTGGGTCGTGGCGAATGGGTTTTCACTGTCGCTACTGACCGTCGGCGGCAAAGTGTTTTGGAAGTTCAACCTCGTCTTGGCCATGATGCTGGTGGTGCAAGTGCTCGTGTACTGCCTAGGCTCAGCCCCATTTGCCGACATGAAGGCGTACGCCACGGCTGCTGCCCCTTCGACGACGACCGCTTTCGCCTGGTTTAAGCAGTTCCCCGTCTCATCTTGGTTCTACGTTGGCATCGAGGCCATCAACACGCTGTGCAACGAAGTGGACGATCCCAAAAACTCGATTCCCCGCGGCCAAGTCGCGTGCTTAGCCACGATGGTCGTGACGGGCGTCAGCATTTTCCTCACGGCGATCAGCTGTCCGCCAGGTATGGCCGACCTCAAAACGTCGTTGGCCGTGTTCAATGGCGGGTACACTCATTTCTTTGGCCTGTCCCTTGCGGATGCCACCATGCTGTCCATTCCAGCATGCTTTGCGTGCATCCCTGGGTTCCTCCTCTGCATGGCCAACATCATGTCGTCAATGGCAGAGTCCAAGTTGATTCCGTATGCCCTGCACCGCCGCAGTGCGACCTTTGGCACCCCCGTCCGCGCAGTCGTCGTGTCGATCCTGCTAAGTCTTGGCCTGAGCTTTGTCGTGCACCACATCCCCAACGCCGACACCACCATGTACAACTTGAGCTTGAGTTTTGGAACGCTGGCGTACGTGTCCCAGTGCATTGGGTACATTTTCCTCCACCGACGGTACAAAACCATGAAGCGGACGTTTAACAGTCCGTTTGGGGTGCCGGGAGCCGTGGTGGCGATCACGATCTTCGCCGCCAGCTTCGTATCCCTCGTCAGCCTTCAGCTGGATTCGGCGCGCGCCAACGTCTGCTTTGTCACGACGCTGGCGGTGCTCACGCTGTACTACCACGTGTACGCCAAGCGGCGGCAAACAATTTCGGACGACGAGCGCAAAATTCTCTTCTTCGTGCACGTGGGTACGTACGTTGACGGTCCAACTTGGCACTTTCAAGTGAGATGGTGACGGTATTATTGTGTCTGTGTAGCCAACCACAACGAAGCGAAGCGACAGCACGGGCGACCGCCTCGTGGGGTGCTAAAGGTCTTCTACATGATCACCTCAAAAGTGACGACGTTGACGCATAAGACGACCCAGCAGCAGTCCACCCCCATCCAAGAACATCCCCGTGGCAAGCAAGCAACACCCCACGCATCTCCGCTGGAAACAGATTTGCCCCCAGACGTACGTCACGATTAAAAGTTCACCCGGTCAGTCACAGTTACAAAAGGTCAACGTGATGTTGCACTTAATGCGGCAAATCAAACGTCGGGACATACGCGTTTAGCCTTATACTCTGATAAACACTGATAAACATGCGTCGTCACATCCATGTTTTCTGTATGAAATAACCCTGCAATTGACGCCTACAACTACTTCACTATATCCCTAGTAGGACTTCCGTAACGACTTCAATCATACACTATCTCGACACTGTCGTGACGCGAGCACAAGGGAGGTACTTCGATGGCGCACTGGGCCATCTCTGTGGTCGAGATGTGTTGTATATATAATAATCTGATTACCGCACCAACGCCGTCGACGGACTTGCGGTGACTGTGAGTTGTACCCCCTTCTTCTTGGAGTTATTGGCACCAGTGGCATTCCGGCCTATGTCTTTGGAGCTTGGCGAGTTGACGGCACTGATGATGGACGTGGACGACTTGGGCGGCGCCCCGTCACTCTTTTCCCGGACTTTTCGGGCTTTGGCCACAAACCAGCTTTTGGCTCGTTGCCCGAGGGTTCGACCCCGTCGCTGCTTGGACAGGTTGTGCTTGGCTAGAGGACAAAATCGATCAGCAAAGGGCGATCCGCGAATTTAAAGCCACACAAAGTAGCAGCAGTCAGCACGTACACACGTGGGCAAAGAACAAGGCCTTGCGCTCGTCGTCGGAAATCGTCTGCCGCTCCTTCGCAACAGCGTAATAGTAGGCGGTGCAGACACTCAGAATCCCGACCACCGCGAGCACGCTGACGTGGCCGTCGCCTTGGTACGCTGCAATCGCCAGCATGGTCCACAGCCATACGCCACAGGCGTACATCGCCCCCGCCCGACCGAACGGACTATTGTACTTGCGCTCCATGGTGCGAAAGTTCTTCTTTAGGTACAGGTACCCAAAACATTGTGAAAGGTATGAGATGCTGCCCAGGAAGATGCACGTGTTAAACACGATCGCGTCCAACGAGTAGTAGTAGTCGGCAAAGCACAACGCAAAACTCACACAGGACGCGCCGACGATGGTATATACGGGGGTGTTCCACTTGGGGTGTTTCTCGTGAAGGATCGACGGCAGCAACTTGGAGCCGGCCATGCACGAAATGATCTTCATGTACGCTTGCACAAATCCTTGGCCTGTGGCAAAGGTGGCGGGGAGCGCCAGCAGCGTCGAGATCTTGTCAGTGCAGTTGAACAGTTGATTGAACACGGGGTTCATGACGGCCAGGGAGGTCGCGACTGTCGGCATGCCCGGGTCGACGCTGATGGTCACGAAGAACACCATGATGGACGTTGCGAAGAGCGTAAACATGCACGACATTTGGCCCAGGGGGATCGACTTGCGGGGCTCCACGACTTCGCCACACAGCCGATTCAGCGACTCGACGCCAACATAGTACCACGCGGTGAGGGGAAACACAAGCATGAACTGGTCAAAACCCCCCACGAAAAGGAGCTTGCTGCCGCCGCCGTTCGCGGCAATGTCGACGTACGAGAGAGACCCGAGGACGTACAGGATCAAAATGAGAAACGATACCAACGCCAGCGCCATGTTCCACATCCAGTATGACTTTCCACCCACAGTGAGCATCGCACAAGACAACACGTAGCTTATCAGCCAAGAAATGTATGGGTAGTCTGCAATCAGTGGCCAGAAATGAGCTACCATCCGCCCCAAGGCCACAAACGAGCACGTCACGTACAGAATGTACTGCACAGCCTCGCAACAGCCGACGATGAAACCAGCGTAAAACCCCCACGTGCACCGCGCGAGCCCGAACGCGCCGCCTTCGAACGGCACCATGCTCGACATTTCCGCCATGCACATGCACATGGAGAGGTACGCGAACCCCATCATAAGGGACGCGATGCCGTAGCTGGCGGTTCCTGCCGACAAGCCAGTGTTCCACGAGAAGTACTGGCCACCAATGACCACGGTGATACCCACAGCCCAGAGGTTGAAGCTGGCCATGGCGATTTGAGACGTTGTCGAAACATTTAAAGTTGTTGCAGAAGCGGGGGAGGTCAACGACGGGGCTGGAGCTACCTTCATCGTGGTCAAGGCGTATCTGAACAACGTGGTGTTGCACGAAACCACCTCCAATAAAACACCAATCCTATTTTTGGTACACGTAACGCTTGACAGTAAAGAAGCACACTGATGACTTTTCGATACTTTTCGGTCGTACCAAATTCATACAAAATGGCTGATATTCGATGGTGAAGCACACCGATGACTTTTCGACACCACCAGTCGTACCAAATTTATAGTTAAACAAAATGACTGATATTCGATGGCGAAGTCATTAATAAAGATTTTTGTTGTCAAGTTGCCTGAGCATATTCCTGATTTACAGTACTGTTAACACGTAAGTCCATATCCCATGTGCTGGCATGGCATTTAAGGGGATTTTGCGGCACATTATCACATTGCTGGCAAATGCAATTACTGCTGGCATGGCATTTAAGGGGATTTTGCGGCACAGTATCACATTGCTGGCAAATGCAATTACTAACTGTAAATACAGATAGTACTTCGATGGCCAGTTTATGGTGCACGGGACAGTTTAAGGTGCACTCAAATTGGCCAATGGAATTGCTTGAATTCGAAATTAGCCAATTGAATCGCTAGAAAATGAAATCGCCAAAAATAAGGTATGCATATTGTAAGCTTAAACCATGCACCATATCCAGGTCCACCTATTTTGTTTTAATTTGAATTGAAATCGGAGTAAATGAACCCCAATAGAACTCTATGCAAGCCGATTTAATACTGTAGTAACGAAGAACGCCCAACCTTTCAGCTTCATGCAGCAACTTTCAGAATTGAAATCCGGGAAAGCTGCATTCCACGAACCATAAATTGGCCATCTATCATACGTTACGATCTTTAATGGCATATGTATATACAGTACAATCTGTAGCAGTACTATGTTATCTGCGGTCGAGAACCCTGCGAATCTTTTGTGGACGGACCCTTGGAGGTTCCAGAACTGCGTTTCTTCTTCATCCCGACACTGTCGTGGGTGACTGGCGGCAGGGCGGTGGTTGAAGTGCCGTTTGTGGACGGGCGGCGCAACGGGGTCGATGACGACGACACTTTTCTTAGGCCAACGTGCTTCAAAAGAGAAGTCAGAGGCTTCTTCCCACGCAAGGTGCTGTTGCGCTTCGAGTTGTTATGGTTGGCTACAAATATGCAATATGATTACTGCAAAGGCACTTTGAATCGTCGCACCGACAACTTGGACGTACCAACATGGGCAAAAAACAACGCCTTTCGCTCTTCGTCTGAAAACGTTTGGTTGTGCTTGGCGTAGAAGTGGTAGTACACGGTGCACACGACCAAGACGCCGACCACGAGTAGAATGCTCACTTGACCGTCGCGTTGGAACCCCAGAATGGCGATCATGGTCACGATCCAGATGCCAATCGCATACATGGCGCCGAATTTTGCCAGCGGACTGAGGAACTTCCGCTCCATGGTGCGAAAGTTCTTTTTGAGGTAAATGTACCCCACGCACTGCGACATGTACGAGATGCACCCGAGAAAGATGCACGTGTTGAACAGCATCGCATCCAGCGCGTAGTAGTAGTCGACGAAACACAGCGCAAAGCTAAGCGCCGAGCCCACGGCTATGGCGAACACGGGGGTCTTAAACTGGGCGTGCTTGCGATGCAGAATCGATGGCAGCAAGTGCGACCCAGACATGCACGAAATCACTTTGGTGTACGCTTGGACAAAGCCTTGGCCGGTCGCGAACGTGGCGGGCAAGGCGAGCCACGTCGAGACGGCGTCCGTGCAATTGAACATTCGATTGAACCCATAGTTCATGGGTGCAAGTGAAGTGGCGACGGCAGGCATCCCGGGGTCGACGCTGATGGTGACGAAGAATACCAGTACCGCCGTCGCCACCAGCGTGAACATGCACGCCAACTGGCCGATGGGGACGGATACGCGAGGCTCGGCGACTTCGGCGCATAACCGATTCAACGATTCGACCCCGACGAAGTACCACGCTGTGAGGGGGAACACGAGCATGAACTGGGAAAACCCCCCGACGAAGTAAAAATCGCTGCCACCTGCGTGACTGGAAATGTCCACATAGGGCAACGACCCAAACACGTACGCGATCAAAATGGCAAACGACAGCAGCGCCAATCCCATATTCCATCGCCAGTACACGTTACCCCCCACGATGAGCATTGAACTGGACAAGAGGTAGCTCAAGAACCAAGAAAGGTAAGGGTAGTCCATAATCACCGGCCAAAATGTCGCCATCATCCGCCCCAACGCCACAAACGAGCACGTGACGTACAGTATGTACTGCACCGCTTCGCAGCATCCGATGATATAGCCAGCGTAAAACCCCCATGTACATCGCGCCAGCCCGAATGCGCCGCCTTCGAACACCACCATGCTGGACACTTCGGCCATACACATACACATGCACGTGTACGCCAGCGTCATCATAAGGGAGGCAAGGCCGTAGCTGATGGTTCCAGCCGACAACCCGGCATTCCACGAAAAGTACTGACCCCCAATAACGACGGTGATGCCCACAGCCCATAGGTTGAAGCTAGCAATGGCAATTTGTGTCGAGGTTGCTTTAACAGCTGGGGTGGTGTCTGGGACAAGGGGCTGGACCTGCATAGTTGGGACAACGGTAATGCTGCAGGATCTGAAAGCCTTTTAAGGTTAGTAACCGTTACCCCATTTAATGTCCGTTACACTCCTTTGCTAAGCTCCTGTGTCGTTTGGGAAACTATATTCCGTTTCATCAACCCTATTCTTTGAAGAGTGCGGCGGTAAACTTTCCATAACGTTATTATTATTAATACCTGTCCCATTTGCGGCAACTCCCCCCAGAAACATTTGTTAGGTGCCATGCACTTTCAAATTCTGTGCACAAGACTATTCGCGTAGTTTTGAACATAAACCTCAACTTCCATATTTGAGGGTTTAGTGCTGTTCATTCTTCGTTCGTCGGCAGGTATCATGTTGCGATGGGCCCATGGAAGGCCCCGCGCTTCGCTGCTTTTTCACTCCATCGTGGAGGCTCGTGGGTTTCCGGTCAACTGGTGTCGTGGAAGTGCCGACAGTGGACGGGCGCAGTGTTGCTGTAAACGACGTCAGCCGCTTCAACCCCAACTTCTTCATCATGGAAATGAATTTTCCAGAGTAGCGCTTGCTAGATCGACTGTTTCGCTTCGAGTTGTTGTGGTTGGCTACAAAGAACAACGACGCGTCACCGTTCAAAAATCCCTTCAGACCATTGCGACAACGTGAACCAACTCAATCGTACCAACATGGGCGAAAAATAATGTTTTGCGCTCGTCCTCGGAAAACTTTTGGCGGTACTTGGCGTACGCGTAGTAATAGACGGAGCACGCGCTGAGAATTCCGACCACAAGGAGGATGCTCGCTTGGCCGTCGCCTTGGAACCCCGTGATGGCGAGCATAGTCGTGGTCCAAATCAGAATCGCGTAGATCGCACCAGGTCGACCAAGGGGACTGTGGAACTTGCGCTCCATGCTGCGAAAGTTCTTTTTGAGGTAGATGTATCCCACACACTGCGACAGGTACGAAATGCACCCAAAGAAGATGCACGTGTTGAACAGCATCGAATCTAGCGCGTAGTAGTAGTCGACGAAACACAGCGCAAAGCTGAGGGTGGACGTGCACAAGATGGCGTTCACAGGTGTGTGAAACGTCGGGTGCTTGTGGTGCAGGAACGCCGGGACCAACTGTGATCCGGCCATGGCCGACACAACTTTGGTGTACGACTGCACGAATCCTTGGCCCGTGGCAAACGTAGCGGGCAGGGCGAACCACGTCGCAACGTCGTCCGTGCAGTTGAACATTCTTTTGAAGCCAAAGTTCATGGGCGCGAGCGACGTGGCTATCGTTGGCATGCCTGGCCCAGTTCCGATGGACACGACAAAGATGAGGACAGCGCTGACAATCAAAGTCAATACGCACGACACCTGGCCAATGGGGATGGTCACGCGGGGCTCAATCACCTCGGCACACAACCGATTCAACGACTCGACGCCAACAAAGTACCACGCAGAGAGTGGAAACACGAGCATGAACTGGGAAACCCCCCCCATGACCAACATGGCAGTACCACCGGCATGGGCGGCTATGTCCACATGGGGGAGCGACTCCAGCACGTACATGAGCAAAATCGAGAACGACACCAACGCCAGCGCCATGTTCCACCGCCAGTACGCTTTGCCCCCCATGACGAGCATCGCACTGGACAAGGCGTAGCTCAACAGCCACGAAATGTACGGACGTTCGGCAATCAATGGCCACAACTGTGCCACCATCCGCCCCAACCCCACGAACGAGCACGTGACGTACAGAATATACTGCACAGCCTCGCAACAGCCGACGATGAAACCAGCGTAAAACCCCCACGTGCATCGCGCGAGGCCGAACGCGCCACCTTCGAACGGCACCATGCTCGACACTTCCGCCATGCACATGCACATGCAGAGGTACGCGAAACCCATGAGGATGGAGGCAATACCGTAGCTTACGGTTCCTGCCGACAAGCCAGCATTCCATGAGAAGTACTGCCCGCCAATGACCACGGTGATGCCCACAGCCCAGAGGTTGAAGCTGGCCATGGCGATTTGAGACGTTGTAGCAACGTTCACGACGAGTTCGGAGGCAGAAGTTGAAAGCGGCGCAATCTTCAACGACGCGGTCTGGGACATTGGACACGCGAGGAATAGTCAGAGCAGCCGTTGCGATTGCTTGTCTATATTTAGCCTGAGCGTGAAGTTTCGACAGTGAACAGTCGTCACGTGTTTGTTCTCCCCACATCATACTTCGACGTCATGTTGACAACAATGCTACGTGCGCTCAAACCGTTCCAACGCTACTCGCTCGTTTTCCACAACTCTGCTAAAGGCTCACGCTTCCATTCTTGTTAACCAGAGCGTGGCACAAGTCTCGCTGACGGGCAACTCCTCTAATACATTGTACGCAATACAATGCCCTTATAAATGGAGTAGGTTAAGGGGGAAAATGAACTGCTAGTGTGGAGCCACCGCCAGATTCCTAAAAAGTGGTCGATATTACGGCTCTGTGGCCGCCATTTTGGAGTTGGAAATGCTTGCATCCAACGAGTTTGACACTCTTCTGGCAGCCGAAGGGAGTTGCTCTTGGTCAATGACTACGCGGTACGCATCTATGGATGCTCGCCCGGCCGCGTCGCTGTGAACGACAAGATGCTCTTCGCAGTACACAGCATGGACACGAGGGCGATCTATGGCAGTGGCAGGTGTTGACAAGGAAAACCATGTTGCCGGGCGGCGGATACAGCAGCAATACGCTACGAGGCAACCAAGGCAGCCTGCCGCGAGGATGGGCAGCAACCACACCCAAATGGACAGACGCGATGTCATGGGTGGAGCATCGGAGCTCATGCTTTGCAAAAGTCGAAATCCCTGTCCCAGGCGAAACAAAAAAGAAAATTGACCAATCCGATTAGAATATACTACTACCTGAAGTGGGGCAATTGGAGGACTCGAGTCCTGCAAGCCAAAACCAGCGCTCCCACCTCGGCATTGCCGTTACATTGGCATCATACACATCGTCGTCGTCGTGATATGTTGTGGTAACGACTCTTGGCGACTGAGTGGCCATCAATGCAGGCGGGTTCAAGCGAGGGAGTGGTTGATGGCTCACACTACGAGCAGGGATCAATGGCAGCATCGCCTGGCGACGAGGGGGCTGGCGGCGCATGGTGCTTGTGGCGAGTTTGAAAGTGGAATAGCACGAAGTGGCTACACGCTGTTTCTCATCCTACCCCCGTAGCAGGCAAACTTCAACGTCTCGTGTGAGAATTGTCCAATCAGGTTGCTGAACGTCCTTCCTTAGCAGAGGATAAGCTTACCAGATTTTTTAGGGAATCACGGATACTATAATATTGTGAATTCGCTATAGTTAAACTTCCAAAATTCTCGTGGTTTGTCTACTACGTAGTAGTAATAGTCAGAACACCCTGTTCTGATAGAGAACATCCCCACTGCCCTGTCAGTCAGGTAGCAGCGTCTGCTAGCTGTGTAGGAGGTTTTTGTGCCTTCTAGAGGCTTTTCCTCAGAGTAGAAGTCAGCGCAGACATTTGGTCACGGAACATCATTGGATGTCGTGATCAATCATAGTTTTGATTGGCTGGTTCTTTCCAGTCAGAAGTAATTCACTTCCAGTTATTCCTTCTGCCTGCCAAGTGCCTGTTCCTGCCTACTGCCCTTCCAACTGGTTATGAGCCTTCCACCCGCTACCTTTCGCGCGGCCCTACCGTTCACGCAGAGCCTCCTCGGCGCCGAGAACTTCGATGAGTGGTTCTTTGAACTCACTTCCGTCATCCTTGCCGGTGAGGATCTCACCGAGATGGCGACTCACTGCGCGCAAGTCGAGACGGCCACGTCCATGAAGGGACTCCTTCGAGCCTACAAGGTGCTTTTGAATGACTGCAAGCGCATCCGGCAGCACCAAGCCGAAGCGGCAGCATTGCCTGCCGGCTCACCCCCTCTCCCACCACTCACGCT